CACACCTCCGTTGCAAGATAAGTCTCCCGGAGAATTTAATAAAAGAAAGTATCAAATTAAATACACCCCATAAGTTATTAAATCAATCACTCAATTGAATACGTTTTTCATTCAACCCCGTCCCGAGTAGCATGCGTGCTGGTGAAACAGTTGTTCCCACCGTACGCAAGTTCCAACGTCCCATCTGGCGTCTGGTCCGTAGAATTATCTCAGCTTTCCGCGAGACCATTTTCATTCCTTACATCTTAACAATCTAGTTGAAACTACAGCCATCATTTGGACTCAATGGAGGCTTCAGTAGCATCACTCCGGCCCGACACGCCTACTTGGCGAGAGCGAGACCCTCTAGATCTCGACGACGCCACCCGCGAGCTTTACAGACGAGCCATCGCTGACCCGTCGTCTCTCAGCGATGTAGAACGGAGAAAGATACTGCGCCGTCCACCTCGTGAAGAAGAAGACGCAAGCTCCCGCGAGTTATGTGGCTCCACCATGTCTGAGCTCATCACTAAAGCCATTCAGAATCACGAATCGCTGACCTACCAAGAATCAAAGTTGGTAATGGGCCGCCCTAAGGAGAGCTATCCTGGAGAGATGCTACGGGAAAAGCTTCGGATGAGCGAAAGTGATAGAGACTTGCTCTCCAAGGCAATGGAGGCCGCACTCACAGCAGACGAAGTTGCCGCTCAAACGAATGCCATTGCCATTCAAAACCTCTGGCGTGAGCACAGCAGTGCTGCATGGGAGACTTTGAGTGATTTTGATCGTGCTCTGATCAAGAGAGCCGTACATATACCGTGGCAAGATCACATTATGAACTTGGAAGACCCAATTCGCAAAACAGCGACATGCGGATTTGTGGTGTTTTACTCAAATGGGGTTAACTGGCCGAGATTCAACGCGCGAATGCAAGCGGCAACGAAGTACGGGTTCGATCTTTGTATGTCAAAGATCAAGGACTCAATCAGGGAGGGGTTCACCTTGCACGGGGTGCAGTACGACGATACCGAATCGCTTCAAAGCCGCTTCGCCGCCATGCGAGATGTAGATGAGATCCCCAAAGGCTTGAGGCGGGATGCATTTCTCTACGTCGACGACGAGGCTATGCACTCCCAGGAATCGAGCAGGCCGTTCGTATGGTTCTGGGAGCCCCAGGAGACAGCTAAGCCGCTAAAGGTCAACGCCATGCACATAGCACCGCTGCTAATTGCGCGACTGACACAGCGGGACCTCCCAACAGAAAGGGCTCAGAAATGGCCTTTCAGGAGCATGCCGGATCTAGAGCAGATGCACAAGGCGGCAGCCCGATCGATGAATGGGGCTGGCGAGCGTGATGGTATCTGGCCTCCAAGCGCAGCCTCAATGTAACATAGAATCAAAGAAACAGCAAATGGTCGGTACACGACAAACCGAAACTCACAAGCTAGGAAAACTCTAGATCTATGGCGTCAATAACCACTGTTTTAAGTAAACTAAAGGCTATCGTACATGGCATCCCGCGAGGTAAAACTGCCCATACACTTGTGTATCGACACCGACACAGATATAGTAGCCTGGGTGCAGGCCCTCGCAGTCCGTCCTAACCGCCAGATGCCGTTAGCAGCCGCAATATCATAGCATCCATCGCCCGTTTATACCACATGCATGTAGAATATGGTGCATCCACTGACCATCTCTGCGTTGGGAAGGTGGACGGATCTGAGACTGTCTTCGGTTCTCCAGTGGCTAGAGTGTGTGTGTGTGTATTTAACGCCGGGGAATCCCTGGTGAGGGCAAAGGGCGTCTCGCTACTGCTATCTAGCAGTATATATATACGTTGTTATCCCTGTAAGGATTTTGTTGATCTAGTTGGTTAGCTAGAATTAGTTCAGAAATCCAATCTTTTTATATATTATCTTTATCCTTAGCAGGTGTTAAATACCAATAAGGTATTTTGTATATAGGACTTCCTGTTCTATCTGTCTCCCTTAATAGGTGCAGACTTTGTTGAAGAAGCTGGTCTTAGTTCGTGTGGTTAATCTGTTCTACAGTAGCCTGAGTTCCTTCTCCTGTTCCATGTAGTTGATATAGCGGGTCGAGGTTTTCGGGCAGTAGAAAATGTGTCTTGGGGACTTGCGGTGGCCGTCCTTGCACTTTAGGTTTGTGTCACCGTGCCTAAAGCGCTCGTGGTATGCCGTGAAATGAGTCAGTGCAGTTCCTTGCGGCCGAGGGTCCAGTGGCTAGACAGCCAGAGGGAACTGGGATTTGCCGTCAAGCAAGAGTTGGCGTTACCTCTATCGCCTCCCAAAAAAATCATCAGCACACCACTACGCATTAAAATGACAAGGCGTGCCTAGGCTTGATGTACCCGTATCCAGGGTAGGCTGCAATGTCCCACAGGAGAGGCGCGGTATGAGTAGCCCTTATAGAGATTGATGCAATTCGATCTGAAGACCTGCGGGTTCTGCGGCCAGGAGATAAGATTCCACCGCCAAGTCAACGCATTACCGGGGGAAAACTAACCAAGAAGTAAAAGTCATCGATACTGATACCCAACATCACTGTAACGGAGCTGCACGTGTCACTGGGTACAAGGAGGCCGCTGCCAAATGCTTTACCTTTTGTAGATATAAATGGGTGAGTTTCGCCGACAGGGACACGCTCAAGCAAAAGATAGACTGAGCCAATGAGATTGGACTTGGAGGCGTCATGAGCTGGACTCTTGGCCATAACGACAAGAAGTTCTCTGCTTTGTTGCTTTGAAGGGCCTGCTCGGCATTAATTTCCAAGACTGCAGCAGCCTGACAGAACGCGCTGAAAAGACTGACACAGGCAAGTGGGCATCGTTCAATGAACAAAAGTGTGCCATGAAGGACAACGGAAACACGCTCAAGTGTCCCTCTAGCTACGACATGGCTTCCAACGGCGGCGGCTTCTAGGACACACGCGGGACAGATTCAAGTCTGGCCAGAACCAATCCCTTTGATGGATGATCTTTTTTTTGGGGAAATGAGCTGGCTTATAACAATAACATCTCGAACATATCATGTGGCGATCAATGCATCAAAATACAACAAAGCAAACGCTGAAAGAACAAGAGGCAAGAGAACTGTCACACATGCACGCACCCTAATGTGATGCGGGCAGATGTTGCAAGTGAACTTTTAAAGGTGACGGACTAACATGTTTCATTAAAGTATCTGAAGAAAAGCCAGATTAAACGCACCGCGAAACCTTTTTCGGAACGAGGAATCCCTTTTCTGCTCATCACCGGTTCTCTCCGTCTACCAGTGAAAGGCCCCCCCTTGTGTGGAAACCAAGCGAGGTGCCAGACAAAAACCACACTGTTACCTCTCGCCAGAAGCATATGCACTCTAGGTATTGGTTGGATGCTATTTATCATAGCTCACGTCGCGAGGCTTGCAGCTAGCCTTGCGTCCAGGATAAGGGGGCGGTAGCAGTGAAGGTAGGTAAGGCGGGTGGCAGTAGTAATCCTCCCCTGGGAGATTATTTACTAAGATCTCTAGAAACTCTATAAAGTTTTTAGTTAGCTTTATATCTAGAATAAAAAAGTAATAATAGTAAGAGTAGATAAGATAGTAGTAGGAGGATATAGTAATAATAGTAATTCTCTTTTAGAAGATCATTTATTAAAATTTTTAGAAATTTTATAAAGTTTTTAACCAATTTTATATCTAGAATAAGAGAATAATAATAATAAGGATAAGTAAAATAGTAGTAGAGAATATAGTAATAGTAGTAATTCTCCCCTAGGAGATTATTTACTAAGATCTCTAGAAATCCTATAAGGCTTTTAGCTAGCCTTATATCCAGGATAAAGGGGTAGTAGTAGTAAGGGTAGGTAAGGCGGCGGTTGAGGATAAGGCGGCGGCGGAGATCCTCCCCTTGCCCGGGGTTCAAGATCTCGATGCTTAAGGTCCACCATGGCTTCAAAGCCGGTGTCACGAGAGAAAATGTCGTTGTCGAGAGCCCGTTCAACATTTCCTGGCACGCCATCACCGGCACCTGGTTGCCGAGCCCCAGCTACATTGGCTGCGCCAAGCAGCAGCGTTGCGGCCGCCACGAGACGTGTCAAAGACACCATTTCAAGAGAGTGGAAGGGGTCAACTAGCAGATGAGGAAATCAGCAGAGATATAAAGAGCGAGAGGAAACAAAAACAAAAAAGGAAAAAGGAAAAAAGATCAAAGTAAAATAGACGGAACAAGAGCCCAGTCTGATGCCAAGAGTCTGTTTTTTTTTTGGTTGTTCTGAGTAGTACAGAATTGTGGTTTCCGACCTGGGAAAGCATGTGTGTTTTATAGATGTATCGAAACTAGATGCCTAGGCCACTTTGATATAGTGAGCCTCCTCTCAGTTGGCGACGTCTCAGGAAACCTGGACAAGATCATCCTACAATTTCGCCAGGCATTCCGCCTTCAAGCCTTTTCATGACGCCAGGGTCGAAAAATACATGGATTGGTAGGGTCATAGCCCAGTGCGGCTGAGGCTCACCATTGTTGACTGTGAATACATCGTGCGTCGTATACTTGTTGCTATTCGGAGTGAATGGCAGATCCGGTCTACCTACAAGAGCAGGATGAGCCGTGGGATAACATGGCCGACTAAAAATAGAGCAAATGACAGGGGCATCAATGCTCGCCAAATATTACTGCCGTAGAGCCGCGTAATATGCATTTAAGATTGGGAACTATGGCAGAGCACTCGGTACATCTATCCAGAATTGCAATTGTATATTACTCATGCGAAATTGGTGCACTCGCATGATGGATTAGGAAACCTAGGAATAGTGGGGAAAATAATGGCAAGACTTCGGCACATACTACGGAATTGGAAATAATGATCACGCTGTGAGGCAACTGCTTTTGCCTCAGAGCAAACCAACAGAATCACCTCAAGTCACTTTACGACCCGCGTCTGCTGGCTGCAACAAACATTTGGTAGAAGCCAAAGGAGCCTCCAACAAGCAACGGAGCAAGGACGTCATCGAGCACTGCCCGTTATGTCTGCCAAGCTTGAAGAAAAGTGCTACTTCGAGACATTTGCAGCCCCCAGCTGGCTCCCTGGTGGCAAGATATTCTGGTATCGTCGCGCCACAGCCAAGGACAAGTTCGAGTTTGCCCTCGTCGATATTGACCGACAGTCAGTCCGGCCAGCTTTTCACCACAATGACCTGGCCAAGCAGCTAGAAAAGCATGCAGGGAGCTCCATCGACTCGGACAATCTGCCCTTCACTTGGATTGAGATGGAAGATGGCCTTGTGCGTTTCCGTTTGCAAAAGCAAATGTGGGAGTACAATATCGAGGAGGATCTACTACGCACATGGAAGGGTCAGTTCTCACAGGGGAATCCTGCACTGGCGTACGGGGGTGCGCCGACCAGCCACCAGCCTGGACGACGGAGAGTTGCTGTGAGTTTCACCAACAATACAAGGTCAGGCCTCGACATGTACGCTGTCAAGCCGAGTGGAGAAACAGCATTGTACCTCGATATCAGCCAAGGCCAGACACTCCTGCAGAGATCGGGCGTCGGTGCCGTGTGGAAGTTTGTTGGCAGCGGAAGCAGAGTCAAGGGTGTGTATTGCGTACCCGACGTGCAGCACGATGCTGTTGTTCTCGACGATACCAACATTGACGAATACATGGGAACCTGCGACTCTGACCTGCCTGAAGGCTGGGAGGAACGTGTAACTGACACGGGTCGCGTTTACTATCTCGATCATAACACGAAATCTGCGAGTTGGCGTCTTCCTCTCCGTATTCTTCCAACCTTCAGTCCCAACCAACAAGGGAATTCACCCCAATTCGAGACAGAGAGTGACGATTCTACTCAGTCTCGATGCAGTCAAGTGGCAGAGGTGGAGAAGAGCGGCGATGACGAAACGACGCTATTTGTTCGTCAATATAATGTGTGGATGAAATCGTCAAGAGAAGAGCGTGAGCTGTCCAGCGACGGCAGTTCAGAGTCACCTTATGCTCCAAACACTATACGTATTTCACCTAACAAGCAGTCGGCAATTGTGTGGCAATGTATGGCCGCCGAAGACATGAGTATCTCGTACAACATAGACTATACACCAGACAATCAGTTCCTGCCCAAGCTCATTCAGACATCAACACAACTTCCTGGGGATCCCATACGGGTCGACCGTCCCCGACTGTTCAGCCTCGGTACCCAGAGTGAGATTTCTACGACTGATGACCTCTTTTCCAATCCCTTTTCCATCCATGACCTGGGCTGGAGTCGCAAAGGAGACGAGTACCACTTTTTGTTTATCAAGCGCGGCCTCCAGTGTAGGAGAATCCTCGGGATCAACTGCACCGGATCTGTCCGTGTTTTGCACGAGGAGAATAGCTCTACATTCCTTGACTTAAATAAGCTATGCTACCACACACTCAGCCGTTCTGACAGAATAATTTGGGCCAGCGAGGAAGATGGATATAACCACCTCTACCTCATCGACATGACTGCAGGCCACGTACAAAATCAGATTACAAAAGGCCGCTGGAACTTTAGATCGATTGAGCATATCGATGAAGTTACGGAGCATATTTGGCTCTCTGCCTATGGGTACTGGGAGGAAGAGGACCCATATCATGTCCATCTTGTACGTGCCAAATTCGACGGCACTGAGTGCATTTCTCTAACCAAAGGCGATGGTACACACAACTGGAGCTATCCTTGGTCCGCCAACGACCGGCATTATTTTGTAGATACATGGTCACGAATCGATCTTCCGCCGCAAACTGTCGTGCGTTGTTTTCGGACCGGAAAGCTGCAATTCAGCCTATCTACAACTAGTCCATTGGAACTCTTGAATCGTGGATGGGACCCGGCGGAGAGATTCGTGGCCCTGGGACGAGATGGGAAAACCAAGATATATGGGCTGATCATCCGACCACCAAACTTTAGTGTTGATAAAAGATACCCAGTACTGGAGACTATATATGCAGGGCCGCAAGACTTCTACACGGTCAAGAGCTTTAGTCGCATCTCAGGCCAACGGCAATGGTCGAATGATGGATATGTGGTTGTTCAGATTGACGGCATGGGGACAAACTGGCGGTCCAAGGCGTTTCATGACATCTGCTACAAGAACCTCAAGGACGCGGGTCTTCCGGATCGTATAATATGGATGCAAGCGGCAGCAAAAACACGACCTTGGATGGATCTCTCTCGCGTTGGCATTATTGGTTCTTCAGCTGGCGGCCAAAACGCGGTGTCCGCATTGTTACATCACGGTCACTTCTACAAAGTGGCAGTGGCTGATTCGGGATGCCACGATAATCGCCTTGACAACATGGACTGGAGTGAACAATGGTTGGGATACCCAGTTGATCAGGCGTACGCCGATAACTCCAATATTACGCACGCGGCCAACCTTCAGGAGGACGGGAGGCTGCTGTTGATGGCTGGTGGCTTGGATACAGTTGTTAATCCCGCATCCACTATGCGTCTGGCCACCGAGTTCAATAGACATGGAAAGGAATACGAGTTGCTCTTCATCCCTGATGGCGGCCATAACTGCGGCTCAGGTTCTGGAAGGAAAAGGGTAGCAAGTTTTTTAAGAAAGCATCTGGAACCCTAGGAGGCGGAGCATGCTTTTTTTAAAACATTGGTTCCTGGGAACCTTGGTATGCTTGGGCTTTTAAATATAATTACATTAAATAAGTATCGATCATTTTCCACCTCAATATTCTTATTTGCCTGCCAAAGCTATACAGGGCCTTGCTTCTCAACTTCACTTTAGCTCATTCATGGCACTCGCACTAGATCTTTCTCAGTCCAATTTCTTTATTAGGCCGCCGAGTAAATCGTGCCAAATGGTCGCTCCCCAAACCAACACCTGGCATCTATCACTCAGGTCTCATTTCACAGCATTCCTCTTTATCTTCCAACTGTAAGACCTATTCTGCGCCATCTGTCTAGTAGTATAAATCTCGAGTGTTATTAGGTCGACTCAGCGCCGTGGATACTGAGCGCCGTATCATCGTGGTCCCCGCAAGAGGCTCGAAATGCTGCTCAGGGTTGGCCGGTTGCGTCCAGTTCGGGCGGCAGTAATTATTACACTCATGCTGGGAAAAGAAAGAGCTGATACCCGCAGGGCCAAGATCCGTCACACCATACTCGCGTCTCCGCGACAGAATGACTGGGTCGGAAAGGACAATTTCATGTTGATATATGCCCCCTTAAAGGTCACAAAGGACGAAGAAGCCTCCGGACACGTGGTAGCTGAAGTGACTGAGCGCTTGCATCACCTCCCCCCATGATCCCGAATCATTGAACCAGCCACTGTTGCTGTTGAACTTGACATAATTGTTGATGAACGGTTCACACAAATGCTTCGTGCCCGCCCACTCGCCGGCTTCATCATCAAATGTCCATACCGCAGGCACGTTGATCTTGACGTTTTTGTTGATAATGTTTAGGTCGTTGAAACGATCCACAATCTCGAGCGCCTTGTCTACCGCCTTGATGTCAAGGGTGAAGTAGTCCGACTCGAAGACAGCGCCTGTTTTGAACCATTTGACGACACTTGCCTGGCCTCGACGCGGACCAGATGTATACCTCCCTTTGGCGACGTAGCGGAAGGATCCCTCGCTGAATGGATCGTCCAGCTCATCATATGGCACCTCGCATCTTGACGAATCATTGTATCGACCGCTGGCCGACTGTGTCGCTCGCGGGGTATCAGATCTGTAGCCGTGAACACAAGCTGCACATCGCGAGATCCCTGCGCCTTTTGTGTATTGATTGGCGGTGTACGACGAGCGAGGCAAGTCGCGGCCGCATGAGGCGCACTCACGCATGGACAGAGAAAGGCGGCTTTGATTGAGATAGGACTTCAGTCGACGGCGAATACTTTCAACGACGGCACTTTCACATGAAGGTAAATCTTGCTGCCTGAGGCCTTTCACGGTGTTTCCGACAAAGTTACTTGCGGCAGGTGGGGCCAATTGAAAGTCCACTGGCCAATCAAAGGCTTGTCTTATTTATTGTTGGTTCGATGTCTGAAAGACATTGCTCAAAATAATTTTTTTTCTTTCCAACAGTCGTGAACAGCACCACACCGCCATTCGAGATGGGTGTCTATATTCCCAACGAAATTCTGCAACGTATTATGCGTTTTTTCGTCTCCAAGGAGCCTCGCAGGCTTGGGGCAATGACAGACGCGAATGAAGACGGACGCTTTGATCCTTCCCTACGCCCCACAGATTTGCATTCACTCTGTCTGGTCAGCCGGCGATTTCGCGATATTGCTCAGCCTCTGCTTTACCATACCATCAACATTACTGATGAGACAATCGACAATGACGGTCCAGGGCAGCAGGGAGAGTGGCCGGGCCGTTTGCTGAAAACAATGGCTGAGAATCCGCACCTTGCGAAGCAAATACGTGTCCTGGCCATACAAAGCTACACACCCGGAGCAGTATGGTCGACCGACTTCCCTTGGGACGTTCCACGATCTCTACGATGTGTTCTGGAAGATGAGATCGAATGCCCTGGCCCCCATGAAGTATCCCTTGCGATTCTATTTTACGCAACTATGATCGAGAGGATTATACTTTCCTCAAACGATCCCGATGGTCTTGCAATCTTTTGGGTTATATCATCATGGTTACCGTATGGAAACCCACCATATGATTTTGCCGAAATCGGCTCGAATCTCACTCCAGAGCTTGGCCCTTTCGCCAATCACGGACATCCCCGACTGAAAGAGATCTGCTTAGATGGCTTTGATGAAGACTGTTTCCAGCTTGATCGGGTCTTCGTGGATATCATGAAAAAGCCAGGACTTTCCACCCTTTGTACAAATGGTGGATGGTGGTGTCCAAATTTCTTCAACCCTCCTAAGCTCCCTGCAGGCGTACTGTCTGATGACTGGCCGTCCAGTTTAAAGCACTTGAAACTTAAAAACTGTTGCTTAGACGCCTATGGTTTTGCATACATCCTTAAAAACTGTCCCAGTCTTAACACTCTTCGCATTCATTTGGCTAGGCCGAAGTGGATACAAGTAAACGATTTCTCTTGGACTCTTGATCTCGATCAAATCGGGCAAACTCTACGAGATTATGGGGGCTATTTGACCTATCTAACAATTCACACCTTCAACTTTAAGTTATCGCATGAACCGATTGGCCGAATTGGGTCTTTATGTGCTTTGACGAGCCTCCGCCATCTTCGCTTCTCCAGGAATGACTTGATTGTTTCTCAAGAATGGGATGAACCACAGAAGCAGAATATCATACCTTTAGAGAGTATTCTACCCTCATCAATCATTACAGTTCGTATCTCTTACGAAGAAGTTGGTATTGCACTATCACCGCCAAGTGGTGTGGTATTTGCAGAGATAGAGAGTCTTCTGGCTAGTGGACGATTACAGTCTCTTAAACGAGTTGAAGTTATGAGATACATCTATGATTCTCCGGATGAGTTGGTTTTATTCCGAACCAAGATACCTGATTGGTCCGTTGGTTCAAGGAGAAGACCATCTAGGATTCGGAATGGTGTTACTGAGTATATGTCTATCACTAGGTGTGGGGGTTCAAAAAGTGATTCCTTCAACAATTTTGGGGGTTTGAGAAGCGATTCATGATTGGGTGTATCTAGATTCTTTAGCATTATCAGGAGCCCCTTGCAGGAGTGGTTCCAGACGTCTATATCTGTTCATCTTTGCGGTGTCGAGCTCAACACCTAATTGACATGCGAGGGCTTAGCAAACACGGAGTATGACTGGTGGATCATGTGATAGGATTGCCAGTCTAAATACCGATTTACCATGTTGGTTGTGATAGACACCGCTCAATAGCCAGTGTTTCGACTCTTTTTCCCCTTACGCCCGTGGACAGTATATTGTGTAGGTCAACGTCACCAAGAAACCGCCATTCCAAATGCCACTCCATATCCCTGACGAGATTTTGGATCATATGATGCATTGTCTTATCCCGGTTCTGCTTCGCAAGTGCCGCCCGACAAATATTTCAGATTTCAATGCAATCGCTTGCGGCGACCGAACGATTTGGCCTCTCTTTGTCCCGTCAGCCAGAAGTGTTGTTGCACCTAATGGTCCGTTTGTAGGGCAATAGCATTTGATCTGCTACTGAGGCGCCCGTGGCGGTTCATCTAGTGGATGTAACAGCAGTAACGTGGTGACCAACGGCAAACGTTGATTATAGAAATCCATTTATTAGGCTTAGGTCCGCTTCTGTTGCTTATGTTCATTGTAATTTTAGACTTTCGATAACATCTCGATATTACTGTAAGTTACATAGGGACTTTTGAATCAATTTCTACAACTCTAGGCCTCGCGCAACTTGTAGTCAAACATTTGGTTAGAGCCCAATGCATCTTTGTTTCGCAGTTTTTGAGCCGTCTCAATTCCTGTCGCAGGAACCCTATATTCGAGACCTTTGCTAGCAGCTTTCAAGGTTAGCCCTGCAACCGGGTGCGGAAATGGCAGATAATCCGGCATGATTCCCAACTGGAAAAGCACAGTACACTGGTCCCACGATATGTGCTCGTGATAGAGACGGTCACCGCGAATATTTACCACAGCGACGAAGGGGATTTCCAACTTGCGGCCGGTAGGAGGCACCCCGGGTAGACTTGGATATTGTCAGGAACCTGATGTATGCGGCGCCAAGGTTGGGAAGTTTTCACTTACAGCCAATCCAACTGTTTATCGTGTGTGCACTTGAAGATGAACTCATCAATAACACGGTCAATACCGATTGATCGGCTGATGACCTCGGTGTCAACATCATCTGGATTTTGGAAGATGAAGTGGTCTCGATAGAAGGCAGTTAGAGCCTCGCGTCCAATGCCTCCTGTAAGCTGCCCAATCATTAATATTATTGACTGTACATCAATTGGACGAACCATGCTTACTGTCGTGATGTGATTTACATACGGCTCCTGTACCATCGTGGCCATTGTGCACTCCACAGAGCGGTTCTCAAATTCGTAGTAAGTATGCTCATCCCAGATGGCTTCGAGATCAAAGTAGGGACCCTTTGTCAAAGGTTTGAAAAAGCTCAAGTTTCTTGAGTGTGAAACGGACTCGAGAGAATACTTGAAATCTTTACTGAACGGTGTGGCGAAAAGAAAGGACTCGGCATTGGGGTAGTCATAGGCCGTGAGCTTTTCACCTCTAGGTAGAAGCTTCTCGGACTTGCCTGCCAGATGGTGCAACTGAGGGAGTGATGTCTGAGATAGTGCTTGCTGTTTTTCGAGATCCCCGTAGACCACAGTTCCAACAATTTCGTTTAAAGTGTCTATTGTGGGCGCAACTTTGTTCCACAACTGGGGGTCGTAAGCTAATCAGCAGGATATGTTAATGTTATGTTACATTCTGAGCATAGGTAATCTTACCAACTAGACCAACCAAGCCCTTGGAGTCAATAGTATGGCTATTCCGGAGTCCGTCAAGAGCAATATCCATTGCATTTGTGAGATGGTCCAATGCAGCTGCTGTAATTTCGACCGTAGTAAAGCCCTCCTCGGCCCATTTCATGACAGGGCAAGGTACTCCATTTTCTATCGCCAATGATGACTGGCCAGTGACGCCGGTTTGGGAAACTATGACAATGAGTCCTGGACCTTTGCCTCTCCGAGTTAGAGGGTGCACTACTGTGATGCCAGACGCCAAAGGCTGCAGCGAGGTCTTGGGCAGAAACGGGAGGACCTCATATTTGCTGTCAATCATAGCTGCTAGTATTGCCTTAGATGTTGCCAAATTAGAAGATAAAAATTAACACAATCAATCTGATTTCAATAGCTTTAGAACAAAATTCAAAGCCCAATCGATTTGGTAGATATAAGCATTTACACTATATCATTAGTTCTCATGAGCCCCAGAATAGTACCTCGGAAAGCCCATCGGAATGGCGCACGTCATATTCCCAAAATCATATTATGACAAGGTTTGGCGGTTGTCCTTTTGATTATGATGGACTTTGACTTTGCTGAACCGCTTGAGTATTGGGGTATCCGGCTATCCCGACCACCTACCTGTAGACTAATCTGCCCGTCATCCATCCATATCTCTCTCCGGTTTCCCCGCTCGATGTTGGGGTGGGACACCGGGAAGTCCGGAAATTTAGGAACGCGGCCCGGAACAGTTCCTAAGTGCCGCGGCTACGGTGCGAATATGTCGATGGTGTCATTTTGACCCGCGTATATGCCAGGGTAGATGTAGCAGTGGTTGTTTCGACCAAACTTGAAATGGCCCAACACATGTAGGGTTCATTGCATTGCGGCAAAATTAATCGGTGCAACCCACATCCCAACCTGCAACAACAACTTCCCTCGAAGATGTCGTCTCTTCCACCAAGCGATTGCTGCGCAACAGGTTTCAAACACAAGTATGATCTTTGCGCTCTGATCCTCTCTACAGCGGATTGAAGGTTCCTCGAGCTAATACTCTAAACAATGCAGTGGTTCTCCCCAAGGAAGAACAGTGAAGCTTGCCGGAAAATGGGACGCCTACATCGCCACTCCTGCGCCAGGACAGCAGCGAAATGACACAGCGCTGCTCTACTTGCCCGACGTCTTGGGCATTTGGATCAACAGCAAGCTGATGGCCGATGAGTTTGCGAGCAACGGTTACCTTTGCGTTATCCCCGACTTGTTCCATGGTGACGCCATCAAAATCAACGATTTTGAGAAAACGGACGTTAAGAAATGGATCGAGCAAGGCACCGACGGATCTCAGCCCCATACGCCGGATACAATCAACCCCGTTGTCTCTGACGCTATCCAAAGTCTCAAGAAGGAGTACTCTGCCAAGAAAATTGGTGTTCTAGGATATTGTTTTGGGGCCAAGGTCAGTACAGCGCTCATCTTGTGTTATTCACGCCGGCGCCCGATCCAGAGGCCTCAGCTAACCCAACGCTTGACGAAATAGTTTGCTGTTGGGCATTTCAATAATGATATCGATGCCTGTTTTCTGGCCCATCCAAGTTTTGTCTCGGACGAGGAGTTGGCTGCTATCAAAGGCCCGTTATCTATAGCTGCCGCTGATACTGATCCCATCTTCCCTGATGAGCTGCGGCACAAGAGCGAAAATATTCTTCGAGGAACCGGACAGCCGTGGCAGATCTGCTTGTACTCCGGGGTAGCGCACGGGTTTGCCGTACGCGGAGACCTTTCCAAGAGAGCGGAACGATTCGCAAAGACACAGGCCTTTCAGCAGGCAATTGTGTGGTTCAATGAGCACCTGGGCTAGTAAGATGTTTATTCTATGCTGCGAGCCCCGACGTAGAGTTAGATGTTGAATCTTTCTATCATCTTGGCCTTGCCTAGTGGGCAGAAGCTATTGTCTTCGATAACATTAGACTCAATAAACCTGTTTACACCATTAATTGGAGCTGTTCTTGCCTTGATCGCACATTTTGATCAATTCTGGACCCAATTTGAAGGAAGCCTTATTCTACATTCCTGCTGCCCGCACAAGACTCAGTTGCTTCCCTCCCCAGAGACACAACCTAGGTACATCTATGCCAAGACGGCCTAGACCTAAAGTTCAAACTAGTCTCGCTAAAGTAAACTGGCGGGATATTGTAAAGATCCAATTGGTCCAGGGCCCAGTGATAACGATTTCCCCGCATTGCTGTGCTCCACTGGAAATGAGATGTGAAGCTACCTCCTTTTGCCTATCAGGGTCCCAGATAAACCAAGGATAAAAACCCATCAGGTCCCAGTCCCTCCCCCCTTCAATCAATCCAACCCGACTAGTAGATTGTAGCCTGTAAGATACTTTCCAGTCCACAGACTGCCTGATCTGATAGACCTTTGATGCCGCGGAGATCTCACACATCGATCAACACTTGAAACCAAGCCAAACCAACCAGACACTTGCGCGCTCACTCCCACAATATCCATCTCGACAGTCCGTGGCGCTTCATCCCACCTGGCGCGCTCTGACGCGCACTCTTGTCATGGGCGGCACAAAGCGCTCATCGGCGTCCGAAGCGCACGAGGCGTCCAAACGACGCGCGCCCTACGCTCCGCGGGCTTGCGATGCCTGTCGTCGACGAAAGGGTCGTTGCAATGGACAGAAGCCATGCGGATACTGCCTGGGTCGCGTCATGGAATGTTGCTACTCACACAACCCGGAGGAGCGCCGATCGAATGCGGCACAAAATAACCAAGATGCCCAAGACCAAGCTCCAAAGCCAGCGGACTGGGCACCAAAGTAAGCCGTCTTGGGCAGCGGATTTCTCAAAGCGTTACTAACGTGCTCATAAATCGGACAGTGCAATCCAGTCACTGACCGACCTGGTCGCCACATTGCAGGGACAGTTGAATGCCATCGCAGCACACACCAACGTCTTCCCCGCCGGAAATGGGAGCCTTGACAATCTAGAAGGGATGGAGCCAATTTCGCTCAAGCAGGTCCAAAGCTTTCCCGTCAGTGGCATGTTGCCTGTCCCAACAATCCCCCCGGCGGTCTCGAAACGTATATCGCAGCGATTCTACGGGCCAACGAGCCCTGACTACAGTTTCAAAGCCGCCCAGCGACGGGTGCAACAGATGGAGGGTAGTGACACAAGCCCAAGCGGTCAAACGGTTTCCACCCTCGATGATGACCAGAGCGAAGACGACGAAGAAACCAGCCCCAGCGTGACTGGCCAGATCGCAAATGCCCATTTGATGGGACACGTACGAAGCACAGCGCCGTTGCAATTTCTGGCCCTTTTCACGAGGCACGAGGCCATGCGCCTCATCAAGGTATACCACGAAGCGATTGGCGAGCTTCATCCCATCTGCGACATTGATAAGCTCCTAGAGCAAATGGAGTGGCTATACAGCTGGTCAAATGGCACACGGGAAGAGATTGATCCTACGGTAGACGAAGACACTATTTTGATTCTCAACCTTGTCTTGTCTATTGCCTTGTGCGCCGAGGAGGCCTCGAAGTCCTTTGCGGCGGGTGCACTCTACAACAGCTATCGCGATCTTGTTGTTGCGAGGCAATCAACGCCAGCTGTCAACGTTCGGCATGTCATCATCGCCATACTGGAGGTTTGCGCCCCTTGATCCCCTTTCCTGGGCAAGCCTATTATCCTGACATCTGCACTCATTACAGGGCTTCTTCCATTTCTACATGTGTAGCCCGCGTTTGGCTTGGCGAATGATTGGACTGGCTGGCCGCATCGCCATGGAAATGGGGTTCCATAGTCTGGACGTTTGCAAAAAGTATATCCAGACTGATCGACAACGCGCCGAGGTGGCCATCATCTCCTGTACCATAGTCATTTTGGACCGGCAGTGGAGCGCGGCCACGGGCTTGCGACCAAACTTTCAAACCTCAGATTTCGAGATGGCGCAGGCATCTTTGGTAGGAACAGACCCCAGACGCTCTCTCCGCGGACTAGATCGACCCTTGGCCAGGTGGACTAACTCATCTTTACAACAGGTCAATGCGCCCTATTTGAAGGCCATGATGGCATTCACACTCGTGAGCGACAATTTCAACGAGCCCATCGCCCGCGCCGCCCGAGGAAACATGTATGTGGATGACGATGGCCTCGAGGTAGCTGCATTCCAGATCAAGCAGTGGCGGAAGCGAGCTCTGGAGAATCATAACTTCATCCACCCAAACGAATGGTCCGATTCCACCCCCAAGCCTCCAGCTTGGACACTGGTCCTTTATCTTCGATCTATTGCTGTCCAAGGCATCCTGCTCCGTTCATTTTTCCTTGCCAACCCAGACGTAACCGACATGAAGAAGATCAAGATTGGCTTGAAGCTTGTATCAGACTCAATTGGGGTCCTTTCCATCCTGGATAAGACAACGAACATATACAGGCTGCAGCATCCACATTTTCAACACTTCTTGTCGACCTCGTGCGCCCTGTTGTTCCTCATCGTAGCATATACAGAACACAAGAGAGCCATGTCGTCACCGGAATTTCCGAACGACTATGCGGAAACAGTCGGCTCAAATTTCGAGGCTGCACTCAAGCTCTCGGCCGCCTACAGAAGAACATTCCGGCAGTCGCACAAGCTTTGGAAGCGCATAATCGCTATGAAAGAACCTCTGATTCGCCTGAGCATTCTACCTAATGAAGCCCGACGTGAAGGAAAAGCTGAATTCAGCGGGCCAGCAGCTGTTACTGAGGTTCCAATAGACCAGAGGAGCCAGAGCAGCGAGATGTCTTTGAAACCATCTGACCCGGGATCATCGTCCATTCTAGACCCAGTCATCACAGACGAGGATTGGGTAGAGTTCGACATGCAGTGTGGGCCTCAACGTAGTAACTTGATGGGTGCGTTGCCCGCTGCCATTGCCGACAGCGACTCCACCATGGATGTGCTTGATCCGCTCTTCCTGGACTGGCCCATGTACGCGGCACCTACGCAGAGGTTCTTTTCGGAGAGCACGTTTTAAGACTACGCTCGAGCTCGCCTTAGTATTAATACTACTACATTGCAACAATCACTACAACTATCAAGAGACCAACAGAACTTGTCCATCACACAACAGTAATACAAACAAGTGGGTGTGATCCATGAGACGAGAAACACTGTTTGCTAGCCAGGCTTAGCGCCCATGCGGGAAAGAACAATACATCCACATAGGTAGTATAGCCGCAGTTGGTATCTATCAGAAGGAAACTCGCTTATTACCCGGATCGTAATTACAAATCACAATCTGCATGCATATCACCCAAACTGCGGGTCGATTGGAACTCGCTGTCATTTCGGGGACCTCGGGAGGGAGTCGGGGCTAGTTCCGAGTACGTAGGAAGCAGAGAAGATAGAGACAGTGTCCGTATCCATGATGGGAGTGGTTTCATACTGTACTATATTGATCAGTCCCGCTGCGTCCCTACCCGACGTCAACGACGCCAGGGTCCTCAGTGATGAGCTAAACTCGGATAATGTTCACTCAGTAATATGTTCAGAACGACTGTAAAAACTCAAGCCAACAGCCAAATGCACGACACGTAGCAAGGAGAGCGTACACCATGATGGGCAAGAGGACCTACAATCAACAGGAGCTAGACGCTTATTTCTCCCGTATTGCGCTTCCAGCCAGGCACCAAAAACAAGATGTGTCTGCGTGGACGCCTCAGGAGCAGTTACAATACCTGGGCCTACTTCAAAAGCATCAGGTCATGACCGTTCCGTTTGAAAATCTCGATCTTCATTATTCATGGAACCGGGTTATTCACCTAGGCGCTGATCACCTCTTCCGGAAAATCGTGTTGAGTCCGGGCCGGGGAGGCTACTGCATGGAGAACAATTCGCTCTTTCACTTTGTGCTTTTGTCTCTAGGGTTCAAAGCCTACATGGTCAGCGCGCGAGTATACGATAGCGCCAAATCATCGTACGGAGGCTTTACACACTGTCTAAACATTGTCAGAATCGGTGACTTGAGTTACGGCGTCGATGTCTGCTTTGGATCGCATGTGCCTGTGCATCCGTTCAAGCTAACGGAAGGCTTGGTGCAGCAGCATCTGCCACCAGGCCAACTCAGATTACGGTACGACTCGCTGCCTGGTGGGCTCTCAGCACAGAAGCTATGGATATACGAGCAAAGGATCACCGATACATCGGCTTGGTCACCATTCTACTGCTTTGCCGATTTTGAAATCTTGCCTCCTGACTTGGCGGTGATGAATCTATGGCCGTCTAAGCAACCCTCAAGTTTCTTCACGTACAAAGTGATGCTTGTGCGATTCACAACAGAGGATGAGTTTTACTACCCAAGCCTCGATGAAGAGCTCAACACTCCGCCTATCCCTGGGGCTAGAGCTGGCGATATTGATGGGCAGCTGATACTGGATGGACACACTATGAAATGGCGGAAGCAAGGTATTAAGCAATGGGAGATTGTTTTGAAGAGCGAGACGGAGCGAATTCAGGCCCTGAAGACGTGGTTCAACATCAGTTTATGTACAGATGAGCAGAATGCGGTCCTTGGAACAGCGGCAGCAATATCTTGATCAAGAATCTGTTGGTCGCAAGCTAAAATTACATTGCTGCAGCAATTGGCTCTGCTTCAGCCATTGGCCGTGCTTGCCCCCTTTTAGGCTTTTCAAACCCATTCCACCTTGCAAAATCATCCGTATATATCTCAAAGCAGTCCAACATCCTCCCGACACTTTGCATGATAATATCATCTAATGAGTTTGGTCGCGTATAGAATGCAGGAACGGGAGGGAAAATGATGGCGCCTGCACGGCGGAGAAATAGCATGTTATCGAGGTGAATATCACTCAACGGCGTCTCTCTCACCGCCAGCATTAGCTTCCGGTTCTCTTTGATCGAAACATCTGCAGCTCGGGATATAAGGTCGTCACAATACCCTGATCGGATAGCCGCAAGAGTTTTCATGCTGCAGGGCAGCACGGCCATGCCATCGTGGATGAAGGATCCGCTGGCTATGGGGGCCGACATATCCTTTGCCGTATATACGCGGGAAGCAAGGGCATGAATTTCATATTCCGTCAAGGATGTCTCATACTTTAGCGTCGCTAATGCCCACTTGCTCATGATGAGATGAGTCTCTACACCGAGATCACGAAGCACTTTTAGCATATGAACTGCAAATAGAGCGCCCGTGGCACCGGTAATGCCAATAACAATTCGTTTTGGGCGACAAGCCTTGGGTTCTGACGTTCCGTATATCCGATTTTGTGATCGTGCGTTGGTCTCAACTTGCAAGGGCAATCGTTCGCGTCCAGCTTGACTGGAGCTGTAAGACTGCCGCTGCGATGGCGATTGAAATTGGTCAACTTTCCCCAAGACTGAGGGTTGTGAACTAAGGCGTCCATACAATAATCTTGGACAACGGTTGAATCGATACATGATGCGATATTGAAGTGATGCTAACCCTACAATCAACACACAGAAAAAAGACCTGAGGAAGCTTGAACTTATTGTCCTCTAGGTACCTAACCTAGTCTAAGTCAATAGCCCGAATTAGCTGGGTGAAATCGAGATGTTCCCTTGACGGAACCTTCTCCGGAACCATCGTTCCGAAAGTGTGGGACTTGCATGAACTCTGATAGTAGCTCAACATCCGACTAGGGACCACTTTGATAAAGGCATGTATCTACAGTCTTGATAAAAGACATCTCATCACAAAGTGTATTGAAACTTTCGCAGCACCTGGATATAACACTCTGTGAAATTCACACGGCAAAACCAACATGGCCACCTTGAACACCACAGACGACATCACAACAAAGGCCCAGCTGGACTTCCGCACGTTCATCGACCTTTTACGACAAGACAATGACTTGGTAGAAATCGATCGCGAGATTGACCCTTACCTCGAAGTTGGTGCCATCGTCAGACGGGTCAGCGAGACCAATGACAAGGCGCCTTTGTTTAACAACATCAAGGGTGCCCAGAAAGGGCTATGGAGGATGTTTGGGAACGCCGCGAGCCTTAGAAGGGATGAAAAGGAAAAATACGGAAGGGTTGCCCGGAACCTTGGCCTTCCCAGCGACTCAAGCTGGTCCGACATCTGCGTCAGAATTCAAGCAGGCAAGCGAGCCACACCACTTGCACCCAACGTCTTGCCAACCGGGCCTTGCAAGGAAAACAAGATATTTGGTGATGAAATTGACCTGAACAAATTGCCTGTGCCAATGCTTCACATGGAAGACGGTGGAAAGTATCTTCAGACATACGGCATCCATGTCTTGCGTACCCCTGACGGCTCATGGACCAATTGGTCGATTTTCCGCGGCATGGTTCACGATAAGAACCACCTTGTCGCTCAAGTGAATCCTCGCCAGCACAACTATGTTGTAAGAGAGAAGTGGAGAGATGCCGGTCATTCAGAGGTCCCATGGGCGTTGGCGCTCGGCGTGCCACCGGCAGCGACAATGGCAGCCGCCATGCCCATTCCAGAGGGAGTCTCTGAAGGCGAATACGTTGGATCAATTGTTGGAAAGCCCTTGGACCTCGTCAAGTGTGAATTGAGTGATCTGCTGGTTCCTGCCAACAGTGAAATCATCCTAGAGGGGACCACGTCACTGACAGAAACTGCCTACGAGGGTCCGTTTGGAGATTATCTGGGCTACGTCTTTGACGATGATCGTCGTCTCATGCCGCTATTCAAAATCAACGCGATTACATATCGTAACGATGCCATTTTACCTATTTCTGTGCCTGGTAGAATTACTGACGAGTCGGTAAGTACCATGCCCTCATTGTGTTGCCTTTCATCTCGATCTTGGCAAAAGGCTGACCATAATTCCTGAAGCATACTACTGCAGCGATGGCTGCTTCCGAAGTACTCGAATTCTGCAAGAAGCATGGGCTGCCAATCAAGGATGCCTATGCACCCCTCGAGACGCATGCGACTTGGTGTGCCCTGCAGGTTGACACGGATGAGCTACGTAAACTGAAGACCAACTCTAGAGACTTCTGTATGAAGCTTGGAGAGCTCTTGCTTCACAACAAGTCTTCAATGCTCATCAATAGGTTCTTAGTTGTTGGGGATGACATCAATATTTACGAATTCAAGGACTTGATATGGGCGTTCGTCACACGCTGTCGTCCTGGGAATGATGAATACTTGTTTGATGATGTGCCTGGGTTCCCTCTTACACCTTACATGTCTCACGGTACCGGCAGCAAGACACGTGGTGGCAAGTTGATATCGGATTGCCTATTCCGCATGGAGTACACAGATGCGAATAGTTTCCGACCAGTCAACTTTGATACTTCGTATCCCAGCTCTGTGAAGACGAAGATTGAGTCTATGTGGAAAGAGCTTGGGTTTTTGGGCCAAGATTAAATTACACGCCCAACCTAGATAAGCCTCGGAAATGATAGGGAATGAACACTCGAAGAACAAAAACTGAATTTGTGCCCTGTAAGAATCCAGCCTTCTGCGAGCTTTCCAGATTGCACCCTAGACGAGCATAATTAGCGTAGCAAAGATAAGACAATGGTGTTCCGGAACCGGTATTCTAGGAATGATGCAGGATGAAAAACATGCTAACCATATCGGAGCATCCCATTTATCCCCTATCAGCCTTGATATCGGGGATACACCCGGTGTGACGATGGTAGGCGATTTGCGCAAAATTATATAGCTTTCCCCCGCAAGTCTCGGCTCCCTCGACACAAAAGGCCTATTCAAAAATCGCCCACCACACACGGAGTGCATAAACTTATAGAGACTCTGAGCATCAATCTGGAGCAATAAATTTGAAAATGGCTAGTACTGAGCAGTCGAAAACTGGCAAGGCTGATGTTCACTTCAAGATGAGAGAGGACTCAGTCGTGGCGGTTGACAAAGCTTCCATTGAGGATTTGCATCACGTCACATCCATTGCGAATGGACAAGGGGAACAGTGAGACAGCCCCTATCCTTAAAACTTTACCTCCTAATCATAACTTAACATTTGAAACTGCTAGGGCTTTCATCGCAGATGCGACTTCTGATTCCAAATTGAGGTTGAAGATTGACTTGTATATTCTGCCAATGGTCACCATCATTTATTGTTTGTCACACTGTCACCCACTCGCCAATGGGCGTATGGACTTCCGTACTAATAATAACAATTCGACATAGTGCTCTGCTTTATTGACCGTGCAAACATCGGTGAGCCTTTTCGTTTTCGGATTTCTCGAGTTGAACCAAGCTTACACTCTCACAGGCAACGCGAGAATTGCTGGTCTGGAGGCAGACCTCAATATGAAAGGGTACGATTTTAACATTTGTCTGTCAGTTTTCTACATCTCCTACATCATCTTTGAGATTCCAGGCAACATTCTCTGTAAGATTATGGGCCCAGGCTGGTTTATCCCAGCTTGTTGCTTGGGTTTTGGCATATGCACGATTTGCACCGCTTTTGTTCAAAGCTTTGCGGCTTTATGTGGCCTCCGCTTTGTATTGGGCATTTTTGAGGCTGCAATGTTGCCAGCCACCGTTTATTACTTGTCGAGGTGGTACAAGCGGGACGAGCTTACGTTCCGACTCTCTTTTTTCATCATCTCCGCATCATTATCTGGTGCTTTCGGTGGTCTTCTCGCTTCAGCGATATTATCCATTGGTCGGATGGGGAGCATCACCTCGTGGAAGATGATATTCGCTATAGAAGGTTCGTCATTCTTCCTTTGAGCCTTTAAGCATCGATTCCATGCCTATATAGCATTCTAACATTTGTTCGCAAGGAATTGTCACGGTTGGATTCGCTTTACTCGGCTTTGCTGTCATGACAGATCGAGCAGAGACTGCTATCTGGCTCTCAAATGCGGAAAAGGAGCAAATATCGGCTCGCATCAAGGCGGAGCGCATTGGCACAACCGAGGTTCTAGACAAGTTTGACAGGAAGAAGTTCAAACGCGGCATCTTTAACCCAGTCGTGCTGGCCACCTCCATGACGCTTTGCTTTAACAACATCACGGTCCATGGCTTGTCATTTTTCTTGCCAACCATCGTGAAAACAATCTTTCCAGACAGGACTGTTAGAGATCAACAGCTCTTGACGGTCCCCCCCTATGCATTGGGAACAATTACTTGTCTCATAATCTGCTATCTCAGCTGGAAAATGGACAGGCGGACTATTTTTCTCATCCTTTGCCCGCCTTTTTCCATTATTGGCTACAGCATGTTCCTGGCTTCGACAACTGCTCATGTCAGATATGGAGCCACATTTCTTCCTGTTGTGGGCATATTTGCTGTCGGGGCACTCACCAATTCCCATGTCTCGGCAAACGTGGTTTCTGACACTGCCAGGTCGTCTGCTGTGGCTACCAACGCTATGTTTGGTAACATCGGTGGATTGGTCTCGACTTGGGCCTTTTTGCCGTTCGATGGGCCCCTTTACCCAATCGGAAATGCTTTAAATCTGGGTGTTCAAAGTGGCATTTTCGCAGTTGCCCTGGGCATGTACTTCTGGATCAATCGCAACAACAAAGCCAGAGCTCAGAGGGATGCCGAGGCCGAACTGGCCGGTAAAACATTGCTGGAAATTCAGGATCTTGACTGGAAACACCCTGGTTTCCGATGGCACAATTGAAACTATGGAAACGTACTAAAAGTACTGTCAATGTGGCTCTCGGTTAGATAAAGGGTGGCTCTCCGCATGATGGATTTATCTATTAATTTGGATCGCTACCTACAACGGGCTTCACATTGGCTATTTAGTTTAGACTGATCTCTCCAAATGGCTAGAGTGAGTGCTGCGTTGCCTCGTCGCGAAGATATACAATACATTGATGTGTTTATTTGCTGAATCGTGATGAGTACGCGCTATGTCCTGTACGAGAGAAACTGTTTCTTGACGTACTTTAAGTTCAACTATGACTTCCTAAGTGCACGACATTCTACATATCCAATCACCCGTGTCTTTCGGGCATGACTGTCTAACCTGTGACGGATGTTTACATTGCGATACCCCGCTCTCATTCGAGTGGGAAAAGGAAAATAATCACGTTTCATATTCAAGACCTCCACAAGTCGACCTTTATCTTGTAGGGTAGCATGGCAAGTGTTCACAGTATCCAAAATTCTCCTCATTGCGTAAAGTGGCACTGGATTTTTACTGGCTCACACATAGGTTGAAGCTAAGCCGGGGAACCGTCGGAAGCGTTACCCACATTATACGGAGGCCGGTTGGCATCCGCAGTTCCTACGATTCTAGGCCAGATAGTTCCATTCCGGTTCCGAATGCGGCTAATGAGGAGCTACGGAAGGAACCTACCCTCTAATCATAAGCGGCTATCCGCAATGGAAGTCCCGAAGAGTATTGAATTACACGATAGCCTTATCTTGATGTCTCCTAGTTTAGATGGCAAGAGAGGGTTAGCAAAAAGTTAATTAAATACTCAAAACCCACACGACATCATCACTTCAGTATTAGACAAATATTTATCGAAATTGTTCGCGCGCTTGGAAGATGCAAGAAGAGTTGGATCTCGTCGTAGTTGGCGCAGGTAGGCCCCACCAATCTTCTTTTTGTTGCCTGCTGTTACTTGCAAGTGCTAATATAGATTTAGGCTGGTTCGGTCTGGCCGCCGCAAAGACTTACATTGAACTCCACCCCAATGAGAAGATAGTGGTCATTGAAGGAGACAATAGCATTGGAGGGACCTGGTCTGAGGGACGTCTCTATCCTGGTTTGAAATCTAATAACCTATGCGGATCATATGAATATCCGGATTTTCCAATGGAAGAAAGTGTCTACGGTGTCAGAGCCGGCCAGGATCATATTCCCGCGGCGACTCTGCATCGTTACCTGACAGACTTCTCCAAGAAATTTGGAGTGTACGAGCGGACACGTCTCAACACCAAAGTTAATACTGTACAGCCAAGCGATGGCGGCGGCTGGCAATTAAGCATAACCTCCAAAGAAGGCCAATACCAACTACAAACGAAGAAGCTGATTCTCGCCACTGGTTTGACCTCGACGCCAAATATTCCCAGCTACCCAGGCCAGGAACACTTCACACCACCTTTTTTCCATGCTAAAGACTTCTGTACCAATGGCGAGTTAGTGGAAACGGCTCAGAATGCCGTAGTTGTCGGCGGTGGAAAGTCTGCGTATGACTGCGCCTATGCATTTGCAGAGAAAGGCGCACAGGTGGATTTGGTTGTTCGACCAACAGGCCAGGGGCCAGTATGGCTGTGTCCTCCCTTTGTAACTCCATTCAAACGAATGATGGAGGAGTTGCTTCACACGAGAGCCCTCACATGGTTCAGCCCTTGCCCTTGGGGAGGAGAAGATGGTTATTCTGTCGCACGAGAATTCCTTCACGGCACAGCCTTGGGCAGGTTGTTGGTCGACAACTACTGGAATCAATTGACCAATGAGGTTATTGAAACACATGGGTTTGATGATCACCCAGCAACCTTTAAGTTGAAGCCTTGGTACTCGGCCATGTGGACGGGCAGTGGCGTGGGGATTCACAACTTCTCCAGCAATTTCTATGAGATGGTGCGAAACGGGAAAATCAGGGTTCACCTCGCTGAGATCACCAACCTCGATGGGGACTCGGTGACTCTGAGCACTGGACAGACCGTTCGTACCGATGTGGTCGTATGTGCCACCGGCTGGAAGAAGGAGTCGACTATCAACTTTGAAAACTTGGGTAAAGGCGGCATGGGCGTAGCCCGCAGTCACGAAGAGATTGAACGCTTGAGTAGCAACGCTGACAAGGAGATTTTGACCCGATTTCCCCGCCTCAAGTTTCAGCCAGTTCTCAGGTATGAACAGACGAAGGAGACCCCACTGCGAAACTACCGCTTCATTGTCCCAGCGTCCCTGGTCTTCCAGCGCAACATAGCATATGCTGGTATGGTGTCAACCGTCAGTACTGCCGCATTTGCCAACGCTCAAGCTCTTTGGATCTCAGCATTCTTCGATGGGAAACTCAAGAGGACGCCAAGAGATGATGACGAGGTCACAAAAGAGGTTATGCTCCACACCCAATTTGGTAAATGGAGATATCCTTGCGGTTATGGAGCCAACCTCCCTGATTTTGCTTTTGATGCCCTACCGTATATTGATCTACTCCTCAACGACATTGGCGTGAAGAACCATCGTAAGGCTACACAAATTGCCGAATTTACTGAGGCGTATAAGCCAAAAGACTACAAAGGTTTAACTGAAGAATTTCTTGAGTTGCATGGAGGGAAGTTGCCGGCGGCTACGAATGGCTTCTAGAGTTAGATAAATTAAATTGATATTTTCCTCTGTGAATAACAGGTCACTTGTTTCTTGCAGGCCAGCAACGGTCCAGATTAACAGAACTGTAGTCATCAACCTACGTCCTTCTAGAAGGGGGTATTAAGAAAGGGCCTTTTGACAAAAGCGCATGCACCAAGGTAGTGTTTCCAAAGACTGCTGTATCAAATGTTCGCTTTTCAAATTTTGTTGATGTAGCAAACCCCTACTAGATGCGATCACTCCGTGGTATCTGGGTAAGACAAGATAAATGTCTACGGGTTCTACCAGATGATTTATCTCCTATCATCTGACTTTAAGGGTATAGATCGGCAACAGCTCGCGTTCATATATATCAGACTTAGGGTATAAGTGGCAGAAAAAAGGCCACGGGTTTTCAACTATCAATGTAAGCAGAACTAAGAGGAATCCTTCAATCTATGCTAAACTACTTAACTCTCTACTTATTATTAGTCCTATCCTTTACATTTTAGCCTTAATAACAGAGTTATTGACCTTCTGGTGAGTAGCAATGATCTTCTTGTAGTTGGGGAAAAGCTCTTGAGGGTCCCATCGTTGTCGGATCTTCAAGAACTTCTCCAATGCAATATCTGACATGACTTTCCCCTATATGACGTGTAAGTTAGTGGTCGCTTCAATAATTGATGGGGATGTGTGCAACATACGTTGGAATCATCGCAGGTAACATCATAATCAGCCACGTAAATACCACAGGCGGCTGGAAGAGCCTGCTTGTACCGGTCCCTCATATGTTGGTAGATATCAGGCTCCAAACCCGGGTCCTTCCACTGCGTGATGGTGGAAATATAGTACTGCTGCGGCATGCTGAGGAGTGCGTCGCCGTCCTCGTCTGGTTTGATGTCGCAGATGCACATGAATGCTGACGACAGGCGCGTGGGGAGCTCGCAAAGGGCAGGCTTAACAGCCTTGATAAGCTGAAAATTCATTGTCAGAGCTACCATTGACTCATCAACGTGGCTGTATTCAACATACCTGTGGTAGTGGCAACGAGGGCTCGTTGAGCATGCTAAGGATAGACCACCGCTGGCCAGCACTTCCAATGAGTCCCCTCTTTTTCTTGTAAATATGCTCAAAGGACGATGCCTGAAGTGGTTTCACTTCAACCAATAGGTCCTTGATTGAAGAAGGAATGTCATCATAGGCACTGAGTAAAATGGAAGCTTGTGCCTTAGTGTCAGCGTAGGCCTGCAAGCTCAGGCCCATGTGAAGCTTTGCATTAGCCGGGATCTCGTCGGTGTCCAAAGTGGGATCATATTTCTCTGGATAGAATATTGTCATGTTGAGATCCGTTCCCCATTGCGGAGTTTTGTTTCCTGACTCAAAGGCCCAAGTCATGAGTTCCTCGTACTTGTCGCCGAGTTCGAAAGTCAAAGATCGGTCCCAAAGATTGGATGCTCGCATCGTTCGGGCCCAAAACTTCGTAACTACTCCGAAGAATGCAAGCCCGCTTCCTCTTGCCGCCCAGAACAAGTCGCGATTCTTAGTTCGGCTGGCAGTAACAACACGACCATCAGGAACAACTATCTCCATTTTGGTGATCCAAGTCTGGGAAGTTGCACCCCACCCTCGGACAAACCAGCCTTGTCCACCAGCGAGCAGGAATCCACCCGCTGCAACGGTTGGTGCATGGCCGTGGGGGAAGAATCTCTTGACGGAGGCCAGCTTTGCGGAGATTTCCTCAACCCTGACAGCTGGTCCAAAATGAATCTCTTGCGTAGTTCGGTCGTATACAGCTTCTCTGTTGAGATTGGTCGTGTCTATCATAATACCATCATCAACAATGGCACCGAGAGAGAAAATATGACCGGACGACCGGACTCCGATACTGACTCCAAGCTCAGAAGCTCTCTTGATAGCCTTGGAAACATCTTCAGTAGTTTCCACTACGTGAATTTCGTGCGGGTAGCGCTCTGGGGTGGCTGCGCTTGGATTGTTTGACCGACAACGTTCATAGTCGTCAGTACCTCGTTGGAGAATTTTGGCAGAGTATTTCCCTTTTGTGGTATACATGATTGTTTTGGGGTTCAAGGTAATGCTGCCTTTGAGAGCTTCGTAGTAACAATAGTTTCGAAATCAACAAAACAACTAGCTTTGTGAATATAATTTCAACCTTGCGTCTTGAGATTGCTTACTGTTACCAGTCAGCAGCACTACGGATACTACCGCGGAGTACGGTTCAACCAGATCCACTTGATAATTTAGATTGCTTGCCCCTACAAATCACTATTCCGGAATTCCGGAATTCCGTACAGGTTTGGGGGAACACCACTTCTCCGGAAGCTAGGATCGGAATGACAAGTCACAATGGTTTGATTACGGGAGATACCGAAATTTATGGTATTTTGCAGTTTGAGTAGTCCGGGTTATGCCCATAGTCGGTTGCTTAAAGCGTTGTCGTTAAGCGAGAATAGGAGCAGTTACAGTCCCAAAGGCAAGGCAACAGACAAAAGCTCAATCACATCAACCATGTCTACAACGTGAGTACACCTGTGTTTCAAAAGATATTACTAACTGACACGGACAGGATGGAAAAATACTCTGCTTCAAGTGCATTCTTCGAATCCCTTGCAGAGGTTAGTTCCTCAAGGTGTCCACCCATGCCTCTCGTATGGTTACATATGGCTGACAGCAAATAGGCCGGAATAAACTATGTCTTTGTCAATCTTGGATCTGACCATCCTGCCATCATGGAGGCATTGGCAAAGGATAGCAAAGGAACAAAATTTCCCAAAGTTATAACCTGTCCTCACGAGGCAAGCACTCTACCGCACGTCATGCCAGATGTGTATTACTAACTCGTGATACAGTATGTTGCTATGTCAATGGCCGACGGTTTTGCTCGTTTGACAGGTAAACCTCAGTGTGTCTTGGTGCACGTTGATGTGGGCACGCAAATGCTCGGGTGTGCTATGCATAATGCATCTATTGCCCGCTGCCCAGTTCTTGTATTCGCTGGCCTATCTCCTTTCACCATTGAAGGAGAAATGCGCGGTTCTCGCACAGAATACATCCATTGGCTGCAAGATGTGCCCGACCAGAAGCAAATCGTGGCGCAGTATTGCAGGTATACTGGTGAATTCAAGACCGGAAAGAACATCAAGCAAATAGTCAATCGGGCGCTCCAACTTGCCAACAGTGGTGCCAAAGGCCCTGCATACTTGGTCGGGGCCCGCGAAGTGATGGAAGAAGAAATCACGCCCTACTATCTTGATCAAACGCTCTGGGAACCTGTGGCTCCTATAGGACTTCCTCAAGAGGGCCCAGAAACCATCGTGTCTACGCTTTCTAAAGCTGAGAAGCCGCTCATAATAGTCGGGTACTCGGGCCGCAACCATGCCACAGTGCCTCAGCTAGTGAAGCTTGTTGAATCGATTCCTGGAGTTAGAGTTCTGGATGCTCTGGGTAGCGATGTGTGTTTCCCTTTCTCCCACCGAGCATATTTGGGAGTACGGATTGGAAAGCACGAGGCGATCCGCGATGCAGATGCTATTGTGATTTTGGATTGCGATGTCCCATGGATTCCCACACAATGTCAAACAAGACCAGACTGCAGGATTATCCAGATCGACATCGACCCTTTGAAGCAAAACATTCCAGTCCACTATGTGCCTGCTTTCCGCAGGTATCAGGCAGACTCTGAAACCGCTCTCCGGCAGATCAATGACTATATCGCTTCCCACCCAGATCACTCTCGTCTTTCACAGCTTGAGCCATGGGTGTCCCGTTGGGAAGCTCTAGGACAGGACTGTCGACAGCGATTAGAGCAAGTGACGAAGCTTGCGGCTCCCCCTTCAGGAGGAAACCATCTGCCACCGTCTACTTCCTATCTCTGTTCACAGCTCAGACAGTCATGCCCAGCAGACACTATTTGGTGCATAGAAGCTGTTACAAACGCCATGTACGTCTATGACCAGCTACAGGTCGATAAGCCTGGTCATATCGTCAACGGCGGGGGCGGCGGTCTAGGCTGGTCTGGAGGTGGTACCATTGGTGTTAAGCTTGCCACAGATTGGCTTTCTGGGGGGGCGGGCAAGGGTAAGTTTGTTTGCGAGATTGTCGGAGACGGTACCTACATGTTCGGAGTTCCGTCGACGGTTTACTGGATTGCCCGGAGGTACTCGCTTCCAACATTAACAGTTGTTTTGAGCAATAAAGGTATGAGTGTCCTCATTTGACCGCAACGTAGTGCATCGGCTGACCAAATCACATAGGATGGAATGCTCCCAGGAACTCGATGGAACTGGTGCACCCTCATGGATATGGATCCAAAATTTCGAATGAGGAGCTGAATATTTCCTTCTCGCCCACACCAGATTTTTCGGGTATTGCTAAAGCAGCAGCTGGAGGAAATGCTTGGGCAGGTGTGGTAGAGAGCGCCGATGATGTCCAGAGACTACTCCCGGAAGCTATTGCCGCGGTGAAGAGTGGGATATCTGCTATTATGGAGGTGCGCCTTGCAGGCTCGTGGGGTGCAGGTAAATTGTAGACGTGCAACTTGAGAAGAAAAAAAGCCGAACTGTTCTATCCTAATATTCTACCATTTACTTCCTCGGCAGTTATGTATCTCCAGATGTTTGTTTACCTTGCTTACGGGAGAAAGTTCGAGTGTGGAGTTAATAACAACAATAGAAGATGCCAGACCCAATATCTCAACACAATGAATAGTTTACATTTCTTAAAACTACGTAAGGTAGGACTAATACACGGCCATAATAACGACTTCCTGGCTGGGAGCTGAATGGAGGGGGGTAGGAGTGTAAAAAAAATAGCAGGAAATTCATCAATTGTATAGGACTACCTCTGCACTGATTTTCTATTTACGGAGCCTAGAAGCAAAGGCTATGTCGGCCATAACGCAGCACAACAGTAATCCTAGGTTCCAATCCGCCCGACGTGCAAGCCTCCAGTGATGGCGATGTCAGTGCCTGTGGTGTAGCTAGATGCATCACTCAGCAGATAAATGATGGCACCAACAAGGTCATCACATGTCCCAATTCGTTGGAGCGGCGGCGTCTTGACCATTATGAGATCCATCTCCGGATTCTGCTTTCGAACATGCTGCGTCATCTCCGTGTCTATGAAGCCAGGCGAGATGCTGTTGGTGCGGATCTGGTGCGGTGCGAGCTCAACAGCAAGGGACTCAGATAGAACCTTGACAGCACCCTTTGTCGCGCCATACGCAGACATCCTATGATGGGGCAAAACCGTATGGGACGTGATGGAGGCGATCAAAACGATGCTACCGCCCTTGCTCTGTTGCTTCTTCATTTGAGCCGTGGCGAGTTGAGCAGTAAGGTATGTCCCCACAACCTTCATGTGTCCGTTAGTTGCTTGAAGGTGGGAGAATCACAAGATGTATTTCTTACATTCACGTCTTGAAGCCTTTTCGTTTCTTGAAAAGTTGTTTCTTCAAAAGCTTTCTCCAGTGCAATGCCTGCACAAGTGACACACCCATCAAGGCTCCCCAAAGCGTCAACAGCCAGTTTAAAAGCCGATTTCAGGCTCGCCTCATCGGTCACGTCGCCCTGAAAATACTTTGCCTTCACGGAGAATTGCTTCGCAATGGCATCGTAGTCTTGGCCAGGTTTGTTCTTGATATCGATCCCCACCACGTTGGCGCCAGCCTGGGCCAGAGCATTCACAACAGAGAATCCTATGCCCTGCGCTCCCCCGGTCACAATGAAATTGCGATTGCTAATGTCAAATCGATTGGAGTTGTCCATATTTCTGTTGTGCAACGATGTTTTTTGGTATGAGGCTAGTATGTTATTAGACAGACGGCATTGACCAAGGAGTTGAAGACATTTGCAGACGTCAAAATAATAGAAGTATCGTCGTGATTGTTATCCAGGCCCATAGGACACTTCTTGAAGACGGTAATGTTGGAAAACTACGGTTCGGGGAATAAACCTGCATTGCATGGGAGAGTGCTATTGACAAAGCTGAGTGGAGATGGCCAATCCGGAGCCTACCAATGCTTACGGAAGTTCGGAATTCGACACCATCATTAGTTTCCGGAACACATAGGAAAGGCTGAACCTTGTTGAGTAGTATTGCGCATGGCTTTAGCGGACCATTACTTGTGCTAACTCTGACAATCCTTGATCTTGCGCCCAGTGCTGCTAGTTTCTCCAAGCGATAGATGACACGGGGATAGATCGGGAGGCTCCTCGTGACTTCCACAATGCCTAGAAACCCGAGATCGGCTTTGGCCGTTACTATTTTCGGATTCGAATCCTTTTAATTGCTTCAATTCAAATCGTAAAAACGACCTTGATGCTTGACAATCTTGGTTTGGACAACAACATCTCGAGTGAACAGTGTCATTACGAATTTCGAGTACCCACCCAGTTAACAATCTTGAGAAATGGCTACCACACAAGGATGGAGGCAGCTTGACATTGCCATCATTGGGGGCGGTATTGGTGGCCAAGCTAGCGCGACATCATTGCGTCGACAGGGCCACAAAGTGACCATTTACGAAAGAGCGGACTTTGCTGGTGAAGTTGGTGCTTCCATCTCGTGCGCTGCCAACGGGACAAGATTTCTAGAAGATTGGAAGGTGAACATTGAGCTTGGTGACCCCGTCATACTGAAAAAACTCATCAGCCGTGACTGGAAGACGGGTGAGCCTGTCAGTGTGTATGACTTGGCTGACTACAAGGAGCGGTGGGGATATGTAAGTGCTCCACTCGGAAGTCAAGATTTGGGATCTTTGAGTAACATTTCTAATTGAATTGCAGACGTATTACATGTTCCATCGGCAGTACATGCACACCATGCTAATGGACAGTGCCCTCTCGGAAAGTGGTGACGGAATTCCAGCAAAGTTGATTGTCAATCACAAGGTGGGCCGCTTGAATGGGCTTGTTCTAAGACCTCAACTTACATTCTTTCCAGGCTGAAACCGTTGACCCTGAAACTGGGGAAATCACCTTCTCCAACGGGAACAAGGCAAAGCACGATGCCGTCATTGGAGCCGACGGAATCGGCTCAGCCGTCCGCAAATCTCTGGGCATTGAAGTCTCCAGGACTCCTGCCACTTGCACCTGTCTACACGCCAACGTAGACACGGAGAAAGCAGTAAAGCTAGGCCTGATTGATTACTCTCAGAACTCAGCCATTGAGTACTGGGGTGGCTATCACACGCACTACAAGATTGTCTTGTCCCCGTGCAATGGTGGTAAGCTCCTGTCTTACTACTGCTTCTTTCCTCGAGAGGCTGGCGACGTCCGCGCTCAGAAGTGGGATGAGGCGTCCACTGTGGAAGAGCTCCTAGCCCCATACCCCGACCTTGATCGAAATGTGTTCAAGCATCTTGCACTTGGGTACGAGGTACGACCCTGGCGCTTGTGGCTTCACGAGCCCTATCCCCTTTGGCAAAAGGGTGTTACATGCATCATAGGCGATGCAGCTCATCCAGTAAGTCGACGACCGCCAGTTAGAAGCCTTCCTACTGACAGCTTCAGATGATGCCGGATCAAAGCCAGGGCGCATGCCAGGCGATAGAGGATTCTGGCGCGCTTGGCCTCGTTTTCAGCAAACAAAATTTCAATGGAGATATCAAGCAAGCATTGGAGGTCTTTGAAGAAGTACGCAAGCCACGGGGAACAAAGGTTCAAGCTGCATCGGCAAGGGCTCGTGAAAATATCAACGAGAGAATTGGTAAGATTGGATGCTTCATCAAAACTCCAATTGGCTGACCCTATCTAGGCTTCTCGAGCAATACCGACAATGAGGTGTATTCAGTTGCAAACGAAGAGGGCAAGCTGACCATTGATGAAATGAACAGGCAAGTCCTAAATCTCGCCGAACTATCAGATAACAGCTAATAATCTTTGTTTCAGGTACGATATGAAGGCTCACATTCGCGAGGTGCTGTTGAGGCGAAGGGGACAAGTGCCGGAGCCTGCCAATGGCAAAGCGTAAACTCGGGATCGCAACCAGCTCGGGCAAGAGATTCAAATCCTGTCACATACACTTGCCTCTACAATACAGCCAGAACTCCATGTTAAATTTCGCGATGGCTTGGAATATAAATCAAAGGCAATTCCATCTGCTCTAAATTTGTGCGGAAAACATCTGTGGATTTGAGTCAAATACTAACCATCACTTGCTAAGCATTAAGTAGTCGTGCCTTGTATGTTCCATTTAACTCAGTGATTTACTTACCGAGTTACCTTCGCACGCCTCTAGGTGTATTTATTGTTGATTAGATACTTCTCCAATGAGATTAAAGCTTGGGTTCCCAGCGCCGCCGCTCTAATTGGAGATATTTGGAGTGCAGGTGCAGGTGATAAGTTAGTTTGCCCTGATATTAGCTACCCTAGATGCCAGTCTGGTCGCTGGTCCGTCCGTCCTCTGTTCATTTGCTGTTGTTTTTTGTTGTAATTATCTACCTTAGGTAAGCAAGGGGCGTGTCAGGCCACGTGACGTTATTTCATAATTTTCTATACCAAATCAAGAACCTTCATAAATAAATATGGGTGCCTGTGTTCATGCCTACCCTACAGCCCCAACCTCTTGGCTCCTACGCAGGAAATATTCCAGCAATGAGAAATTGATTAAGATGAGTTCAATATTAGAGATGTAATACATGCTTTCTTTACACTAATGGAGCCGTTTTCCTTTCAGATGAGCTTTGAACGTATAAAATTTCTCAACCAAGAAAGTGTCCTGGACTCCATATCGAAGATTGTGGTATTTCCAATGCAAACAGATTTCTGTTTAGAAAGCAGACTCGCCACCCCGTTACACTAAATTCTTGTACCTTATTGGTCCAAACAAGGGTACTGTGGGGTCTCGTACTTGTCTAACTATAATCAGGATAGCGCCTCCTAATCTTACGGTCGCCGCGGAGCTGTTCCACTTGTCGGGGAAACGACTCACAATCGGGGAAACGTCCCGACACATGCGGAATCTCCGGTTTCCTCCAAATACGCTAAACTGGTTTCACTCAGCAGCAGGGAACTATGGTGTTGAGGATGTTTATAAGGTGGCATCCAAATAATCGACGACTGGAGCCAAATATTTATCACATCGCGTCATTCTTGAAAAGACAGAAAGAAAGAAAAATTGATTGATCATTTTTAGAGAAAAGCACACTACGTGAACTGGACTTAACAACACAACGTCGCAATGGGTGGACTTCCTAATGGCAATCACACCAAGACCCATTTCGGAACCAATCTTCCTCTCATTGTTGATGGTAAAGATGTCACCACAGGGAACGTCATTTCTGTCATTAGCCCTCTGACCGATAAAGAGGTGTGGACAGCATCTGCTGCATCTACAAAAGAAGCTCTTGATGCGGTGACGGCGGCTGAAAAGGCATTCCCAGCGTGGTCTAAAACAAAACCCTCTGAAAGACGTGACCTTTTCTTGCGCGCAGCAGAACTGTTCTTGGAGAGAAAAAAAGAACTGCAGACAATCATTCATCACGAAATTGGGGCCGACGAGCATTACCAAGAGTTCATCATTGGCCTAGCTGTCGAAGGACTGAAAGACACCGCTGGTAGAATAGCGAGCGCGGTCGAAGGCCACGTTCCAGCTTCTACTCATGATGGAATGAGGGCTTTGATCCAGAAAAAACCATATGGTGTCATCTTGGGGATCGCTCCTTGGTAAGTTTTCAGGCCACCACAACCATTTGTTATCCACTAATACTTTGGTCAGGAACGCGCCGTATCATCTTGGTTTGAGGTCCATCAGCTTCGCTCTTGCAGCTGGCAACACGACAGTTCTCAAGGGCTCCGAGCTCTCTCCCCTCTGTTACTGGGCCATTGCCGATATATTTCGCCAAGCTGGGTTACCAGATGGGTGTTTAAATTTGATCCTTCACCGGCCGCAAGACGCGGCGGAGGTTACGAGCGCGCTGATTGCCGACCCTCGCATCAGAAAAGTCAACTTCACCGGAAGCTCAGGCGTAGGCAGCATCATTGCAAGCCTTTGTGGTCAGCACCTCAAGCCAGTTCTTCTGGAGCTCGGTGGAAAGGCAAGCGCCATAGTTATGGGCGATGCGGACCTGGAAAATGCCGCAAAGCATTGCGCTCTCGGAGCTTTCATGAATGTGAGATATAGCCCTCTGATTTCCTTCCCAAACCAGCTGATCAAAGCGTGCTTGCTGATGTTGGTCTAGGCGGGTCAAATATGCATGTCGACGGAACGAGTTGTGGTACATGCCTCAGTTGCCTCCAAGTTTCAGCAGCTCTTTACCGAAGCCGTTGACAGACACTTTTCTTCGGCTACTAATAAGCCAGCTCTGATAACATCTGCTTCTGCCAAGAGAAACAAGGATCTTGTGCAAGATGCACTCTCTAAGGGCGCGCAGCTGCTGCATGGAGACAAAGGGTCGACTTCTGCAGAAGGTGATGTAGCAACGAAAATGTCCGCAACAATTCTTAGTGGCATCAACGAGGACATGAAGCTGTACGCAACGGAATCGTTCGGTCCTAGTACTTCATTATTTGTCTATGATTCCGAGGAAGAAGCTTTACGTTTGGTAAATGATACCGAGTATGGTTTGTCGGCAGCAATCTTCACTAATGATCTCGGGAAAGCTTTTCGATTTGCTGATGGCCTGGAGTCTGGCGCTGTACATATCAATTCTATGACTGTACACGATGAATTTGCTCTTCCTCATGGGGGAGTCAAAAAGAGTGGTTATGGGCGGTTCAATGGTTCCCAAGGCTTGGATGAGTTTTTGTACTACAAGTCAGTGACCTGGATGGAATAATTCATTGAAGCTCGAAAGCCCTCAGCAATGAAAAAATTTTGATCGAAAAAATGATTGATTAGAACTTTGTGTAATTGGATGCTTCAAATAAAATGTAACAAATTGGTAATTGACGCCCACTAGATAAGCACCCAGTATTCATACGCCTTTGAAGCATAACATAACTCTTTCTACAATTTGGAACAATTCTTCTTTGTGATTATCTTGAATGACGTCTTTCTTGCTAGATGGCTTATATCTCAGCTTGGAGGGCTATTGATTGCCATTCTGTTAGGAAGCCTCTTTCCAAATAAGAAGGACAGCTCACTCTTGACAGCGTGCTTAACGCCCCCTTGGCCATATTCGACGGCATACTTGAAGCTTCGCTCAAATCCAACAGCCGAGGCCCCACGACAAATAGCTCTAAGCACATTGGAACCTTTGCAGAAGCCACCATCAATCAGAATATGCATGGTAGTAAATACCTCTGGACAATTGGTATTGTTATACTCCTCTGATGTATCCCGGCCCGCAATGTGATAAATTACTGAGGATTTGCATCAGGCTTTGAGCCTGTTTAAAACCCACAATGGCTTTTGTGACAGTTGACGGCTTGTCGGCCCCACAGAATGGCTGGGAGTAAAGGCGGTGATATCATATATTTTTATCAAAAAGTATTTACACATTATTAGGGTTGCTATGTTGATTAATCTCAGACATGGAGACTGGGCGGACGTTCTACCAACTGCTGCATAGACGATATCGGCATGATTTAGAGTGATACAAGGACGCCGATTAGGGCTTCTCATTATCAAAGGGATTCATCTTGAAATAGGACCCCTTTCTATTCGCCGGCGTATAGCATGCGAACCAGGAACGTTCCGAACGGCTTTCCGTGCCTATCTCCAAGACAAGTCCCACAAGACCCCGTAGTCTAGATTGTTCGCCACTGATAAGCATCCTGGTATTTCGACGGCTTGCGCTACCCGAAACGCGGGGAAAGTGCCGTTGGAGATGTGTCACCTCCCTGCCTTTGATTGGGTTGTTGTGACCCGCCTTGCATAGACCAAACTCAATATATACAAAGCCTGGCCTTCCCATATTGTTTCGGACGGCTGGAACGAAGAGAATTGCCATCGTCATTGAGATCTTGAGGCGACGCATCCTATCCACACATCTCAATTCTCTTTGTCCCAGCTTGATCACTTCGAATCTCGAGCCTAAGATTGATGAGGTTCCTCAAGAGTAAGTCCACAGTGTTGGGCCGATAATTGTGAATTCTGGCTAACGTTCTCGTCTCTTGCAGTGGCCTCTAAAAAACCAACCGCCGTGTCAATTGAAGACCTTGCCATCGTCCCCACGAACGCTCAATCGATTGTGGAGGTAGGCTATTGCCACCTATATCTTCTCGAAGACTTCTAGTTGATACTGCAAATAGACGTACAAGAACTTCAACACGCTCTCTATACTTTCCCTCGCCGTTTCCCTTATGGCAACATGGGAAGGACTCCTGAGCACATTTGGTCAGGGCCTCAATGCAGCCGGTCCTGTGTCATTGGTCTATGGGTTCATCGGTACGGTCTATTTGGTCACCTTGATCAAGTTTGAGAGGGCATATGCTAACAGTGTGTTTTTTTTAAGTTGCATTCATCGGCAGCACGGCGACCGCCGCGTCTCTATCCGAACCAGCGTCGAGGTTTGTTGTAGAATTGAAACGCCCGAGGCTTCATCGAGCTGATAATGATCTCCAAGGTACCCTACGGCTGGCGGCCAGTACCACTTCATGGCCATGCTGAGCTCCGACAAGCATCGGCCTTGGCTTAGTTGGTATGCAGGCTGGCTGACGATTCTCGGTTGGCTCGCTTTGACTGCCAGTGCTCCTTTTGCTGGAGGAACTCTGATCCAGGGCCTCGTCACGCTCAACTACCCGGATTACGTCCCCGAGAGGTGGCATGGGACCTTGCTCTATCTCGCCATTCTTGCTATTGCCTTTGCCCTCAACTTATGGGGAAGCAAGCTGCTTCCACTGATAGAGAATGTCATCATGGCTCTGCACATACTCTTTTTCTTCGCCATACTCATCGCCGTTGCGGTGCTTCCCCGCAATAGGAACTCTGCGAGCTTTGTGTTCACAAACTTCCAGAATAACACAGGTTGGGAGAGTGACGGAATAGCATGGTGTATAGGACTTCTGACATCTGCCTACATTACAGTCGGTCAGTGGGCTGCACCCTGCCTGAAGCTTAGGATTACTTGACTCGCTGACTCTGGATTATTGCTCAGGTTATGACTCTGCGACTCACATGTGTGAAGAGATGAAGAACCCTACAATGGGGGTACCGCGTGCTATGATAGGGTCTCTCCTCATCAACTGCACCATGGGATTCGCTGTACTAATTGCTGTCCTCTTTGGTATTGGAGACATCAATGAGGCGCTTGCATCTCCAACTGGATTCCCCATTATCACAGTGTTCACGGACATGACGCGTGGAAATACGTCAGCGAGCTCAGCCATGGTCTGCACCATTATTATATCCGCATCTTTGGCCACCGTCGGACTGATCGCTTCGACATCTCGATCATTGTGGGCATTTGCTCGTGATGATGCTCCGCCGTTTAGCCCTTGGCTCGCCAGACTTGATAAGAAGCGCCATACTCCTTCTAATGCAGTGATTTGCTGTTCCGTTTTCCTGGCTCTCTTGGGCTTACTCAACATTGCATCTACGACTGCGTTCACTGCCATTTTGTCGCTTACCGTGGTTAGCCTGAGCTTGTCCTATGTGCTGCCGATTATTGCTATGCTCTATCGTCGAATCGCAAACGTCGAGAAGATTTCCTTTGGGCCTTGGCGAATGTCGCCTGTTCTGGGCACTGTTTTAAATATTGTTGCAATTTCTTACAACATCTTCCTCTGTATCTTCCTTCTGCTGCCTCCTATTCAACCAGTCACGGCTCAGAATATGAATTATGCTAGTGCTGTTCTTGGAGGGGTCTTGGTTTTTATTACTGTCGACTGGTTCATTCGGGGACGAAAGGTGTATAGTGGACCTCAATATCTCTAAATCTCAGCGCAAGTTGTCTGTTCATTGAGCCTGGATGTTAAGGCCATATTCAACATTGACGAGATCAACAAATAACTGTACTTCTTGCTCCAGTTGGGAAGTGCTTGTTTCAATTGGACAGTCATATTGATAAGGTCTTGCACATCATTCTGATGATCTGAGCTATGAAAATTGAGCTAGACTAAGAAATTTGATATTTAAAGAATATCTGCTGACCATGCATTGTCGTCGAACCATCGTTGAAAGTCATTACTCAGAGAAGGATCAAATTCTAGGTTCTGAATTAAGCCGATGCTGTTATCAAGTGCAATTCCCTCCAATGGTAAATCGGTATTAATTTTGCTGACAAGTCCACTCTTATTTATTAGGATATGAGGTTGAGATGCTGATAGATTTGCATAGTTGGTGGCTGTTGTAGACGGCGTAGCTAGAACTGGAATGATGGCCGTTAACAACCGAACGACAATGAATAAAATGCAGTTAGAAGCTAAGCTTACCCCATTCCTCAACCACTCGTTGTAGATCTTGGAGGTACTTGATACATCGGCTGAGGAGTTGATTGTCTTGGTCCAGCTGCAAGAGTGCTTCGATAGCTTGTCCCAAGATATGCTGCCCCATCTCCAATTGACTGACGCTACCTAAGCTGACATTATTGTCGGCTTTGGGCACGAACAAGCTCCCAAAAACTAATAAACTTGCGTTGAAGACTGCGAATGGAGGTTAGTTGCACCGATTGACAAGGAAGGGGTTTTGAAGTTCTAACCGTAGTAGAGAGTAAACCACCAGGCGCCCAGGAAATGCTTTCCAAGGTCCGGCCGAGTCAATACGCTGTGGACAATATATATTATTTTCCTAGCATAGTCTGTGCAACTGTCACTAAGATTTAGTTGCATTTGGCTAATGGACTGCTGTGACTGTGACGAGTCAAAGTCTGTGCTGAGTAGTTTGGTGAGAACAGGCCGGTATAGTAAAAGCTGGGCATGGAGGTATCTCATTGTCAGCACGAATCTGTATCTCTCTCCAATGGGATTACTGCTATCGACAGTTAATATGTTTTCTGTTGTGACTAGACTCAAGCCAGGACCTAGTGAGTCTTGCCACTCATTCAGCTCATGCTGAATGAGAAAGATCTGTGTGATCATGTTGGTGTCTGATGTCTCCTCGCATCCCAGGTTATGCCCATAAAGGCTGCCCATGATGTGCCATAGAATCTTGTATAGTGAGCTAAGTTCATTAGTTTGTAATCTTTTGGTAGAGGCACTCGCTTTGGTTCTACTCACACAGTTCCAGCGAAGAACGATATTCCGGTATGATCAATGTGATCACCTTGCACAAGCCGCGGAACGTCCAGGCGCACATAATCATCCGGTATCGCACTTGGACGCCCAAATGTCATACTAAGATGTCTAGAAGATGGTCAGCGTGTACTGAAATGCCTCGAGGAGGCAGACGCGTACCTGTCAAGAAGAACGCAGCTGAGCCATGTCCGTTTCCCCATCTCTTGCTCAACGTCTGGCAATCTGCGCAATGCTTCTTTGGAATGGATTCCTATTGACATGGCTGCTTTGACTGCCAAACCGTGTACAGCCCAGGTTTGGACGGACTGTTGAGTTCCCTGAAGGTACTGGCTCGTCAAGAGGAGAAATTGCACTTGCGTAGATAATGTCAGAAATGAATTGGTCGAAGTTTGAAAGATTCCGTTCCTTACCGGTCTCCAAACTAGTTCCGCGCTGCATCGGCTTTCCACAAAGCTCTTGGGCGCGCTGATAGAAGATGGCAGATTCAAAATGCGAAGTCGGCTCAGTAGTGCTTTGTCGCCCGCTCTCACTCCAAGCCGCCATCGCGAGTACCATGTTCAAGAGTCCTAGGAATGTTCGGCGCACGTTACCACGAAAGTTTTGCTCGCGAATGTGACTATAAGTCTCGGCAAACGAAGGTTTATGGATGTACGGAAATAGCATGCCGGTATTTGAGAAGTATCGGTTGACCAACTGCTCTGTTTGCTCATGAGAGGGTAGGATGTTGCATCCTCCTGGACTTGACGCATCTCCGCTCGCACTACACACATTTGGCGACTCGGGGAATGCTCGAGCAAGATTGATAGCGCTGGTGCGATTTGCATCGGCCGGGTTTTTGAAGCCCACGATAGTATTATTGATATTAGCAGCCCGCTTGTATGCCACGGCACGGAAAATGGTACGCATAAGGGCGATGTTCGACGTAGGTCCTGCAGAATTTAGTTTGTGTCGATAGAAGGCTCTAATGCTAGAAGCGAAACGCACCAAAGAAGCTGCAGTCTTCATCTTTCACTAGAGACATTGCCATCCCGTCAGTCTTGTCATGCTGTGACTGGGCGTCAGTCTCAAGAGGATCTTGAATGCTAATAACAATCATGCCAGGGGGCGCGGATATTGTGTGTTCCCCATTCCTTTCCTCACTGTTGACAACCGACGAAGGAGCCATGGTGCCTTCATCTTTGCTCGACGGGCCTATATGATTAGATTGTCTCCTCAACTGCCTCTCAACCGCCTCTACTCTGGCTTCAAGAGCAGCAAAGATACTGGCAGGGCTTTAGCGACTGATGCCAGGTGAGGTAGATGGAGTTACCCAACTCTGGTTGGACTCGGGACACCTACTCTTTGCCAATAATGAGATTGGATGATGAATTGGGCATCTCATAGGTACACTCGAAGCCCATCCGCTCACACAGCGAGCATTTCGGGCGCTGGCCATTGCACTTACGACCCATTATCTGCAGTCAGCACTTGGATCTCGGGACCAACATTATGGCTTATGAGACACACCCTCGATTTGCGCGTGCGACAAGCACTGCACGCCAAGGCAATACGCCGGCGCTTGCTATTGTTTGGCCCGCTCTCTTCTTGATGATTATCCTCGTGGGTGCTCTCAACGGACGGACTTGCGCTGCTGCGGCCTCTCCACATCTTCGGAAATCGTCAATCTGCACGGTTGCCTGAGTTGAGTGTGATTTATCCGATCGATCAAGATTGTCGAGCGCGGGAGGCTAATAATGGGGATTATTTGATGACCATTCTTTAACCCCAGACTGGGTGGACACTCATGATCTGGTCCACATGCCAGAAAATGGTAACATGTAATTACATCTTCTCGGGATCACTTACGGACTTGATCTTCGCCCTCACCTCCACTTCGGTTCCCCGCACATCTCGTTCCGCCAATTCCGACATCCCAAGTTACACTTTGGCTACTGGTTTGATGCCCCAGAAATAGCTTATCATACGCACCTGTCACATCTCGACTTCTTATCTCTTTGGAGAAGCTAGAGTAGTAGTATGTAACTGGTAGGGGGTTGGGGTGATAACGTTAGGAAATCCTCGGATAGGAGATACTTATTTGTTAGAGATCGTTTCACCATGTTGGAAGTACCACTGATCCGTAGCCTGCTTCACTAAACCTCACCACCAATTATAATCCCATGTAAAATTCAATCCTAGAAAGGCTTGATAAGTCCTCACCATTAAATTGCGGGGAAATAAATTATTGCTGCTCTAGCTGCTTCTTTTAGAGAGCCATCTTCCCGATTTGTATTTGATGGACCACGAGTCTGAGCTCCACGCGTTTGGCGTTACATCAAGAGCACATGTTACGAAATGTGAATTTAATCTATATAGACCAAGGTTCTGGACATTCTATGATTGCCGACAATTCAATATCTGAAGCTACTGAGACTCTTTAAGTTCAACCCATACAGTTTTATGCAATACCCGCACCTCAGATTACTGTTACTGTAGGTGGCCATCACGCGAACTCCACCCCGTTACGAAGTGTTCCAATCTCACTGACACTAACCTCCATCCTGGTCTCAGGGACAAGATAACGAGGGGGCTTCAGTCCTGCACCAACTCCTGCGACAGTCTCTGTTAGTATCAAGCCGTGCAAATTAAGTATCATGTACCCGACGTACCTCCTGGTGTACCAGTCATAATGATGGAGCCTTTCTGGAGGGTCGTGCCCGTGGAGAGATAAGAGATGAGGTACGGGACACTGAAAAGCAGGTCGTCTAGCCCAGAAGACTGTCGTAATTCTCCGTCGACGACCGTCTTCAGCTGCAATTTAGCTGGGTCTGGGATGAGAGCCGAGCTGACCAATACTGGGCCAAGAGGCGCATAAGTGTCGAAGCCCTTTGAGAAGCCCCATTGTGGCACAGGGCCTGCAAGTGTGCTGTCACGCTGCAGCTTCCGGCTAGATATATCGTTACCTACGGTGTAAGCCGCAACGTAATCGAGAGCATCAGCCTCAGAGACATCCTTGGCATCCTTTCCAAGTACCACGCACTGTAGACATCTTAGTAGGCGGCTTCCAAAGTTTCCCATGACATGCACTTACTAGCTCGCCTTCGTAGTCTGCTTGGTCGTCCTGAGCAACTTTTGGCACAACAACGTTTGCGCCGTGATCCAAAACTGCAGGGGACCCTTTGCAGAACATGAACGGATATGTTGGTGGTTTTCTTCCCGTCTCACGAACTTCAAACGAATTAATCGGTAAGAACAGAATGCTAGCGAACAAGACACAACCCAGCGGCTGCGCAAGTAGAAGAACGAGGTCAACTTACTGTGGGTTGCGTAGTTCAGTCCAATGCACCTGATGATTGGAACCTCTGATGGTTCTACAGGTCCTAGAAGTGTCTTTACGGTCACGACTTCGCCTGTCACAGATGTCTGCCCAGACGTGTCATAGAGATCTTTACCGGCGATAACTTTGGCTTGCAGTTTAGTGCTTTCATCTGTCCTGCCGAGGTCAAAGTCAGGTGTTGGTAAGATTGGTTGTCCTCGCAATGTTCGCCCATCAGTGGCGATGAATCGGATGGCGCGATCCCATGATACCTTCATCTTGTTTGTAGTGTGGCTGCAGATAATACTGACACAGGTGAAGAGAAAGAGTAGATCTCACCCAAGAAATCTAATAAGGCAAAACTACTAGTGGTTCAAAACCAAATGATCCATTCGAGCCACAACCTTCATGTACCGTACTTTCCGGGGACTGACAGGCTGGTTCCCGATCCTTCCCCGACTTGCCTCTTCTTGGTGGGGACATGCGGGTGTATCGGAAAGATACCCGATCCGCGGGAGAGGTAGTCACTTGGCATGGCCGGGAAAGCCACCCCATGATGCAATGCTATGGAGTCTAGTCATCCGGATCCTAACAAGAAACAAGACTTCCATGATTAAGATCTAATCAATCAATTTATAATAGAAGGCTTTTCCAAGGTTTCTTATCGATCCAGTTATTGAAGATCAAATTCAAGGCTTATCATTCCTGCAAAAGACACTTCATCATGGCAACTCAGACGATCAGCGCAAGAACCCAGAACGGAAATTCCATTCCGGAGAATATAGCTGCAAAGGGCGACAATGGCTCTCACAAGTTTGAGACTGGCGAAGCCTTGGTTGAAGCTCTTACGGATGTTAACGTACTCCCTCTATGGGCGCAGATGGCAAGACTCAACCCTGCGCTTCCAAACCCAACTACCAAGCCCTTCATTTGGGAGTATGAGAAGATCCGGCCATACTTGGTGAGCGCTGGTGAGCTCATCAAGGAAGAGCAAGCTGAGCGACGTGTTCTTATGCTAGTCAACCCCGAAAGAAGTATGCATCAAGAGACAACCGCAGAGACATACTCGTAATATACTGACACACTCATAGCTGCTCCTTATACTACCGACACACTGTACGCTGGACTGCAGCTGGTCATGCCACGAGAGACGGCTCCTGCCCATCGTCACTCTGCCTTTGCCGTGCGCTTCATCATTGAAGGGCAAGGTGGTTTCACGGCTGTGCATGGTCGCCGCGTCGAGATGAGACCTCGCGATGTTCTTGTCACACCAACATGGAACTGGCATGATCACGGCAAGAAAGGGGCAGGAGAAAAGGGCGGTGATGACTCCCCCGTCATCTGGCTCGATGGCCTGGACCTGCCCGAGTTCATTCACTTCCCAGTCCACTTCAACGAACACTACTCGGCTTCGCGATATCCGGCCGAGAATGTTGATAACTCGCCAATTGTCTTCCCGTGGGACAATATGCAAAAGAAGCTCGATAGCCAGACGTCAGCGTGGGCCAAGGCACGTTATTTAAAAGAGAATGGTTCTGAACGTAAGTCACTGAGGGAGATGAACACTTCCAGGAGTCGAAGAATGCGTGTATAAGTACTAACCTTTCCGAAGTGAGTAAGACTATTGGAGCATCCGCTGAGCGCATCGAGGCTAAGTCCGAGTCACCATCAATCCGCGAGACTTCATCAGCAGTCTACCATGTCATTGAAGGAAGCGGTTATTCGCAAGTAGGGGATAAGAAAATACACTGGAAGGCTGGTGATACATTCTGCATTCCGGCATGGTATCGCTACCAACACTTTGCTGGTGATGAGAAGGCTTACCTATATCGTTTTGATGATCATCCTATGCTCAAGGCACTTGGCTTTTACCGCTACGAAGGTCAAGACTCTGAATCACTGGTTTCGGAATAGACATGACGTTGCTAGGGGACCCCATTCCTTATTATTCACCGACCGTATCATTGTGTTGCGACACTAGTCGAGAACAAACATTGCATTCGAATACCATTTAGCCAGTGCTGATCCTTTAGATATGACATAAGTGACCATTATGATAAGGTCTTATCTGAGAACATGCATCGATTATCATCAGTCATCACTCTCCGTCCGCTTGCTGTCGCTCTCTAAGCTTCAATACAGGTCCATCATGAAGAGACGTAAACACATCATAGAGTTGGAATTCATCTTTCCTGCCTCTGCCATCCTTTCTACCGACAGTACCAGCGCCAATCTGGCCTTGCGGTCCAGGGGCGATTTCCAGGTCAAAGTAATACAATGTTTTGGCCATGGTCAGGCTGATTTCGAGATAGGCCACTGCCTTTCCAGCACAGGATCGACCACCCACCCCAAAGGGAGCGAATGCGCGCCGCATCAATGATGAAGAGTCTCTTCCTTCAGCTGTCAGCCACCTTTCCGGAATGAACTGAAAAGGGTCTGAGAAGTATTCCTCATTATGATGCAGAGCGTATATGTTAACAGCAACCTGACTTCCACTGGGGATGACATGACCGTCAACCACAAGAGGAGGGTCTTCTAAGCCACCGTCGGCCAGCTTTTTTGGTGGGATTTTCTCGCGCCATAGCATGCCTGGAGCAGGGGGGGACATGCGCAATGCCTCGTCGATGCAGGCTCGAAGGTATATACAATCTCGTAGTGCCTTTCCAGAATGAATATCCTCACCGGATTGGAAATGAGTTCGTATCTCTTTATTCAGCTTTTCATAGACGCTTGGATAGCGCGTCAAGTAAAAGAAGAGCGCAGCCATGGCGGTTGCTGAAGTGGCACCTCCAGCAACGACGAAGAAGAAGGCTTCAGCCCACAGCTCACTGTTGATGAGACTTGTGCCACCTTTCATGCTGTCCGCGGCATATGCATAAAGATCTCGCTTGGCATCTTTAGGAATGCTGGTGCGGTTGACGATCATCTTCCCGATGATGCTCCTGTACTTGTTGCGAATCTTGCTTCCCAGTATCTTCAGGGCGGGCTCAATGAAGGCTAACTTGGGAAACTGCATGTAGATATTAACACGCACATTGACGAAAGATAATCCCCACATCAGCCACTGATTAGTTTCCTCTGTCTGCATCTTGAGAGGATACCCGAATCCGAGATGTCCTACCACGTCCCCCCCAAGATACTCGAGGCGTTTTGTCATATTGATTGGCTCCGACAGACGGCATGATTTTCGTAGCTGCTCAACAAAAGTGTCAATCTGTTCTGCCATTGTAGGTTCAAAGTCCCGCATGGCTTTCTCGGAGATGGGCTGGCTGATGATCTTTCGCTTTCTGCGATGCTCGTCGACTTCAGGAGTATCGAAAACATTTCCCAAAGGTGTCATTCGGGTCAGGACGTAAACGCCGGATTTTGTCACCAAGGGGTTCGCGTATATGTCTAAACATTGGTTAGCAGGTTATTTCACGTCGCGAAAGCCTTGCCAGTATTTACCTTGAACTGCTGTGATCGTATTGAAAATCAATCTATTTGGACCGTACCGTACCACAGGGCCGAACTTGACATGGTTTTCGTAACTTGCCAAGTGGCCGCGCCTCCTTATAGCTTGTATGCCGCCATAGAGATTGGTCACTTTTGCGAGAAAAGGCCCTGGGATATTCTTGAATGGATGAAGGAAAAGGCGACGGGAGAAGAGTAAGAACAGCTGTCCCTATGTCAATCAAAATACACCCGGAAACTGCGAGTGCTTTGGACTTACCCATGCGATGAGCAGATAGAGAAAATATGTCCCTACTACACCTACAACAGCCGTCCAAGCCATACTTGGGGTAAATAACAAGAGGTATACACTGTTGATTATGGGTATTGGTGAGGTGGCTAGAATCGATGCTTATTAACGTGGAGAGTTGTCGAGAAAATATAGGGCGATTAGAATGAGAATTAGAGACTGTCACAGTCTACCCGTAAGCTTAATATTGAGCTTGCCAGGGTCGTGACTAGGAGGTGGTGTGTCATTAATATTGTGTCAGACAAACAATTGGAAGGGGTGTCATCCCTGTGCTTGGCAGGAAATCCTGATTTGAATCGAAGTACCAACGCGTAAGGGCATTGTTACGTTGTTGAGGCCGCCGTTTAATCTAGTAAGTTCCATTACCAACAAACTATTGAAACCCTGTCACCCGCGCATAATATGTATCAATCCCGGCCCATTTTCGTGTTGGGCAAATAAATCACGTCAGTATCATGCGGGAGATGCAAGCCGACTACGGTTGTCCTCATTATTAGATGAGCTCTGGCAAGTGTCGCTAACTAGGGGATGAGGAGAAAGATATGTCTATATTTGGCGTATGCTCAATAATGTATGGCACAGTAGGACGAGTCCAAGACGGGTTGCTATCAAGCTCGAGAGTCAGACACATATCAGAAAGTAGTTGACAACCTATTTCGTAAAGTGTTCCTAAAAGAAGCGGTCGTTGTTGTACTTTATCGCAGTTCAGTGTCGATTCGGAGAGAAATACAATTACTCCACTACTGATGTTTCTACTAAATGTTTCTTGATAATGTTCATTTGCGACCAGGAGCGCGAGGTGATATCTGCTTAATGAGTCCCTTGCTTTGTGGTCCACGGATGCTGGCTTGTTGCCAAGTGTGAATACACCTGTTCTGGAGCAGCGGGATACTGCTCGTTGGTATCCCATTCCACTGTGCGAACAATTCCAGAATTGTGGCCGTGTCTTTCGCTCGCTTCATCCGCCCCGTTCCCAACAGGCCGGGCTGTTGTAGGCGCCAGCTCATGCCCAGAGTCACCATCCTCCATTCTATCATACGGGCTGATTGGCATGTCTGAGACCTTCACGGCTCCTTTACTTGCCCAGCTCCCACTACCAGCAGTTACAGTTCCCCTTGATGATTTGCGCATGGAAGTAACCCATGACTTAATCGATGAGAACATACTGGTGAAGAAGGGGCTTTGGGTAAATAGCTTGGGAATCGCTGGCACGGAGAGCACCATGATGACGCATGAACACTCAGATAGTCCCCAAAGGTATGCCCCAGTGACTGCGTGAGTTACATCTCCTTGGTAATTCAACGTAAACGTAGATTGAATGCGGCCCGCGGCGCAAGCACAAGCACTGTGAGGGAGGTTAATGCGAGCAAGACAGAAGGGAGCAGTGGCGGAGACGTACAGCAGTCCAATGGAGAAGATGATGGATACTCCGAGACGGCGTTGCCCCGTCATATTTAGTTTCCAAATGACTCGCTGTGGGAGTAGCAGGATTATGACATCCATGACCAGATTGAATACCGCAGATGGTGCATCAACTCTTTTGCGGTCGAGACACGTTCCGTCGATCCACCTGTTCCAAATCTTCTCTCGTGGGTTACAGTAAAAATGCACCACAATAATGAAAGCCAGATAGAAAAGGATATTGACAACAATCAGTACGTGGCAGGTCCAGAAGAATTTGTTCCGAACACCGTTTGGAACAAATATATGAGTCCATTCCAAGAGGACTGCCGATTTGGCGAATAGCATTGTGAAGCAATACATTATCGGGTTGATGTATAGCCGCTAGTTAGTATGGTCATTAGAAAGATGTTCTCTATGTTATTACCGCAAGTAAAAGCCATGCAATAGGGATTGGAATCTTACATAGGAGACTTTGGACATGTCCCAGGCCGAGACATTCCACTGGTGGACCCAAAGACCGACAACGCTCCCGATTGAAACGCCAGCCCATACTACACCGGCATAGAAACCCTGTCTTGGTCAGTGTCTTTCTTGGTCTCACAGAGAGGTAGTAGCATACGATGGCAATAAAGCCCATGACTATTCAAGAGTAAGTAGATGCTCCAAGGTTCCACCTATGGGGCAGATGGAGGGAGGGGGCTCGTACCATCCTCAGCCCTAACCTTCCGGAGGAGAAAGACTCGAGTGTATAGACGTGTTGTGAAGCAAAGGGTTGAGATAGCAGTAATGATTGATATGCAGACCATCCCAGCAACGGTATGATTAGGGGGGTCGACGAAATTCGATACAATACCATCGGGAGGAGTCAGTGCTGGTCTTTTCTCCAGCATAGCCTGTTGAAGTGAAGGCGGTAGTTTATTGAAATTCTCCATTTTGTACAATGGTTAGCCTAAGAAAGATAATCTAAGATCAAAGACTTTGGATTGCGTTGGTTGGTGTTAGGGAAGACTGGACGTTGAAGACTTATTCAAACATGCGGAATGGATCCCACCGCATTAATACCAACAGGCTCAGGAGAATACGGAGTAGGATCTTATCCAACAAAATAATCGGTTTAGAGATAAATAAAAAAAAGAGAGACCAAGCAGGAACGGAACCAAGAGATCTCGGAAGAATGAAAATGAGGCGGTTACTCAATCCAGCGACATCCTCCGAACGACTCCGCGTCGCGTCCTTGAATCCTTCAAGGAGGCATTCCTCAAATCAGGGATGCTTGGCCGAGATATCGCGCACCAGATTGCGGAATGCAAGTGCCAAACTCGCCACCACGGTCGCATTCGATTGTTGGGGCCATTTTCTTGATAGTACCTGCACATCGAAACAAACTACTTTTAGCAGGGTGCTACCAAACACTATTTATCCCTGTAAATATTGGCAAACGGGAAGGACTAAGGTGTCGAATGCTACGCTGGAGACTATGTGTGTACCATTTCAGGGGTACGCAGCTGGTTTGAAAGATGTATCCGATCTTGGGTGTGTGTGTGATATGGATTAGAAATGTATCTGTGATATGATGATATCCAGTATATTAAATATAGGGTAGGCTGATATGTGCCTTGGCATGGAGGCTGAGTCTTCTTCACTCCTCTAACTGGGAAGTGGGCGGCTGATCTCTCTGTAATTTACCTGCCCTGAATGAAAAAATATCTGCTGTCTTGGAGACATGAGTCGAGGGACTTATTATTTTTTTCAACTGCGTTAAGGCGCTGGGCATAGTGCGAGATATTCGCAAATGGCGTATTCCAAGATCAAGATCCTACGGGGAAAATGGATGCCGTCTCCAGCGTTGTTTCAGCTTCGTGAGTAGCATTTTGTTTCTCAGAAGGATTTATGAATATAAGCGGTTTATCGAAGGTGGCGAAGGCATTCCGGAACCCACGGGAAAGGGTTATGCATGCACAAGGGCTCATATATCCACTTACGCTCGTATTTACTACTGATAATGGTGTTATTCCTTGGCGGCAATGCAACAGACAACCCGAGTAGGCACCAACTGCATTCGCTTGGCTCTGCGACGAAATCCAGCCAATGATGCACTTTGCGTCTCATTACCTAGACCCCTCCCCCTGATGGATGCCTTGCGAAGGCGTTGAGAGAGCATCCATCAATGCAACCCGCCGGTGCCTACTGGCTGGCTGCCCTCTCCTGTGCCACTGACAAAGGACCTTTCCGATCCCCATGTCACAGGCGCGTACATCTGAACACATTGATTGATTCATAGCAATGCCAACAATGTAACGTCATGTGGGTGCACTCGCCCCCGTGCCATTGTCAAAGAAACTTTCTGGACCCCATGTTACAGCCGTCAACACCTTATTGATTGATTAATTCATTCCAATGCAACATGCGGGTGCTTACCCGTTGGCTGCCCCTCCCTTAGGTGGTGCCATTGTAAAAAAGATGCTGACCACACTCAACTTTTGTTCCCCGGCCGCAAGCAAAGGGCATTCTCCGAAAGTGTGGGATCCCATTTTTTAAAAAGAAGAATCCAGGCCTGTAAGTCGAATTAGGATGACACATCTGTCTCTAACATGCCAAGTGGCCTAAATTGCCTCAGCCGCAGCTAGGCATTGCACTTTAGCCCATGATGGATTCCATCAACGAACAGTCAGCCGCCCAGGGTGGCTCACAACAAGATCGAGGTCCAACCACTACTATTGAGCCGGAGGCTAAGCGTGTTCGAGATACTGAGGAGAAGAGTCCCGATACCGTTATCTTGGAAGGCAACCAGGAAGTCGCCTACGAAAATGAGATTTTTTATCTCGACGGCCTTCGCTTCTGGGGCGCCTGTATGCTGTAGGTTGCATGGCCCTAAACCACCTGTTGACACACTGACAGTGCCAGTCTTTCGATTATGTTCTTCTTGGTATCTATGGAGATATCTGTTGTTACAACGGCCATGGTAGGTATATCGAAAGAGCTAGGAGAGTTTGATAGTGTCAGTTGGATTTTATCTAGTTACCTCCTTGGATATGTCGCCGTTGTCATCATTTTCGCCAAGTTCAGCGATATCTTTGGCCGCAGACAAATCTTGGTAACTTGTATATTCATCTTTACAGTATTCTCCGGCGCCTGTGGTGCGGCACAGACTATGACTCAACTGTAGGTCCAATGTCTGCCCAAAGAGACGTCTTCTCTCTCTCTCCGTGGTTCGTTCATACTGATTCTTTTTGTGAAGCATCATTCTTCGTGCGTTCCAAGGAATGGGTGGCGGGGGCTCATTTGCGATGAATATGATTTTCTTGATTGAAATGGTGCCTGCCAGCAAGTATGCACAGTTGGTTGCCAACATGGGCTTCCCCAGTGCAATCGCGTTGGGCTTAGGACCGGTCATCGGGGGTGGAATCACTTCTAACACGACTTGGAGATGGGTTTTCCTCATGAAGTATGTAACTGGCCTCCCCACCCATCTCAAATTCTGACGGACCCAACAGCGTTCCAATTGGCGCTTCTGCCATCGCCCTCGCGTTTCTCGCGATTCCTCGGACCTTCCCCTACTCTGAACATTCTTCAACCTCACTCCATTGGTCGTCTCTTAGAGCGTTTGATCGTGTGGATATCTTGGGATCTGGATTACTTCTCCTAGCAACACTCGCAGTAACGGCAGGTTTTGAGGAGGCTGATTCACTTTTCCCATGGAAGTCCGCCTACGTTATTTCCTTACTAACGATAGGTGGCCTACTCTGGATCTTATTCTCATTTTGGGAACGACATGTTACTCTTGCCAAGTCAAACAGAGAAGCTGTTCTCCCTTGGAGATTCTTTTCGGAGCGTGCCCTCGTTGGTATCTTACTGTAAGCCCATTGCCCTTCCGAACCAACTCTTCAAATAGGCTCATCCCCAATATAGTGGCGAAGTAATGTTAGGCGGCCCGATGACCGTCACTGTATTTCAGCTACCGCAGAGATTCCAGATCATCAACGGGCTGTCAAGCGTGGATGCAGGTGTCAGGCTTGTTCCATTTGGAGTAACTGTACCAATTGGCGCCATGCTGGGCAGCCGAATTGCCGGGAACCTCCGAGTCCCACCTATTTTTGTCGCGATAGGTGGTGCCATCCTCCAGGTTGTTGGATTTGCTTTGTTGAGTCAATTGCCTTCCACTACTCAGATACCTCCCAGTGTCTATGGCTTTCAAGTTCTGTGTGGAATCGGCGTTGGTGCAACCTACCAGAGCTTGTATATTTTGGTCCCGCTGATAGTAGGTATAAAGGATCAAGGTAAGCTGAACCCAATGCCATCTTGTTTACACTCAAAGTGAGTCTAATTATTGGTATCGTTAGCTGTTGGAATGGGAGCTGCCACACAATTCCGGATGATGGGCGGGGCTATCGTTCTGGCCCTCTCAACTTCGGTATTCAATAGCCACGTCTTGCCCGCTCTTGACGAATTAGGACTATCTGGGTCTTCCAGAAATCTGCCCCAGACCATAGCCCTAATAGAGAAAACAGACGTGTTAGCCTCTTTGCGGTCATCACTATCAGAAGGATACAATAGACAGATGTATGTTCTATGCGCTTCCGCTGCAGCACAAGCCTTAGCTGCATTACTAGTCTTGAAACGCAAGCAGTGGATTCTCCCGGAGCAATAACGAAATTTTAGGAAAGAAATCTGAGTATTTCTTATTTAGTAAAAATACTCTTTCTGGCTATCAGATATTGTGACTGTGAAAACTGTCATATTCACCACTATACCGCGCATTGTATACTTAGTTGCCAAAGTTATTTAGCTCTCTCAATGGTTCGCTCAATAGCTCTTATAGCATCCTCTAATCCTTCATCTGACCGAGACCCAGGGATTTCGTGGCCTAGCTGATGAATGGACTCCTCCCTTAAGCCCTCGTCACTAACTGTAACAAGACCTTTGCCCATGTTCGCGAACTCGCCACCTTCAGTTGACCAGATGTGCGCTGTGGGAACTCGGAGCATCACGCCGTCTTCATCATAATTTAAAAACCTCGGCTCCTCTTTACCATCGGAACATGACTGTATATCAATAGGAGACAGCCCGCAGAAGAAGATTCCACACTTTAGTCTAAAAACGGGCTGGGGAAGCTGTTCGTCGGCTATCATGATAGTAGCTGCAACGCAGGCGCCCTCGGAGAAACCTATAATGCCATCAAAAGGCTTAGCGCTCGCCATGAAATTGGAAACACTGTCGATTATCTGGCCGCACAAGGCAGGGTCATCAGGAGTAAAACCAAAAAAACGTTCATCAGACTGCCTGGTTTTAAGAGCTATACCTGTGGTGCCCATAACAGAGTTAGCAAAGGGCAGAGGCGTTTCATGATTTCAGGAACCTAAGCACCTACCCGCCATGGGCTCTCGGGGGACAGGACCATTCACGAAGATGAACTCATGGTCTGGCGTAAAGAATTCGCAAATCCTTGCTGATAATGGGTATATTGTTAACAAGGAAATATGCGTAGGCGAAGATAAAATCTTACCCATTTGGCTTCGAAGAACCTGGTCAGGGGACTTTTAGTATGTTATTGGCACTGACACTTTGATATTACGTCGCACATACCTCGGCATTCATTCCCTTTCCGTGCAGACAGAGAAAACGCATGTTTGTTTTCTTTGGAGTGTCTCTATGTGTAATCTAGATGCAGGAAATTAGCAGCCACACGGCATAGAAGTTCCTTCAACTCTATCACATTTGTGAATTAAATTCACAGAAGCCGGCTTGCGCTGTGTTTGCAAGGGGTAGCATGAAGGAACTGTTGACCAATGCATGCCAAGAACCAGTGTCTGAGCCACTGTAACCTTGGGGGGTGAGAGATTTGAAAAAAGTGATATGCATACAACTGTGATATTTCATTGAACCCCCTGGTCGCAAGAAATGTCGCTTACGTGCAAATGTAATCCTTTGGGGTGATATTTTGTGATAGAGTGATATGCATACGACTCTGACAGAGTCTTGTGCCCCTGAAAGGCAAGAAATATCACTCTAGGGTGTAACCTGTTGGCGCGATTTTTGCATGGGACTTTAACCTTTATTGTGCCTCTTAGATGTAGGGAATATTGCTCGGGGTGCTACTGTAACCGTGGGCGAGTTGTTTGAACATACTTACGACGCCTACATTTGATTACGCCTCCGAGTTGAAATAAATATAGATATATGCTAGTGCCTGGAAAGATACGAATATAGATATGAATAATAGTAACGCAAGTGAGTCACTTTAGCTTATTGAGAGAACGTTGGAAAGAAAAATGTCGAAAGAACGAGCAATCGGCCACAAGCAATCGGCCACAAGCAATCGGCCACAAGCACGTAAGTCGCCGAGAGTAACATTCCTGTGACAATCGCACTCCGTCGGTCTCTACCTGGATCATGATCCTTTCATGCATGTTACGTGGTCACTATGGGCCCCGATATCAAGTGTTTTGGAAAACCAAAGAACCTCCGCGGCTGGCAGGCCCGGCGTTGGCTTCTTCTTGTAGTAAGGGCCTTATTGCTGTGTTGGTGATATGATTGGACTCGTACTTTTTCCTACCTATTCAAGCAAGGTATTCGAGTAATCAAAGTCATACCGGGTGTCAATAAAATCAATGTAATCGGATGAACGCAAGTGATAACTATCTTGTCGTAGAATAAAGCCATAGAATTATCCAGAGCTTGCCTGTACTTCAACGCCCCCTTATTTTGAAACCCGCCACGGAGCCTAAGCTGTGGAGCTAGAATCAAATCTTGAGCAGCCTTTCTCGTGTTGACGGCCAAGATGGAACCAATCGCGATCATCGGCATATCTTTCAAAATGCCCCAGGAGGCATCAAATGAGTCAACTCTCTGGGAAGTCATTGAAAAAAAGAAGAACTTGATGACAGAGTGGCCTCGCGAACGAACAAATATTGCAGCTTTTCACAATGGACCAGACCATGAACCTAATATGGTTAGTTAGAGCTACTTATTTATATTGAATCTTTAGATCGAAACGTTAGCTAATGATGGTGAACGGGATAGCTTTCTGGCCGCGGCGGTCATTTCATGGACATTGACCCAGAAGCGTTTGATGCTCCATTCTTCTCTGTGACAGCGAAGGAAGCAGCTGCTATGGATCCGCAGCAGAGGATCCTCCTAGAAACATCTTTCCATGCTTTTGAGAATGGTTAGTTTTTTTCTTTTTTTTTTCTTTTTACCATGCACCTTAATGGTAGTAAATTGAGTCCATGGTATTAACGATTTTGCAGCCGGGATTCCCGTTGAAAACCTCAAAAACTCACAGATGGCAGTCTTTGAGGCTTCCATGTCTGACGACTATCTCAGAATGTATTCCAAGGATACGGAGAGCATTCCAGTCTCTGCAGCTACAGGTACTACTGCTTCTGTCCGCGCAAACAGAATCAGTTGGTACTATGGTTTGCTCGGACCAAGCGTTCATGTGGATACCGCTTGTTCAAGTGGAATGGTGGCGGTAGATCTGGCATGTCAGTCGATCCGAAGTGGTGATGCTTCTTCGGTATGTTTAACAGGCTAATTACAACATCTCCAAAGATGTGACATGGCATCGTTTCAATGCAAACGTTGCACTTACGGTGAATAAAAGACTGACTCAATTTATAGGCCCTCATCATTGGGTGTAACCTAATGCTGAGTCCGGAAATGTCTGTTTCTCTCAGTAACCAAGGCTTCCTGTCTCCAGATAGCTTGTGCTATAGCTTTGACTCCCGAGCTAATGGCTATGCGAGAGGAGAGGGCTTTGTTGCTATAATTATCAAACCACTAACCGCAGCTCTGGAGGATGGTGACACAATAAGAGCCATCATTCGATCAGTTGGCACAAATCAAGATGGGCATACGCCAGGGTTATCGCAGCCAAGTGCCGACGCACAAGAACGCCTCATTCGTCACGTGTATGCGAAAGCAAATCTTGATTTCAAATATACTCGCTACTTTGAGGCCCACGGTACGTATTCTAGCTTTGCATTGATGTGAAAAATGCCATCATCGTGTTTTCCAGCCGTTAATAACTTGACAGGAACTGGGACACCTACTGGTGACCCCATTGAGATGAAAGCCATTGGAAGGGTGTTCCGAGCTTCTCGAAACAAACAAGAGCCTTTGTTCGTGTATGTGGGCAGCATCTCAGTCCTTCCTCCCCTTTCCGCAATAGAAATCCTATATCTATTGATCTAACTAATCAATATGTTTCGCATAGTGGCTCAATTAAATCCAATATTGGCCATTTGGAAGGCGGGAGTGGACTTGCTGGGATTGTCAAGGCAGTATTGATTTTGGAACGCGGTATAATCCCGCCCAACGCTCTGTTCAAGAAGCTCAATCCAGCAATCGATGCTTCATTCTACAACGTACAGGTATGATCGCTGCGGATTAAACTTGACCCATCTGGCTGCATGTGGCTAAAAGAGAGCAGGTACCGACGCAAAGCTATGCCTGGCCAGTTGCTGGATTACGCCGAGCATCTGTCAACTCTTTCGGCATGGGTGGAACAAACGCTCATATTGTGCTTGATGATGCATATCACTATATGGTAAGCAATGGCTTAAGTGGCAACCATCAAGTGCAAATGCATGCTGAGCAGAATGGTAAGTTGCTATGGATCCCCTGCTTCCGCCTTGGTTTAACACGAATGGGTGTTCTTGATAGGAAATGGCGTGTCATTGATCAATGGAGTAAACCTAAATGGTAATGGTGAATCTCACGATGATCAAGGTACCCACAGCCTCGACGAAAAACCACAATGCCGCAATGGAGTCAACTCGTCGCCATCTTCGACGCTGTTGGTGTGGACAGCTCACGACGCGAATGCATTGAAGTCTCTCATCCAGGACTTTAAAGTCTATTACGATGCAAATGTGACTGGAAATCCCATCATGGTCCAGAGATTGGCACATACTCTTGCCACACGGCGTAGTCGAATGCCATGGCGAGCCTTCGCACTTGTCAACGAGTCTGATAACTTAGCGACATCAACGCCAAATCGAGCAAGCTCCGAAGGTGGCAAAGTCGCCATGATCTTCACCGGTCAAGGAGCACAATATGCTGGAATGGGACGAGAGCTTTTGCATTACCCAGTCTTCAGACAAACCATGCAAAGGGTCAATGACGTTTTTGCAAAACTCGGATGTAAATGGTCAATATTTGGTAAGCTCGCTTATATTTCGTTCATTTCACCTTATGAGACGATCCAATAAATATTGCAGGGAGGATAATCATGGATGACAAGTTCACAACTTCAACGAGGGACAAGAGCTAATATCCATACTTACATTAGACGAAATACTGAACCCTGACACCATAAACAGACCCGAGTATAGCCAGCCGTTATGCACGGCTCTTCAGATTTCTCTCATAGAGTTGCTGAAAGAGTTTGGAATTGTACCAGCAACTGCCGTTGGCCACTCGTCTGGGGAGATTGCCGCTGCTTATGCTGTTGGGGCACTTTCGCTAGAGGCTGCCAGCGTTGTCTCATACTTTCGAGGCCAATTAGCAGGAACTCTCGCAGGCTCTTCTGGTGCAATGATGTCCGTGAATCTAGACCAAGAGAGCGCCCAGCAACTGTTGGACGAAATGGCATCTCAGAATGGTGACGCCGAGACTCCGCTGCAGAGCGTTCATGTCGCCTGCATCAACAGCCCGGTCAATTGCACCTTATCCGGTGCTGAAGCATCCATCGACATCATCAAAAGCCGGCTGGATCAGGATGGAATATTCGCCCAGAAGTTCAATACTGGAGGGTTATCCTATCACACCCCCGCCATGAATGCCATCGCATCCAAGTATCTCGAAGTTTTGAGCTCAGCGCAGGCTATGATTTCAAATGCAGAAAGAGGGAACAAGAATACAGGCATTCCAATGATATCGTCTGTCACTGGAAAGGTGGCCACAGTGAAATCTCTTTCCAGCGCTCAATATTGGGTCGACAATTTGGTCTCCCCCGTCAGATTTCTGCAAGCAATGCGGACTATTGCTGGCGATAACATTGCACTCACGGGCGATCTTAGCTTCGTAGGCTTTGATCCCCAAACGATCACTGATGTTATTGAGGTTGGCCCTCATTCAGCGCTCCGGCGCCCAATCAATGACACGCTACAGCTCTCGGCCGAAGGAGACGTGTCTACGCAAAGCCCAAGTTCGAGGAAGCGCAACATCAGATATCAGTCTACTCTCGTAAGGGGTAAATCCTCTATAAATACTACTCTGGACCTCGTTGGGAGGCTGTTTACGTATGGTCATGCTGTCTCGATCTCAGCAAGCAACGGCTACATAAGAGATTCCAAGGGTCCTGAGAAGGATTCTTTGCGCGGTGGTGTTGAAAGCACAAAGATCTTGTCAGACTTACCAAAGTATCCTTTTGATCATTCTCACAAATACTGGTCTGAGTCAAGAATCAGCCGGGGGTATAGATTGCGCCATGAAAATATATCAGCCAGTGACGGAAGCGACAGGCTTCTTGGAAAACCGGTCGATGATTGGAATCCACTTGAGCCTAGGTGGAAGAGTTTTTTAAGCATTGAAACTCATCCTTGGCTTGGGGGACATGTTGTGAATAGGATCACTGTTCTGCCAGGCACTGGAATGCTCGTCATGGCTATCCAGGCCGCAAGGCACCAGTTTTCCTACAATAAAACGCTCTCTTCGCGTCGAATAGTCGGCTATTACATCAACGAAGCTGAATTCAAAAGCCCGATAATGGTTGGGGATAAAGCACAAGACGCCACTGAGGTCATCACTCAGCTTCGCAATGTCCAGGGTGAAAACAACAGTAACTCAGTGGAGTTTGATATTGTGATCTTTTGCATTTCCAATGAAGATCGTTGGAACGAATCCTGTCATTGCCGAGTTGAGTTACAATTGGATGATTCTCGGATGAATGATGTCGATAGCGGAGCGGAGCAACGCTTCGAAGAACATGAGTTGCAGGACACATACCATACCTTGGATCTTGCCTGTCAAAGGAAGCTTGTGCCTGATGAATTCTACGATGCATTCAGGGACAACGTGGATGTCGACTATGGAACGACGTTTAGGCTGTTGGAAAACATCAAGTGGGATGGCCATCATCGGGCTATTGCTTCTGTCGATCTGGCCTCAGAATCAGTTATCAGAAACACCAATACATCACAGGTCCCGGTTACTGCCGTGCTGGATGCTTCTGTTCATCTTGTTCTTACTCAGGTTTCAAAGGGTCTAGTCGAATTCCATCATACCCTTGTTTTACACAAGGTAACCGGCATGTGGATCTCTGACAAAGCATGGAATAATGCCAACTCCCAACAAGTCTCAATCGTGAGACTGGCCAACTCCATGGTTCGTGGCCCAAATAAGACGGGTAACGTCAAGAGCACAATTTTTGGTCTAGGTGACGATGATTCCGTCCTCTTTCGTCTCAAACATGTTGATATGGCTGCGGTCTCTAAGATCAACGGAGACGACCTGGGCAGCATCAGCAAGGAGCGTGGAAGGCTTCTGCACACCATTGACTGGAAACCCCAACTGAGTCTCTTGAACTCAAACCAACTCGGTCAGTTAATGGACAAGCAAAAGCCCATGGTAGGCAACGAGAGTCTCATGGTCAAGTTTTATCCCAAGATGGAATTCGCCATGATCATGGCAGCCCGTAAGGCCCTGGAGGACGGAGCACGTCCACCCCCGGGGTACCTGGAAAGACTGGTGGCTTCGATCAACGCGCTATATATTCCCGATGGGGCGGTCGCCAAAGATGATGAGGTGAATGGCATCGCCATGTCACTTGAGAACGGGCGGATCCCTCAGCCAACAAATACCATGAGTGATGATGAGCTGGAGCTCTTGCTGAAAGAATGCGAGGATGATAATCCTTCCTGGGAGGCTTTCCCTGTAATTGCTCGCCAGCTGAAGCCCGTAATAAGCGGTGAGATGGACCCGCTGAATTTGATCTTTCCGAATGGTCTGGCCGAGAAGTACTACAAATCTCTGTTTCGACAGAACTGCGACAACCGTTTCCGACTCTTTCTAGAGCTACTGTGCCATGAGACACCTGGGATTTCTGTGCTCGAGGTTGGCGGTGGAACCGGGGGTATGACTGAGCAGTTCTTGTCAGCTATCTCAGAGATAGAAAGCACCAAGGGGATCACGTGTATATCAGAGTACACATTTACCGACATCTCACCAGCTTTCTTCGAACATGCAAGCGAGAAGTTTGGAGATTACTCGGAGCGAATGATTATGAAAAAGTTCGACCTGGAGCGCGAACCTGAGGAGGAAGGTTTTACGCCAGCAACTTATGACGTTGTCGTTGCGGGAAGTGTGGTTCATGCTACACGTGATGTTACGAAGACACTTAAGAACCTCCGAAGACTTATCAAACCGGGGGGCTATCTGATCCTCCTAGAAATCGTCGATGCTGGCTCTGCAAGTGGTAATGTGGGTTTCGGTGTCTTTCCTGGCTGGTGGCTAAGCTCCGAGGAGTGGCGTCCCCATAGCCCCTTGTTGACAGAAAAGCAGTGGGATGTGCTTCTCAAGCAAACAGGGTACTCCGGCAATCATCTTGTGCTTCGAGACTATGCCAGTGATATTTGTCACATCTCCAGCATCATTGTGTCAAAAATTGTCGGTGACGACACCATACAAAACTCTCATCCCACAAACGGTGTTGACCACTCTCGTCCGATTACTTCTCCATACCAAATGGTTGTTCTTGTTGCTAAACAATCTTCGGCCCAAGCTCACCTTGCGGAACTGCTGCTGCAAAAGGGCGAGCAGAATGGGAACGCAATTAAAGTTCAGCTCTGGTCAAGTGAGCTTCAGCAACCTGAATATTTGAATTCTCTTCTGCAAGAAGACACAGTTGTCATCTCACTCTTAGAAGTTGGCCAGCCATTTTTGTCCAAAATATCTGCAGAAAGTTTTGCCACACTTAAAAGCTTCATCAGAACCGTACGCAATCTTCTTTGGGTAACGTACATGGACCTTGAGGATCCAGAATTTGCATCTGCTTCATTAATGAAAGGCTTTTTCCGCACTATACGATCTGAAGCAGTAGAAAAGAACATTGTTACACTTTCTTTGGATGGTATAGCCGAGACGGTCTCGTTTCAGACGTGGACTGACGATGCTTATCAGGCAGTGGTGGGCTACATATTGACCACCGTGCTGGGGACGTTCGTACCCTCTGCGGGGAGTTCAACCCCTCTAGTTGCGAAGGAACTAGAGTATGTTGTTGAAGGAGGCATGAGCTGTATTGGGCGACTCGTAGAGGAGTCGAGCATGAACCAGAAGCTGCAAACCATCCTTAGCCCACAACTGAGAAGCGAGCCATGGTCCACAGGTCCAGGGGTTGTGCTTAATGTAGGAACCCCTGGCGCATTGGACACTCTGCATTTCGTGGAAGACCCCACAAACAACCAACCGCTTGACCCCGACGAGATCGAGATTGAGCCGAGGGCTTGGCCTATCAACTTTAGGGACATACTGATTGCCCTGGGCCGTATAGAGTATGACACTTTAGGCATGGAATGTGCCGGAATCGTTACTAAGATTGGCGCCAACTATGATAACGAACGGTCTGGGCTGTCTATTGGCGATAGGGTCTGTATCTGTTCATACGGAAGTATACGCAGGTACGCGCGAAGCCACGCCGAATTGGTATACAAAATTCCTGATGATGTCTCGTTCGAGGCCGCCGTATCGGCTATCACTCCCGGTATCACAGCGTATTATGGATTGATTGATCTTGCACGGCTAAAACCGGGTGAATCAGTCCTCATACACTCGGCAGCCGGCGCGACAGGGCAGATGGCAGTTCACATCGCTCAATTCTGCGGTGCAACTGTCTTTGCTACTGTGGGCCATGATGAGAAGAAAAAGTTCCTCGTCGACAAGTTTGGCTTACAAGAGGATCATATATTTTACAGCCGCGATTCTTCCTTCAAACAGGGAATCAAGCGCATGACTGGAGGTCGCGGAGTTGATGTTGTCTTCAACTCACTGGCCGGAAAGGGCTTACGAGCATCCTGGGAGTGTGTTGCTCCGTACGGACGCTTTCTTGATATCAGCAAGGCAGACATGATTGCAAACGCCGCTCTTCCGATGTCTTCATTCCAGGGCAATGTTAGTTATTTTGGCATTGATGTTCATCATATGGGAAACCACAACATAGCCGCCATGAAGACTCTATTCACAAGGGTCATGAGTTTACTTGAAGATGGAACTATCCCCCACCCAAAGCCGCTGCATTGCTATTCTGTAACAAACATCGAAAATGCGCTGCGTTTCATGCAAGGTGGGAAGAATATTGGAAGAGTTATTATTACTGCCTCTCCGACGGATGTGGTCCCGGTACGTATCAGCTCAAGCCGCCTTCGCTTGTGTAGATGCTAATTTCTGAAATTCTAGAAGCTAAGCCGTGACCCTGATTTATGGACACTCAACCCTTTGGCTTCCTACCTTGTTGTAGGAGGTCTGGGAGGACTTGGTCGTGCAATTCTCGCATGGATGGCAAACAAAGGTGCCAGACATCTGATTGTGCTTTCAAGATCAGGACTTTCGGAGTCAAACACTGAAGCGATGCGAACAGTTAAAGAACTCCGAGAACAAGGTGTTACAATCATTACTCCAGCATGTGATGCTTCATCGCTGCCCGATTTATCAACCCAGCTTGCTCAATGCGCTGAGACCATGCCCGCGATAGCTGGTTGCATCAACGCAGCGATGAGCCTACAAGATGCGGTTTTCGAGAACATGACATATGAGCAATGGGCACTGACCATTGACTCCAAGGTGAAGACAACATTCAATCTTCATCAACTGCTTCCAGTTGGCTCATTAGACTTCTTCGTTTTATTCTCGTCACTCTCCGGAATCTACGGAAGCATCGCGCAATCAAATTATGCAGCCGGATGCACATTTCAAGACGCGATAGCTAAACAACGAGCGTCCAGAGGCGAGAATGCTGTATCCCTGGACATCGGCTGGATGCGAACAATTGGTATCATTGCAGAGAAGACAGAATATCAACGCAATCGAGAAAACACTGGAGATATGATGGCAATTGAATCGGAAGAGCTACTGGGAGTCCTAAGCCAAATCTGTAGGCCAGCCATATCCAATGCTAGGCACCAAGTGCTCATTGGAGCCGTCACCCCCGAGCACTTTTACGCAAGGGGTAAGAACCCGGCTCCGTCGCTCCAACGTCCTCTCTTTTCAGGATTTGGGACCAATATTGCCAGCCGTTTCAAAGGCGCAAACCAGGAGAACTCGACAGAGGATGAACCGAGTAAACTGTTCAAACAAGCAACTAGTTCAAAGGAGAAGGCCCTCGTTGTTGCTCGAGCAATCACTATCAGGATAGCTCGTGCCCTTGCGATTCCAGCAGAGGAAGTTGAGTCTAGTAAACAGCTGTCTGATTATGGTGTCGACTCTTTGATGGCAGTTGAACTTCGTAACTGGATTGGCAGAGATTTCCAAACCAACGTCGCCGTGTTTGAGATTATGAGTGGTACAACCATACAAGGGCTAGGCCAATTAGTCGCAGAACGAGCTGGATGATGGAACGCTATTGAATGGATATTTCAAGTAGATAGCTTATAAGCTGTATTTCGTACCAGCCGTTCTTCATAATACCTAAGGTAGTAACAGGAATGCCGAGAAGATTGGTCAACTGATTTGTTATCACTCCCCACGTCCTTCGGTCACACGCTGGTGATTACCAACCACAATCCTACTGTTGATCCAACCAAAAAAGCGCTCACGTCATGTTAACACCGCAATGATTTACGCGTATTGAAGTAGTTCTCCGCACGACGAGCGCGAATTGTTTCATTTAGGCATCCCAGAATTCTTTCCACATTTATAGAGTCATTACCTTACAGTAACTATTCTTGTATCATTTTCTCTTGACCGCCACCATGAAACTGCTTCAATTACTGCCTTTTATTACCCTCGTCTGCTCATATAATGACAATCACACAACTGGAGGTGTGAAGGTCATTCTCGACACAGACTTCAATACAATCGGGGATGATGGTCAGGTCCTCGCCATGGCCGCCCAAATGCACGCCAGCCAGGACATACGCTTGTTGGGGCTTACCATCGTCACGGGTAACCAGTGGCTGCACCAAGAAGTATCGGACTGTCTCAGGGCCGTGGAGCGCGTCGGGCTCGAGAAACAAGTGGGCGTCTACGTTGGCGCGGAAACGCCACTACTGCACGACTTCTCATCGTTCCAGTTAGAGCAAATTCTATTTGGCAATGCGACCGCATATGTCGGTGCATATCTATCGGCACCAAAGCCGCTCGTCCCACCTCCAGACGGCTTCGCGACGCACACGGTTTCGCGGAAGCAGTATGCCATCGACTTCATCATCGAGAGTGTCCACCGCTATCCAGGCGAAGTTACACTGCTCGCCATTGGACCGCTGACAAATATCGCGCTCGCGATAAGCAAGGATCCCACCATCGTGCCCCTCATTAAGCAAGTTGTCATCATGGGCGGTCAAATCTACGCTCCAGGAAACTCGTACATCGGCGCCGGCGAGACTAACTGGTGGTTTGACCCTGAAGCCGCCCGTATTGTGCTAAGGGCCAATGTTACTCGCAAAATTGTGCCTCTCGATGTCACAAACACGGTTGTTATGACAGAAGAGCTGTACGACACAATTGCAGACTACGAGCCCGCAACTCCCATTACTACGCTATTTGCCGGCATTGAGCGTTGGAGTTATGTGTACGACACCGTTGCGCTGGCTTCATTGTATGATCAGAGTTTAGACCTCGATGTGCGAGACTTGTACGTCGATGTGAACTGTGACTTCAACGCAACTTATGGCAAATCGCTTGTGTGGAATGCGAACCCCTATCCCGGCATCGACGTCTACTCGACTTCATCTGTGGTCTTTAAGGTTGATAATGATCGTTTCTTTGACTTGTATGTCGACTTGCTTACACGGCCAGTGCCTGTTGTCCAAGGTACAAGTGCGCGTGATGCCAGTCGGGAACAAAATGTATGATAATTACATCCAAGAGGGAGTAACGGGCGCTGGTGTTCTAAAGGTGCTCAGTAATGTTTTAGTTAGCTTTAGCGATTCCCTGGATTTTACTACGCTGCTTCTGCAAAAGGCGACTGTGGGAAACTGCAACGCATTGTTTCTTTCACTGAGCCTCCCTCAAAATATACACAGTAGTCTCATTGTAATTGTCTTCCATTTTGGCTCTCATACATGCAGTTATAATACAGCACTCTTCAACTGCTATTTTGAATCATCTTAGTAATGAATAGCTTACTCCTGCGTTAGGACTCAAATGATAGACAGCTTCTATTCTTCTTCTTGCACTTTTTAATTGTCGAAAATTAGAAATTGGCATCGTTCGAAACTCCCATAGTGTAATTCTCTTTCTGGTCGACGGTGTGGAAAAACCACCTCGTCCGAAATCGTGTATCTGCCAAACGTCGATAAAGAAGGCTGCGGGGCATCAGATGCGCATCCTGGTGATGAAAGGCATTTGTGGAGCAAAGCAATGTACGAATCAATGCAATACTGCCAAGTCCATCAGGAGCCAGCCCTCTAAGCTCCATATCAAGCAAACAGCGATTACCCCTCCCGTATCGGCGAATTAGCGTGCCTGATATCAGAGCATGGATATTGGTAATGCCAGCCAATGCTAAGATCGCAACCAAGACATAGGTAGCAACGGGTCTTGTATCAGTCGACGCCTGTTGGTGTTAATAAGTTTTGCCGTAATTGGCCGCGGGTTTGGCAATTGAGCTGGTTCCCCTTTTGAGAATTCATCGAGAGCCAGTCGATTCTGCCTGCTTGCTATTTGCACACTAGCAAGACCGAGCGTGTGATGTAGGGCATCAAGAATATGACTTACCTTATTGAGAGAAGAGGCTTGGCGTTGGCAATTCTACGCCAAGCTAATTCGGGTTACCGATGCGATCGGCCTCTACTGCGTGCGACCTTGTGGAGATAGACGGACTACATGTAGGTAAGGTAGGCAGCTCTGCTGAGTATAAAACCGGCTACCATTCCATCATGATACCGCCAGGTTTGCAGCATCACACTCTCACAAATATTCTTTTTATTTTTACACAGACATCCATCCCAACGTATCTGAAACAATGCATACAGGCCAGTGTCACTGCGGTGCAGTCAAGATCGAAATACGTGGTGAGCCAGCAGCTATAGTAAGTGATTCCTCAAAGCGCGACTGTCGCCAATAATGAATTCAAGTTCACATACGATTCTCTCAGGGCCAGTGCTTCTGTCGCGACTGCCGTAGAACGTTGGGAAGTACGAATGCACTGAACTGGTTTGTTCCGGCTGAGCAACTCAAGCTCGAAGGTAGGGCGGTTTGTCGTTCTTCGAGACAGGCAAGGACTAACGGTTTATTGGCAAGTGATCCGAAAACGCACGCCATGAAGGGTGGTAGCGGCCACCTTGTGACCAACTACTTTTGCGCCAATTGCGGTGTGACCTTGTACCGCGAGGGCGAGGTGATGCCTGGAACTTTGTTCGTAAAGGCAGGCGTTTTGGACGACGTCCAAGCTGTCAATCAACTTCGCCCCCACGGAGAGATATTCGTGCGTACTCGGCCTGATTGGGTAACTCCTGTCGCAGGAGCTTCACAGAAGCAGGAAATGCTATAGGCTACCTCAATGATCTTAGATAGCTAGATTTGCGACGTATGTAAAATAGGCAGAGGCGACAGTTTATTCTTATTCGAATGTAGAGCCAGTGCCACGATGTAGCTATCACATGATGCCGCCGATCTAGCATGCTTCGAGATACTCGGTCATCGGCCGGCTAGAGAGCATATACCTAACCCGGTAGAAGCTCCAAGGTGGCGTAGGATGCCTTTGATTCGGTCTTGCGAATCGGAAGCTGCGAGACGAGATTACATGAGTGCACTCAGAGGCCACATCATGCAAAACGCGCGGTATGCGAGGCAACTAGAAACCTTAGGCGTATTCTCTTCTCTCAATACCATTGACACAGCGTCGTAAGTTTCTTGCCAGCTCGATGTGTCCGAAATTGTGTCAAGCCTTGTATCCAAAACAGCAGTCATTTGAGGATATGCGAGGAGAAAATCCCGAACGCTCTCCACTAAGTGCAGCTTGACGGTCAAATACAGAGCCTTTGCCACTGCTGCGTCCTGTTCATTGGCCACTGATGTCAGATAATTGAACGCTAGGGTCGGCACTGACGACACGGGCTTTGAACCGACGGCGTCCGCTGATTTTTTCAACTCATCTGCAACTGCCAACCCGCTCTTTATTATGTCACATATAGGAGATAGAGCATCTTCAGTGTGTAGCGATATGTAAGAGGCGCAGTCCATCGTGGATTTGAAGTGGACTGCGCGCCAAAGCAGCGGTTCAAGAACAGGTCCAACATTGTTCGCTGCCTTCGCAGTGAGCAGACGAGACCAGAGAGGAGCTGAACCAGGGGGTGATAGGAAATATTCCATGAGCTAATACATTCAGGTCAGTTGCCATGTAGGACACGGTCACACGTAATATACTCACCGCAATATAGCTGAAGAATGTATGTGTGCTGATATCAACTGCCGTGGGGATATCATTGTCGGCTCTGTATTCCAGCAGCACCAATCCTCCTCTAGAATGGGGGTGGCAGTTGCTTTCAGTGTTTGTAGACCAGATTGGGGAGTGTTCCGCCGCAATTGTCTGGCCGCCGTCAGTTAACCGAGCCCAGGTTCACACCGACAAGGAGGGGAGCGGCCATAAGGTTAGGTGTCATACGCACCTCGAACAATCCAAGAACAAAGAGCGACACAAGAACTGTATCATCCTTGGCAGTAACAGGATCGCACAGCACACTATTCAGGGAGTTTGTTGCTCTACCGTAGTTCCTCCTCGCCAGCGCCATCAGGTTAGACTGGCAGAATCGCCGGGCGGCGCTCGCTAAGGCGGCGGCTTCCAAAGCACTCTGTAACGGTCCACCGGGAGTTTCGGAGCAAATTACCGGTAGAGTTCTGAAAAAGGAAATACCGGAGGCTAAAATGTAGCTTTCATGGAAGAGTAGGGGTGTCTCGTATTCGGGCGAGAGGTGCACGGGTTTAGGTAGTTGCGGCCTGCCAGCGGCGAAACGTCTAGCCTGGAGGCGTTTGCGTACTCGAACTTGAACCTGCTCGGCGACCAGGTCGTTAACCTGCCGCAGGACAACATTCCAGGGGTCGGAATAGCCGAGACATTGCCGCTTCAACGATAAGCACCTCTGGCATGCAGGTCGTTGCATATCGCACTTCCCACCATCAATTACCCTTTCAGCAACGTCTTCAAAGAGAGGAACCATGTGCATACCTTGGCCTTCCTCTTCCTACATGTGAGGCAGCCACTGGACGGCTTGCCCGTATTCACCATCTTGTTAAGCGGCACAAGTGACGATGAACAAACGAGGTTGAGAGGTGTGACGACCGTCGGCACACGAACCGTCCGACAGGCTGGGCTGCGGTGAGATGTGTATTATTGTGGATTGGCTAAAATTTGTCTCTAGCGGGGCTCTGTATTTCATGCGGAGTGCACGCCAAACTATTTGCGGCCGCTCATGCGATCGTGGGGAACAAATATTTGGCTTAACCTTTTGTGGGTGCCGATGCGATCACTGTGCAGGACCTTACCAATTAAGGATACTAATACGGTCTCAGCTTACAAGGTAGATTCTGAGCGAGTTCGGTGCAACATGTGAAAACCTGTTCTCGCGGACTGGCGCTCGTGCACCTTTCTAGCAGCGTGTCTACATGTTTATAAAAGCATGGCTGATTCCCAGCTATGGCACCTCTATCTAATTGTAACCCATCCGATTGAACTCCACCTATTGCGCTTCCACTTCGAATCATTTTAGCCTCGTCTTTCGGACACTCCCTGGACTCACCGTGCATAACCGTGCCTCGCACGATGCTGGACCTCCAGTCCATTAGAGAAAGCAACTCCCAGTTACGGGAGGGGCAGCCTGAGTTTGTTGCTGTGATGGGTGCGTACGTCCTCAGTCTGGAGAAGCAATCGCTAACAGCCTACAGGGGGTGCTACCAGTGGCATTGGTGAGGCTACTTGCAGGGAGCTAGTCCGCAACGTACCGCGTCCAACTGTTTATATCGTCGGACGGAACGATCGAGGGCGAGCGCTCTGCCGGTTGAGTTGCGGGCCGTGAATCCGGCTGCGCAGATTCACTTTTTCCGGAAGGACGTAGCACTCTTGGAAAACGTCGACGACGTTTGCAAGCGAATTGCTGCCGAGGCTGGTCACGTTAACTTACTGTTTCTCAGCGCCAATGTCTTGCGGACGGCCCGTACCCGTATGTGACGTGACGCCCATTGTCAGTGACATTCAGCTAATTTTTTGGCAGCCACATCTGAAGGGATCGATCAAATGATGGCTCTACAATATTATTCTAGAGTACGATTTATAACGAATCTTTTGCCAAGCTTGCAAAGCGCTGGCTCCAAGGGTGAGTTAGCACGTGTCGTTTCAGTGCTGGGTGCTGGTAAGGAGGGCAGGATTTTTCACAACGACTTGCTGCTTGAACAAAACTTCAGCCTATCAAACTGTGCATCGCAAGCCATGTGCATGACTTCGCTAGCTTTCGAGCACCTGGCTGAGGAGAACGGCGTCGTGTCGTTCCTCCACGTCTCCCCAGGTGTCTTGCGGAGAACTACCATCACTGCAGGGTTTGGTCGTGTCGTCAGCGCAGTCAGCCGCGTGCTCATGACGTTGGCGATTCCTTTCACTGTTTCGGTGGAGGAGTCCGGTGAGCGCCACCTCTATTTCAGCACGAAGAAGAGCTACGAGCCTACTCGGGCCCAGCCACCACTACGCTCGTTTCGCTTGGACTTCAAAGGGCAGGTTTGCCCCATTCCGGATCTCCTGGCTCAGTATCTGAAAGACGGGACCCAGGATGAGGTTTGGTCTCACACCACTGACGTTTTCACCAGTATGGGTAGGAAATATGCGTAAGTTGCTCTATAATTTTGGTTTTAAATAGAGCTTGTCTTTCTTGTTCGCGTTATCTAGTTCGCTATAATGTCACTCTTCTACGCCGATTTGTTCTAGCTACCGGTCGGTGCAAGTGTATGTCAATCAAAAGGACACGGAGAAATATTATCCTAGGCATGGGATCATCGTGAGTCTGGCTCACGACAAAATCATCAATAATCTTCAATTGTCCAGTAATCCCAGATTCAAGCGATGATTAGTGATCATTGCTGGGCGCATTTGGGGTGAGATGTGACTTGACCTCCTGGCTTTTAGTAGTCCTCGTCACCGACACATTCTGGTCATGACAATATGCCTAGTCGAGACCAAAGGTCTATGCGATTATATTAAGTATGTAACTTGACCAATGAGCGTATATGTTTCGCTCTTCCCGAGAGCATACCGCCCGCCCAGGATGCGACTGATCCTCCTACGATCAGTTCGGCCTAGCTTGCGATTTTCTCAAAGGACTGCTGGAATATGAGAAAGAATAATGGCTCGTCGATTTTTTTTCTAGCCTGGGGGCACATTTACATGTGACTCATTTCTGACTCCTTGCTGTGCTGTGCTATCGAATCTCTACACTGTCATGTGTAGCAAGCATCGGCTTATACCTCCCTGATGCCAATATACAAATCGCCAAATTCGGAATCATCCCCGTCATAACGTGTGGCTCCCACCATCATGGCCTTGGACAGAAGCTCGGTGCCAGCCAGATGTATCCGCTGTCCAGGACCCAGAATACGCTTTCGATACCATCGGGAATGAAGAATCTTCCTCTGCTGAATCTAACTTAATGGCGGGTTCTTTTTGTCCAAACACCCTTGTACGGATATCATAAGCGCAACAAGTTCATTTGGCCGGAAAATGGTAATACGCAAAGGTGTAGCGGCTAGATATATCATAAAATATGGTCATTAGGCAAATAAAGATTATAGTGAACTGGCTGCAGAGATTTTCGACAACTCGCTTACATTGCTTCTTGATGGATGCATTCGACCGAACGAGGTCAAGCTATTCGAAATAGTCTCAGCGATGTGACCGAAAGGCTTGAAGGGTGTCTTGCCAACAAGATTTTCCACTACAAGATTGTGTGCAAGGTTTAGGTTTCGTACACCAGGGTATGTCATACCGTAAGGCGATGGGACTCATCAATTGTTCAAGTTGTGACCCTTCGGTAGCTGAAATTTTGCTTCGTTCGCACATTTTGAAACCTAGCACATTGTTTAATTTCTAGAATCTTCGCCTTTCTTCTCACAGATCTATCAAAACAAGGCGAACAAAGATCTCTACATCGGCGAAAGAGTCATCACCGAGAAGTTAAGCTTTGTGGCTTGGGTACGAAAAGCTTATTTCCATGCAACACCTCAGAAGATACGCAGATGTCAGAAATAGCTTCAATATCCGATTAGTCGCTATTGGAATTCTCCAAAGGAAAAAAGGAAAAGAAAGACTTAAAACCGTAGGGCAAGAGCACCAATGGATTATATTTAGTACCTAATTCAACACAGCTGGCACAAGATGTGCTTGTTCATTTTGAACCTCACTTATTTGGATATCTTGGCTCGGAACAACCACTAGCGGTCGGTTATCTGCAATGCTCTGGGGAAAGTGAAAGAAAGAAGTCGGGCTCTAGCCAAAACATCGACTCCAGACCCAAATCAAAGAAAGGTCTTACTAGCTTCATCAATACCACGTGCACAGCCGAGTAGTCCCGCAGCAAAAGTTAGATCATCCTAACATTCATCTCTATTTTCGGTGGTGACTGTGTCGCCGAGTCTTCGTGGCTCGTCGAGCCCGGAAGTTGATCTTATTCTTCATCCGATTGACAGGGAAAGCCTTCAAGACTATTCCTCCCCACTGAGAAGCTTGGAGTAACTTTGCATATCATTGAGTTCAGCACCCCGCTTGACTCACAGCCAAGCCGCGGCGAGTACTCCTATGATACACTAGCTACACATAGATCTCAAGTTCCCACTTCTCAAGGCAAAACTATCTGGCACCGTCGAAGGAATATGGGGTATATAATGCCCCTTCTCCTCCCCAATGTTGATAGGATTCTGCAGTACCGCAAACGTTCTTGTCTATCTTTCGTTTCCAGCTGGGCCAGCGATATTTACTCCGTCCTCCATTAAACGATACTTTAGAACCAGGAATACTGTTCTCGCTTTGCAAAATACAGAATCCCTTCCTGCCTAGCCATGGACAATTCTACTTCTACGTCTGGAAGTTCTGCCACGGCAGATCAAGGACTTCCAGTCTTGGAAGCACTTGCCCCTGGGATCTCACATATGATCAGAATGTTGAGCGGCGTGCTTGCTACTGACTTCAATATCTTCACTTACGCCGCCCTCGCCATGGGCCTATTCGGTTTCGTCCAATCCTACATGAACCGCCTCTTGTCCTCGATCGAGCCTTACTTTAGTACATACCTTCTTCACTGAGCGATAGGTTGGAAAGCCTTCAGACTAACGTTCCTCGTCCAGGCGCGACAATTCACATCAACAACGACAACAATGAGGCCCATGGCATGCTCTCCGATTGGCTCAGCAAACGTGGCTTCGAAAAGTCTGCCCGCGCATCCCTCGTCAGCGTGAAGAATATCCGCAAGCCAGGAGATATAATCAAAATGGGGAAGAAGATTCTCAAATTTCAGCCCTGGGAAGGAAGCTTTAGCTTCTGGTACAGGGGCCACCTCATCACGTACAATAGCAGCATTGACGTCGCTAGATGCCAAATCACGGAGTGCTTGGATGAGGAAGTCAAACTGACTTCCCTGGGTTGGTCGACTGATATCCTTAAACAACTCATGAACGAGTGTATGCAGGAGTATCTCGAAACTTTCAGGGACAAGATTGCAATTTTTGAGAATCGCGGATCTTATTGGCGCAAGGTTGATGAAAAGGATGTTCGGCCAATGTCGACGGTTATTCTCAACCAGAGCACGAAAGAGCTTTTGCTAGAAGATTTCAGAAGCTTTCTAAGTGAAGATACACAACTCTGGTATGCGCAGCGCGCCCTTCCCTATCGTCGTGGATACCTTTTATATGGCCCTCCCGGCACCGGCAAGTCCAGTTTGAGCTTCTCCATAGCCGGCGAATTCGATCTAGACATCTATGTTGTCAATATTCCAGATTGTACGGATCGGTATCTGAGGGATTTGTTTGAAGATTTGCCACGGACTTGCGTCGTCCTACTTGAGGATATTGATGCTGTTGGTATGTCGAGAGAGTCGGACGCAGACGAGGATTCAGACTCGAATCCTAAGGACGAGTCATCACGGCGAGGACGGGTCCAGTTACACCGGAAAACTAGCGAAGCGACGCTTTCAGGGCTCTTGAATGTGCTTGATGGTGTTACTTCTCAAGATGGGCGCATTGTAATCATGACGACGAATCATCGGGAAATGCTAGACGAGGCACTCATTCGCCCTGGTCGCATCGACAGGCAAGTCCTACTCCCTCTTGCCGACGCCGAGGTCATCGGCCAACTCTTCATGTTTCTTTTCGGTCCCGTGCAAGGAAAAAGAGACGACAAGGTCGGAGTGAAGAAGCGCAAGGAGGAAAAGGCAAAATCGGACACAGCGTTGAAGTCCCAAGCTCGCAAGTTCGCATCCATTGTACCGGCATCCACATTCAGCCAAGCGGAGATCATCTCATATCTTTTTCTTCACAAGGATGACCCAGATGGTGCACTGGCAAAATGCAAGGAATGGGTGGATGTAAAGATCAGTGAGAAGAGACTTCCGGAGAAAAGGTAGACAAACAGTTAAGAAAAATTGTGCCTTCTGCATATATATTTCTGCAGCTTTCCTCTTGACCTCAAATTGAAACAACCAGCTATCTAACAGTGTGCATTCTCAGTAAATGTGAGCCCTATTTTTGGAAGGGCTTAAATCATTTTGAACCATGCTCGTGCCTTCATTTGGAACTTGGTTTGGATACACCCATCCCATTCATCATTCCCTAGGTTAGACCCAGAAGAAAGCACAGCACACATCATACCATATAAGAATCTCTGGATCCTAAATCCTTGGTCTGTCTCATCGAAGAAATCCACAAGCTCTAGTATTTCTGGCGACGTTGTGCTTCCCTCTATCGCCTTCAGGTACATGTATGTTACTCCTAGTGGAAGGGATAGCGGATGTCTTACAAAAGCGTCAACTAGAGGGTTGGAAATTCTTCTCGCGGTTTCGATGATATTCATGCAGTAGAGTTCAGGATAGGACTGATGAGAGATGTGATTCTCGTTTATTTGGATTTTAGGCTGGTTCGAGCGAAGAATGAGCCAAATCGTGGCGTGTATCGAGAGATGAGCAGCCCAGTATAGGCGCATCTTATGGTCAGCGGCAGTGTTATTGGCCGCAGATGAAGATGGTAGTTCCTGAGCTTGTAGAGTGTGGGCAGCGAGTGACTCAGGCCCTATGTTCTCCAACCACCATTTGAGCTGGTCGTTGATCTTCCAGCATTCTCCCAATACCTTTTCAAGGACGGCAGCCTTCTGAGAATCTTTTTGAAGGATAGCAGTGTCTGTGTCTTCGAGAAGAGCTGGTATTTCGCCCAAAATATGGATGAGCAAGTCTTGGGGTGATTTGGGCTGCTTAAGCCACGGGATAGTTTTCCAGCGCATATCATTAAAGGGATACCTTTTACGTCTCAAGATTGATACGGTAATCTATATTGGAAAACATAAAAGGTCAACTAGGTCGGAGATGATAAGTCAAAGCTGCAGAAGACTTACCATGCTCAAACGGCCCTCAACGAATAAACTATGGGAATGGCCATCCATGTGCATTTCTGGTGTTCGCTGAAGCAGGATGCTCATTTGTCCAATTTGATGCACAAGCCAACTCTTGGGCCATTTCGGATTCATCAGAGTCTCGGTATCATCAAGACTATGTAGGAGCTGTGTCATAAAACCCTTCAGTACCAGAATTTGAATTTAGGAGGAATAGGTAATATAGACCTCATAAGCAATCAATGCTTTCGATGTCAACAGCAGCTCGTTTGACACCTGTTGTTTGCAATTTTTTAATCCAACGTTCATCTGCTCCAAGGATCTCATATAAAACCGTTGGCTTTCCCATAGCCACGAGTTCTGATCCTCTATCCGCCCTAGGGATCCAAGACAAAGAGCGACAGAGAGTTCTGCAACGCTGGATCGCGATGATAGATATCCTGTGCTGCGGGCACCCAGCTCTTGACAAACTGTTGTAGAGTCGTGTCTCTGTCCAGAACCCTAGCGGCGATAGAATGATACTCCCAAAAGCAGCTAAGAATATGGTTTTTATAGGCTGAGCGGGCAAATGAAGTAACCAATGCAACTTCACCCACAACGGAATAAGAGAAACCAGTAGTCACCGGGTGTGGGGTAGGCGATAAAGCGGCACCAACTGTCGTGGTGACGACAGTAAGTGCATTATCTCGAGTTGTCTCGGCGCATTGAATGACTGCGAGATCACGGTCGTAGCCTCCACATGGAAAACCGCCCTTCAGACAGCGGTTGCATTCAGGCTGCTGAAGATCGCACTAGATAGTCCAGGGTTGTTAACAGTATGTCATTGGCGCCATGGATAAAGGGAACATTGAAGAGCTCACATGCCCCCTTTTTACGTCTGCGGCAGGTAATACAGGCTTTGGAACTTCCAGGAGCGCCCACCATCCTTTTCACGGCCCACAGACACCTGAACGTCGAATACGAGATGCGATGTAAGATCGATTGCAATTCGCTCGCGCGTGGGTTGAAGAATGCTAGATTCGCTGTGCGCGCGCACTCCACGTTATTCCAGAAGTTTGAGGGGCAAAAGGGGCTATAGATTGTATCGTCCGGAGATTTTCAACCTTGGTCATTTCTCCTCTTCGTAGTCAATGACCGTTGTATCCTGCTTCACTAAGATATACACTATTTGTCAGCAGAGGCGAATGGCATCGATACCGCCTTGACACATAGGGTCTCGGACAGGGGAGTGCGCGCGCACTACATGGGTGTATACTTTCCGCTGTGGATCGAAGTCAAAGCCCGATCACATTTCGCTGCCATAGACGAAAATCTATCCAATAACTAAGCAGTAGACACGGAATATGAGTCCTGGCCACTCTGGCAGAGTGCCTGTTGCAGCATTACATCTGATTACGAGATAGGAGGGCGTGTTGCACTGCCATCTGTTTCATATGTTTAGGTGCACCGATAACTCCGCGTAAACGCATCTAAGCCCTCTCTCTATGCACACCCTTGCTAGTGGACATGTAGACTTCAATAAGTGACTCCAGCATCTATGATCTATCTGGATTTGGCTAAAGAACGGGCCATATAAAGAAGAAGCTCCCACTGACTTGGATAATTAGCCACCCTTTCATCTTCGCGCCAAACATCTCTTATATAAGAAACAACACAATAGCAACAGCATCGAAAATAGCCGCCGACACAATGGTTATCCCAACTAAGCCTCCTGCAAACCACTTCGTGGCAGCAATGCGGAAAATCTATAACCCTATTGGTTTCTCCCACTGGTATAACTTCTTCTTCTTCGTTCTCTTTACCTCCCCTCTCACAGCATTCTGCGCCCTAAGCATGCGTAAGATCGACGTTGACAATAGCGTCTGTGGTAAGGGAGGTAGTGCCCCTGGCGATTGCTATTATTACTCGGCTGGATTACCTAGGATTGGTATGTACATGCATTTGGCAGGCGTTCTTCCAGCCAGTGTTCTCGCATGCTTTCAGTTTGTGCCCGTTATCCGCCACAAGTTCATACTGTTTCATCGCATCAGTGGCTATATAGTCCTGATTTCCAGTGCGATCGGTGCTGTTGGTGGTCTCTTGATCGCACGCAACGCTTTTGGCGGCGGTCTCGATGTTCAATCTGCCTCCGGCGCCATTTTCATTCTATTTTTCGGTGCGCTTATAATGGCGTATATCAACATCAAGAGACTACAGATTGATCAACATCGAGCATGGATGTTGCGTGCCTGGTTTTGTGTATGTTATCTTAACCGTTATGGCCTCTTCCTCTAACTAATACAGTCCAGGGCGGGACAATTCTTATGGCAAGACTTCTAGACTATCTCGTTGCAGATATTATTTCGCAAATTGGAGGTTACCATTCTGCAAGGCCGTGTGGGTGGTTAAAATTTACCATTGGAGATGCTGATAGGCTACTGCGCCTCTACCCCGACTGCTCAACATGGCTCAACGGAAAGAACCCAGACCAAATGGCAGTTGTTAGAGCTGATTCGAGAAACCCTACTTCAGCTGCAGAGGCTGTGGTTGCACATCACCTTCCGTTTGGTATGTCCATTTGGCTCGGCTTGTTTATCAGTGGTGTTGTTATTGAAATCTACGTGAGTCGTATCCATTCAAAAGAATGATATACAAAATCGTTCATTGGAGTATTGTCTAATGGGCTTATAGCTACATCTTACACCCAAGGAGGCAGAGAGACTGCGCATGGTGTCATACCAGAGGCAGCTCGCTGCTGGAGTGAGGCATCCTGGTAGTACTGGACTGACTAGTGATCGCCTGGGAGATGCGGACCAATGGTATCCAAGGAATATTGAGCAATGTGCTATGTCTGGCGATGGCAACTCGAACAAGGAGCAACCTACGGCTTCAGCTTCCGCTTCAACCTAAACAGGGGCATCGTCACATTACCAAAGCAGTTGTGACCTCTGCTAGGGTTGGAGTTGCCTTATATTCAGCCTTGGTACAGACATAGCTGTTGTTGCCTATCCATAGCAGCCGTTTCTGCACCTGTGATGAAGCTGTTGCCTTTTTTGGGTATTTTTTGTTCTTTTTTCCTGGAAAGAAAAGAAATAGGGAGGACATATTGATCTATTATGAGGTCTAAGTGTGAATGGTAGCAGAAAGCTGTCTCCTTAATCCTTTGTTCTATATATTCGTATAGCTTGTTTATAGTAATACTGTGAGAGAGTTTGATTATAATGCAAAAAATCAATGGATGAGGCCAAACCCGACATCTCAACACAATGACTACCGAAGGAAGATAATTAAGCATTTTTGTCAGAGAGTTTCAACACAAACCCGCCTTGCCTTAATTCGGGCCTTGAGTTGTTTTGGCTTAACAAAGAAAGATTCCGTTGTCCATTCCTTATCCCCAATAAGGTCAAACTCAAAGTTCATCAGCAGGAGGGGTAGCAGACGCTATATTTGTAGCATCAGTCGCTCTCGTCGTGGCTACCGCAATTGACGCGGCATTGTTGAAGGACCGACAGTTTTGGTCAGAAAGCTGTCACAGCCGATTGGGCCACATGGTAGACAGGGGGAACATGCTAGCAGTCCAGTTCAAAGCCGAAATTGAGATATTAGACGACATGTGTCGTCGTTTACGGACTAGTTGGGGAGCTCAAAACCATTGCCAATCTCTATCATCAGAAATAAGAACTACAACCCGCAATGATGACTCGGAGTCCCTTATGGCGGGTACTTCGGCATTAGACTCTCTCGATATAAGAGAAGAGTCGCCCAAGACTGCGGAGGGAGATGGCGAGCTCAGGATGGCCGATTTTGTCTGGCAAGAGGGACATACTGCAGGACAATTGCTAACTCTTGTAGACTCAATCGATCTTAGCTACTTAGACAGTCTATCATTGTCATCATTTTGCCTTTCCTATTGATGGTGTTGAGATGTCGAGTCTGGCACCATCCATTGCTATTTTTGTTTTGGGTTCAAACTCCTATCCGAAGCCCTCGTCGTTGTTTATACAAGCTAGAGCTTGGCCCAAAACATGTTGCTCTTGGTTGGAAACAGAGCATAGTGCCCGTTAGAAGCTAAGTGAATGGGGAAGAGGAGAAGGACGATTGCCCATCCTGTTGATTGTATGGCTATGACGGAAGCAGTTCTTTATTTTTGTGATCACCAAATTTCCAAATTGCCCCACTCTACCAGCCGCTAGTAAATCCTTAACCAACCGAGTTATTATCCCTTGTGGGCAAGGATTTGTCAACTGGCGGTTGTCACAGGGTAAACTAGCACTGCTCTGCTCGCTGATGTATACCTGAACAGGAAAATGGCTCGTGCTTTCGGACCACGGCATCAGAGCTTATTCTTACCCATTGGCACCCGAATAGAAGTGGAGAAGGACAGCAAGGGGCGCTGATGGCTTGAATCGTGCTTCTGAGTTCTGTTCTGGTCTCTTACCGGACAATTTGGTTTGACTCGTTGCCATTTTTTCATGGCAGGTATCATATACTGCACAGGAATTGGTTTGAATCAGTTTCCACATGATGCTGGTAGTGACCAAGTAACAGATCTAAATCTTGATGATCAATTTCCCCCTCCCATCTATTCTGATGTGTCAGCGGAGATTAGCATAAGCATAATAAGCACTTGATTTGCTAGGGTGCATCATCCGATAAAAAGTTTCGATATAAAACCTCCACCAGCATCGGCCGTAGGGGAAAAGAGATTCCTCCAACTATCGGCTTATTTATAAAGGCAAAATGGCGGATATCACCTACGACTGCATCATAGTCGGCGCTGGATACTCGGGACTCGCCGCCGCCAAAGCTCTGGTTGAGCACGAAACGAAGCCAAGAATCCTTGTTCTTGAGGCGCGTGAACGCATCGGCGGGCGCGCCAAAACCATCCATCGCGACGATGGCACATACTGGGACGTCGGCGGCTCGTTCCTCGGCAAAAAGCAGGACCTCATGTACGGCCTCGCACGCGAGTACAATGTGGACGTCTTCCCCATACCCCAAAAGGGCAAGCTCGTGTTTCTTCATCGCGGCCGGGCGAAGGAGTATTCGGGGCTGATTCCACCGCTTCGGCCGTGGGAGATTATCGACAGTGGTATACTGCTGCAAAAGCTTGAGAAGAAAGTCCGCAGCGTAGATGCCAATGCGCCATGGGCACATAGCAAGGCCAAGGCCTGGGATAGCATATCACTCGACGAATGGGTAAAGCGACACTCGTTCACCAGGGGATGTCGGGATATGATGGATTTGGGCTTTCAGGGAGTCTTTGGTCGATCAGGCGGCGATATCTCGCTTTTGTTCGCAGCCTTTGTGTTCAAGACGTTGGGCGGCGTCGAGGCAGCCTTCAGTTCCAAGGATGGGCTCCAACAGGACATGATGGTCGGCGGCGGTATGGCCATTGCCAAATTAATCTGGGAGGGAATTGGCGGTGACGAGATTGTCAAATTGAACGAGCCGGTGCACCAGGTCAAGTACGATGACTCGGGCTGCACCATCACCTCAGCCAAGGGCGAGTATCGCGCCAAACGCGTCATCTTCACGGTACCGCCTCAGTTCGCCGCCAAGGTACAATTCGAACCGAGTCTTCCGACGGAAAAGCAGGCCCTCCTCGAGGCAATAGAACTCGGCGTATACGCAAAGGTCTTTGCTACTTATGCGACCCCGTTTTGGCGAGATCGCGGTCTCCGCGGTGAGGCAACTAATCTCGACGGATACCTCCCCATTGTCTTTGACGCCACGTCGCCGGGAGCCGATTCCAAGGGCAAGCTGATGGCTTTCCTCACCGGGCCCAAATGCCGGGAGTTTGCGGCTCTGTCAGAGGATGAGCGGAGGAAGATTGCCATTGAAGAGTTCGCGGGCCTGTTCGGTAAGGAAGCCCTGGAACCCGACGAGTTCTTTTACCATTCGATGCTTCATGACGAGTGGTCGGGTGGGTGCCCGCTCGCTTCACCTCCGCCAGGCATCATCAGCTCGTACGGTGAATGGATCCGGAAACCCGTGGGACCTATTCATTGGGCGGGAAGTGAAACATCGATAAGGATGTATGGATATATGGAAGGCGCAGTGTGTGCTGGACAGCGGGCGGCGAAAGAGGTTGTCGAGGCCCTGAGCGTCGAGTCAGTGCAAAGTTAAAGCAACCCAGTCCCACGACTCAACAATCAGAACTTGGACAGTCATTTTCAATAGATCGGGTGATTAGAAGAACAATCCACTCAGAAGCTCCTACTGAATCATTCTGAGTTCCATGTTGGAAACCAGGAAGCTATTCTTAGAAGTTGCTTACACAACTATTTCATGTTGTGATTGTATATTATGTTTTTACTTTTCAGTTTGCTTTACTCTATAGAGACTAATTTTCCTAAATCCATATCAGCATGACATGGCAAGTTAGAGCGGTACTTGATATGATGTATTCAGCGTGATGACGCCTGAGAATGGTGGTGGGGACCTCAAGTCAACGATATATCTACAACCTCTTATTCATCTCTGAATGGCTATAATGGGATCTATGACAAGGTCAAGCCTTTTTTTTTTCATTGTTTCACGTTCAATTCGTAGATGACATGGAATCACATGGACAGAATCTCTATAACAACTTGGTACACTTGTGCAATTGTGGGCGTCAAGTTCTTACGTCCACCGAGTTATTTTCAGATAAGGATAAGGAAAGTCAGTGTCTTGAATCGTTTCGTGTAACATGTCAGAGTCTTTCTAGGCCTGCATTTGCTAGTCTCCTCAAATAGATCCCGCCTTTCCTACGCCTCCTCCTCTAGTTTCTTGAGCCCGATGTCAGTTGACGGAGTATACCCAGCTTCCTCCTCCATAGGCGTTGACTTGGACACGGTCCAGACCGCAGGCAAGGCAATGACCAACGAGCCAATACACAAGCCCCAGTCCATCCCAAGCTGCGTCCTACCACTAGCCCCCTGCGCATTGATACGCCACGCCATGGCTCCTCCCGTAGCTTGGAAGGTCTTGTAGGCACCGACAAGAACTGCAGCACGACCGGCGCTATTTGACTCAGTCCCGATCATCCAGTAAGCAAATCCTTGCCAGAGGGCGTCATAAGCGCCATAGAAAATGTACAAGAAGATTGGACCAGTCGAAAGATTTCCTTGGGTATAGTCGATATCCTGCTTGAGCCCTTGGGCCATTCGTTCCTCATGCCACAGCTCGAACGCGTAGCCTCCGCCCCAGACCGCCATGCCGGTGACTAGAAGAAACCCCCAGCCGAGGCGGGCACGCCCTGGGCGGTCGAGGCAAGGCAAATCCAGCAGAAACCCGATGAGCATTCCCCCCAACATCTGCGCGATCCAGTATAGAGCACTATTCAGCGAGCGGGTGCGGATATTGAAGGTCAGGCCGTTGACATTGTTCTGCTGGTAGCTGTAAAAGACATTGGCCGAGAAAAAAAGAGGTATCATGCAAGCGACACGCCACTTGAAGAGAGTACTGAAGGCCGTTTGTACGGCACCCTTCATGGTGCGCTTCTCCGTCTCCGCTGCATTGTGTAGCTGCGCTAGGCGGATGCGAGAAGGAGAGCAGATGAAAATACCCAGCAACCAACCGAACCCCATAATGACCAACAACGCGATATAAGTGGCATCCGAAACGGTGCCCTTTTTGGAGTTATAATTGAGGCCAAAGGACACGAGAGAGCCAATTCCTCCTCCGAGATTGAAAATGATCCAGAATGCTGCTATCGCCCGACCCTTTTGGGATTCCTCAACATAAGTGGTCATGATGGCCCCTTGGACGATCCAGATGAAAGAGGCACCAACTCCGAGAAGGGCTCCTGAAGCAATCACAAAGGCCCCATTGTGGTGATGGTTGAAGTGTAAGAGGCTGCCGCTGTAGAGGGCGTACGTCCAGCCACCGATAAGGAAGCAAACTCGGGGTCCCACGCGGGTGAACAAGGGCCCAACAACCAAAAGAGCCGTACCGGCCGTCGCGGATAGAAGAGCTACGTTGGCGTTCGCAGCAACGGTCGAATCAACCTGGCCAGATCCGCCTAGGCCGGTCAAGGCATTGTACATCTTCGGCTACGTCTTAGCATTGCGGACATTGAGACTAGCCGGATATTCTAGATTGAAGACTTACACCAGGGAGGCAGAAACATATGAAGCTGATCAGGATGATCTGAGTCCACGGATGAGAGTAAAATCTCACAAGCTTCGAGGATGATGGTTGCCACTGGGCCCTCTCTTGTTGAGGGATGTCCCCTTCGGTAACTTGGGGAACATCCTTGGCGTTTGATTCTGCCATGTTTCAGCCTTCTTCGTTCTGCTTTGCTTGATAAAGTTACAAACAGGATAAAAAGACTACTGCCAACTGCGCTTTTGTGGAAGTTGCGAAAACATGTTGGTAAACCAAACTCTTAAATAGAAAGGGGAAAGGATGGAGAAAGATGGAGAAGAGGAGTTACTTATCTGTGGGGTGTGGACCCTCTCGGTCCAACCTGACGGAGATTTTGCGGCCAAACAGTAAGAAGTCAACCGTCAGCCGTCGGATAACCCGAAGGAGACTAAGGAAGTCTGCAGAGTGGGTAACTAAACGAGTCATATCATAATGTTAAAAGCCTGTGTATATTCGTTCACAGAATTTAGCTTTATACGATGCACAAAAGACCTTACCCAAGCCAACATAAGCAGAGTAAGATGACAGTCATCCGACCAGATCAGGATGCAGATCACGCCCCAGTTCCCGACACGAGGGGCACAGGCAATCCCAATGACCTGAATCGCCCCGCCGCCTTGGTCCTTTGCGTGGATGCAGGAGGTACTAGCTGCAAAGCAGCCGCCCTGTCGGCCGACGGGGAACTTGCGTCAAGTGTGGGCGGACCATGCAATGTGTATTATGCCCGATATAATACCCAAAGAGACTATCATCCATGTACTGATAACGCGTACTAGTTCCACTGTAGGACTCGACACCACCTTTGCGACCATAACGGCCGTGGTACACGATGCCCTTCGTAAGCATCCGTCGACACGAGGTCAGTCACCGGCAGCAGCGTTTACTAAAGTCTGGGTTGGCCTGGCGGGATACGACAGACCAACACTTCAGCCAATCATCAATGACGCACTTTCTCAGTTGTTTGGGCTCTCGCTCAATGGGGGCTTACGAGTATCTTCAGACATTGATCTCCTTCCTGCTTGCTTAATGTCCGAGCCTGATATAATCTCGGCCATCGTTCTAGTAGTTGGCACTGGTTCTGTGGCAATGAGTTACAAACGAAAAGGCAAGGAATTTGAACGGGTTGGCCGAGCAGGGGGTTGGGGAAGACTCCTTGGCGATGAAGGGTCAGGATATGCGATCGGCCGAGAGGGAATCCGCAGGACACTAAAGGACTGCGACGCACATGCTCTAAGGAAAAGCACAGCCGATGGACTAGCCTGTTTTTCGCCGCTTTCTCGAGAGGTTCTGGGATATTTCCAGCGTCGGAATGCCGATTGCACGCCGGAAACCCTCCTTAGCCATATCCTCATTCGAAGTACAGTGGGGAATATAGGAGAGGATGACGACGCATCGAGAACAAAGACAATAGCCAGTGTCGCCTCTGCCGTTTTTGCAGTTGCTGAGAAGGACGCCGAGGCAAAGCAGATTGTGGAATCGGGCGCATCCAGCGTGGCGGAACTCGTGCAGATGCTAGTCAAGGAGCAAACCATCAATGTCGGCCAATGCGCCCTCATTCTTGGCGGAGGTCTCATGGGCAACCTCTTGTATAGAGAAGCAGTGCGCGGCATCATACAGGAGCAATGTGGCAAGTTTAATCAGGTCAAATTTGTCAACGACCCTGCTGTGTCTGCCGCAAAGAGCCTGTTTGATTACAGCCGGGACTCTTTGTAGTATGATATATATCTTCTCTATAGAGCATGGTTGTTGAAACTATTCATCTTGATCCTGGGCAATCATTCATGTCTGCCACAAATATATGAGATGAGCTTATTAGTCTTGGCAGCTTGTACTTGGAGTATTCTTACCTTTCCAGAGAGGCAATTTGCCTTCCGAGTTGGAACTAACATTGAATTGTACTATCTTATCATGATGGCAGGGAGGATGAGGGCATTTTGTGGATCGTGTCCAGTGTCATGGCTGATTCTGGGAAATGTGTCTTCCGCCGGGTTATCCGTGGAATACCGGATAACCCGTACACTGGCAAGTCCGATATCAAGATTAAGCCCTGCAATGATTTGACAGAGTAGCTTGATCACTTTGGTATCCCTCGCGGCGCCTTACACTCATTTCCAACACCGAAATTTGAAATAGTTTGACTTTGTTAGACGTACGAGATGACATAGCGAGTGGCTGACCCACTTGCTCATTTTGACACTGTGGCACGGTTTATTTTCTTAGCCTTTGAACCTTTCTATTTTGACATTCTAAATTTCTAGATATAGGGATTTCGCGTTACATGTAATATCCTCTATAGATTAGACTGCAGAACATTGTTTGGCATGATATAGACCCTGCCTTCAAATGGGGCTAAGGTTTCAAAACTCTCCTTACTCTCATGTGTTGTAAGAATAAGTTTTGGAGTCTGGCCATTAGTGAGGAGCATTGTAGATGTTGGAACGACCCAGGGTTTCTCCTCCGAGGTGAAGTTAAGAACAACCATCATCCTTCTTTTCCGATCCTGCGCCTGCTTGATGAAAATGTAGATATCAACGTCATCTTTTTCAAGACATAGGTAGTCTCCATACACCAGGATATCCTCATGCTGCTTCCTAAATAGCAACATCTTGCGCCAAAAGCCAAACACACTATCTGTGTTCTTTATTTGCGCCGCAACGTTGATTTCGTGTGATAATGGATGGGGCTTCATCCAAGGCTCTTTGACATCCAAGCCAGCCCGTTCAGCTTCATCAGAAAATCCGCCATACTTGGCGGCACCGTTCCATGCCATGGGTATCCGTGAATGATCACGGGCCAGATGTTGTAGTGCTGTGAATCCTCTGTCGAGCTCAGCCTCGTTATTCTCCCCGCGGCGTTCCCTGATCATGTCGATAAAGAGACGGCTACTGATGTCCAGGTAGTTCTCCAATGGGTATGTCTCCTTTGAGGAGTTGACTGCACCAATTTCCTGCCCTTGATATATGTACTGGGTTCCGCTAAGACAAGTCTGAAGAACAGCTAGCATTTTCGCTCCCGCTTCCCGACGGGTAGGGTGGTCATCCGTGAGCCTTGAGACTGATCGCGAAAGGTCGTGGTTTTCCAGGAAAGCAGTTGTCCAGGCGTCAGTTCCCTGGATAAGACTTTGTGCCTTGCCAATGGCCTCTTTAAACTGAGGAAGTGTGTAATTTTTGGGAGTTGTCTCGTATTTATGAGTGCGGCCTCAGCCTACCTCGACCGCGTCAAACTGGAAGACCATGCTGAGCTGTCGAGCCGCAGCGCTCACATACGGCAATATCCTTGCCACATCGGGGGTGTCGAGAAGCTCACCCACTGTGATCGCTCCGTACCGTGTCAAAACGTCATTCATCTCGCTGATGTACTCATGCATCCTTGGTCCATTACAGTATAGCATGGCTGCAGGCTGGAACGGTGCTGCCGGGTCGGTGACCGGGGCGTCTGGGAAGTCAACCGGTTTGCTGTACATATTGACCGTATCAACTCGAAACCCGTCCACCCCGCGGTCGAGCCAAAACACCATGGCAGATGCATAGATGGCTTTCCTGGCTTCCGCGCTGTCCCAGTTCAAGTCTGGCTGCTCCTTAGCCCACAGGTGAAGGTAATACTCCTTCGTCGACTCATCCCACTCCCATGCGCTGCCACCCCCGAAACTGCAGCGCCAGTTGTTGGGTGGCAGCCGTTCGCCGCTCTGCGAGTATTTTGCTGGTCGCCAGATATACCAATCCCGTTTGGGGTTGTCTCGGCTGCTCCTGGACTCTTTGAACCATGCATGTTGATCGGAAGTGTGATTGATGACAAGATCCATCATGATCCTCATGCCCCGAGCATGTGTTTATCTGATCAAACTTTCCATATCTTCAACATTCCCGTATGGAGGATAGATGGCTTCATAGTTTGAAATGTCGTATCCCATGTCCACTTGCGGACTGTCGTAAACGGGGCTAAGCCATATTGTATCTACACCTAGACTAGCGATATAATCAAGCTTGGAAGCAATACCGGGGATATCACCAATGCCGTCGCCATTGGAATCGCAGAAGGATGCAGGGTAGATTTGATAGATGACTGCGGACTTCCACCACGTTTTCACATGAGGGAAACCAGCCATGGTGGGTTATGAATCTTATTAGAGGGAGGAATGTAAAGGATGACTGTAGAGGTGCTTGCTATGGAGATGGCTCTTTGTCTTTTAATGTGAACATTATGCCAAGCCTGTCAACGCACTAATGGAAGGGGAGTAGAGACTGGAGTTTCAAGTGAGAAGCTGAGGGTATCTAGATGCTGATTGGCGTATTGTCGGCCCGATAATCCAGGCAGTTGATTGGCTGATTGTCGCTCCGAGATGATTGTGGGGTGATCCGTTTGAAGCGCAATCAGACCTTCTTATTGGTGTATTGTCGGCCCGACATATGTCTTAGCGTTGGCGGCAATTTGAGACATAATCTTATGATAAGAAATCAGAAGATCGTAGAGTCAACTTTTTCCCCAGCAAAGGCCTCGAACCATTCCCACGGTATCACTTTCCCACAATGGTTATCTCCACACGAATCGCCCCGTGGAGAAGCTCATTTTATGGAGATAGCCCCATATTTCGTTATCTGAGGCTGTCTGCTCTCGTGCCTTGAAGAACGAAAAGAAGTATATATATATTTGATCCCTTCCACGCGACCTTTTCAGAAGATACCATATCATTCAGGTCCTGAAACTCCTCCAGCTTAGACCACAACAACATCATCAAACCAACCAACCTTGTCCTCTTTTGAGGCTTTGAGCACGCTTCTTCGCCATGCCCTCCGCAGGTGTGGAACAACAAGCCAACATGTCTCATCCTACCAATGATAACCATGATGTCATTGCCCAAGAGGCTGTTATCGCAAATAAGAACGAACAGGGTATAGGTCTTTTCAAATCCCTCAAACTCTACAGGATGGCGTGTTTGTGGTCCATCTTCCTATCCACATGTGTGATTATGGAAGGTTTTGATATCGTCCTCTTGAATACTCTCTACGCCTATCCACCCTTCCAGCGGGACTTTGGTGAGCGCCAACCAGATAGCAGCTACGAATTAGCGGCCGACTGGCAGTCAGGCCTTTCTGGAGGCAACCAAGCAGGGCAGATCATCGGGCTTCTCTTGACTGGGTTTATTACAGACCGGCTTGGTTACCGCAAAACCCTTATTGGAGCTTTAGTGTTCTGCACTGGTTTCATCTTCATCGTCTTCTTCTACGATTCGCTGATTCAGCTTCTTATTGGAGAGATCCTCATCGCCATTCCTTGGGGTGTTTTACAGACTACGACTGCAACGTACGCCTCTGAGGTCTGCCGACCCATCTCCGCGCCTACCTCACAACCTACATCAATACCTGCTGGGTTCTAGGCCAGCTCATTGCTTCCGGAGTGCTCCGATCTATTCTATCACGAGATAATGTGTAAGGCTACAAAATCCCATTTGCCTTACAGTGGATATGGCCTGTACCTCTCATAGTGGGCATATTTTTCGCTCCTGAATCACCTTGGTGGCTCGTCCGTCATGATCATATCGACGAAGCGAAGCGTTCACTTGACCGACTCACCACAAAGCACAAGGAAATATCATTCAACGCTAACGAAACAATCTCGATAATTATCCATACCAACAAGGCGGAGAAGGATGCCCAGGAGGGGATATCGCACATAGATCTGTTTAGAGGCACCAATCTTCAGCGCACCGAAGTGGTCTGTGTAACATAGATGATCCAAGCTGCGACCGGCTCTACCATCACATCATACTCAACCTACTTCTACCAACAGGCCGGTATAGCTGTTGAGAACTCTTCAATATATCGCTTGGCCAGTATAGCATAGGCCTTCTTAGCACTATTGCCGCCTGGTTTATAATACATTAGTTCGGGCGCCGAACTATCTATCTTTATAGCCAAATCATTCTCGGAATTGTTCTCCTCATCATCGGCTGTATTAGTACAGTCGGCAGAGAGGACGTTACAGCCCAGTAGACCATTAGCAGTCTGCTTATTATTCATACCTTTCTCCATAACTGCACCGTAGGCCCAATCTGTTATTTGCTTGTGTCTGAATTATCCTCAACCCGTCTTCGGACGAAATCAGTCGCCCTCGCACAGAATCTTTACAACTGCGTGTACATCATCACCAGCGTCATTACTCCCCGCATGCTAAACCCAACAGCTTGGAATTAGGGTGCCAAAACAGGCTCCTTTCGGGCTGGCTCATGCATGCTATGTGCAATTTGGACGTACTTTCGACTTCCTGAGCCAAAGGGACGGACATATCTCGAGCTTGATCTTCTGTTTGAGCAAGGGGTCAGTGCCCGGAAGTTCTCAACCACTGTGTTGCACACTCTCGATGGAACCGTGGACCAGATCTCGGTGTTGGGAAAAGTCAATAGTGGTCTTGATGAAGGTAGGAAGGACTAGGCAGCGGTGTGGTGCTTCTTTAGTAGAACTAATGTGGTTCTTCTTTGATCAAGGCATTGCGCTCTCGACTCAAATTACTTGAATATTTGACCATTCTTTGGTGCAGACTAGGATCAGTTGCTTGTAGATAGTTGAAAGGTAGATCAATCTATTTAATTGTTCTTTGAACCAAACGGGGGGTTTTCAAGTAGCCTAGAGTAATTCTTCCTAACTATGTGAAAGATCTCAAACGTTGTCGTGCTAGTAGGTACTCGTAAGCCCGACTTACAATTCATCGATAAGAGGGGCGATACCGATTTGATGCAGTAAGATGATGCAAAAGAAGATTTAATCGTGGTTCGTTATGGATTAATAAATTCATGGGAAGAGATAGGTAATCAAGATATTAATTTGTGGCCGCTGATGGAATTCGGCCGCGGGAATTGTTGAGATACACGCAAGATCTAACACACAGGGTCTCCAGCCTTCTTCTTTAAAACACTTTAGTTTATTCAGCTTTACACAATGACTTATAAATATAGGATTTGTATCATCCAACCTGGGGCGGAGAGTAATAGGATCAGGGACTGGCATCGCTACCACCTGCGCCGTCGATGTTGTTCAAAACGACATCGCCAAAGTCTATCATAGTGTACATGCCTTTCATAGCTTGCAATTTCTCAAGTAGGTAGTTTCTCTGCTTTGAAGCAACCGCATCGAATCCCGCAAGAAATTTGAAGAGAAACAGCAAATATTCTACTCTTGAAATATCTTCGTCTTCAATCTGCCCAGATTGGCTGGTCACCACCATGACATCAGCGATGGTGCTGGTTATCTCGAAGAGCTTCTCAAGCATTCCCATCCCGTGGAAGCCCACGCTGGTGACATCTTGAAGTCGGCTAAATACTGATCGGAACTCCGTATAAAGGCTGTTGATTGGGAACTGGAATGAGAGCCCTTCGTGATTTGTGGAAGAAGTTGTGGAAGCAAGAAGGCCTTGAGACAAGGCAAGCTGCCAGAGCAGAGTGCGTAGCCACAATCTGGTAATCACAAGGTCGATATGTTGAAGTTCTGTCAAACCGCTGCTCCCTCTGTCCTTTGATAGCCTTTCCTCCTCAGCTGTATCAGCTGCATCTTCATCTAAATCCCTATGCTTGTTTTCTATCCACTGGGTTGTCAGCGGCGACTCTGTAGACTGTTTGACGGAGTGATTGTGTTGTGAGCGCCAGTGTGCAAGAAATTTATCATCCAGAATCGCAAATAGATTGACCAGGCGACGAAATCCTAGGTTGATGTGGCCCGGTATACTCGGATCACTAACTGGAGGTCCCGAGCTTGGAGCCGGTAAGACACTGCCAAAAGACGGAAGAAGAGCCACGTGTCTTTCATGTAGAAACAATTCCCAGTAAAGCCTTTGCCATCTCGCGGCATTATTTGGGCCACCTTGGAAGCCCTGCCCAAAATCGAGGGCCTGGAACATGGTGATACCCTCACGCAGCCAAGCAAAGCTGCGGTCGACTCTTCCTAGTGTTAGTGCGCAGACACTCAAGAACATACAGGTAAGAATGCGTTTTGCGGTCACGGGCAATGGCTTAAGGATGCCGTCCTCTCTTTCATCATCCCAATCGAGTTCGTATGTTCGGTGAGCTCTGGTGCTGCACCGGACTAATTCAGTCATCTGCACAGCAACGCCCTTATGAAGAGCCCACGATGACCGCATCCGATTAATGGTTATAGCTGCAAAGGCATGGACAAGGGCGGCATCTTCGCTACTCTGATCCATGTTTCTGATGGCTTCCTCCATCTCCTGAGGCGAGATTATCGGATTCAGTGGGTACACAAACTCGGCATATTGGGGAAGCAAGCCAAGGAAGAAATACGCGGGTCGTGACGGCTCAGACCGCGAGCCTACCTGAGGGTTATGAGCTTGAGGCAGACATTCAGGCCCATTCTGGCCCCTCCTCTCTCCTCGTAGCTGGGCGACAAGCCGGCCACGACGCCCGCGTTCGCGCCGGCTTGTTGGAGGAGTCGAGAAGGTGCATGAGAGATTTAGGTGAGCACATTGCGTGCAAGGCCACGAACCATGGCACTTGACTTTGCGGAACCGGCAGCCATCACAGGCTTTTGTCTTTCTCTGGCTTGCGTCCATTTGCCAATTTGATAGTCTGCACCAAGGGGCCGCGCTCTCAGATGGATATCAATTACTGGTTGCAGAAGGGAATTATTTGTGGAGTGCAGGAGCGAGAATCTCTACAAGTACGCCGGGATTGTGCTCCACTTACTGCTGCTCACCACGCTCTAGTCACGCGCATTTGTTATGAACCCTCCTATAATAACCTCATTTCAATATAAATTATTTACCTTCATATAGAAGTTTAAGAAATACTAGTAAGTATTTATTGATTATTAAGAATTTATTTGATTTAGTAACGATAGCTTATAATCTTTCATATTAACTAAAGTTGATTCATACTTATGTACTTGTTTTCCTTCTTATACTTCCCTTTATGATTCGTAGGACTATGGCTATTTCTATTCTTGAAATTTGCTTTAGTCAATATTATCCACAAATAATCTAATTAGACTTTAATGAGATGTGATGGTTGGGCGACTTGCACTGGATGAGGGTCTAAGGAAGATCGGAATGTAACCAATCAGAGATATTCTGAGTAGGATGATCAGGTTGTCTTAGAAATGTGCGAGTTACTGCTAATATGCGAGCGCTGAGGAGCTAGTTTTAATGAAGGCGCTAGCGATTGTATTGATGACTGTCTAAAGGAGTGGTCCAGCTAATTAAATGAATGTGTATATATAATGAGGCTGTTACTTGCTTGTCACTTGTCCGTCACTCTGCCGGAGTGACTGGTTTCTGCTGATTAGCTGTAGTTTACCAGTGGGTTTCCTATATGCACGTGACCTTACGCGGCCGAGAGGAGGCCTTTGTTCGTAACACGAGATCATCTGGATATGGACACCAGCGCTCATACCCAAGCCAAAGAAGCTGGAAGTGATGTAATGAATAGCTAGAAGTGTACTCCACCACTCGCCGAAAGTTTCCTCGAATGTCCAGAACGTTGTAGTCGCATACAGCGAGGGCAAAATCCCACACATCACGGCGACAGCTGTTCAATGATTGGTATTCGTTGAAGGTGGAATAAGCAACATGAGAAACAGAGATGCCGGACTTGCTCCTCGCCCGTATATCGGCGCCATTTCGAATCAAGCAAATTATAGCATCTGCCTGTGCCTTAATGTCGAACCCTGCCCATCTATCATTTATGAAATTTAGAGACCAATGTAGGCAACCCCAGCCGTCATCGTCAACAGCATGAATGTTAGCACCACGATTGAGTAAGAATTCGAAGGTTTCTTTACGGCGACGGGTTCCGTTAGACGATGCAAGCAACAGGGGAGTCTTCCCAGATGGGTCTCTCCACTCAATGCCAGCAAAACCCACACTGAAATCAAGAAATGTTCTCATCGAATCCTCCAAAGGTCTGGTGTTAGTCAAATGAAAGACAAAGTATGATTATGGGCTCATCAGACTTACCAAATTACTTTCGTACTCAAAGGTTAGAGAGAAAACAGACTCTATATCATCAGATTCGTCTGTCGGATCTGCCCCCGCCTCAAGCAATATCCTCCTGCATTCATTAGCCCGGCGTATTTCTTCTTCTTCACAATCATCATCATTATACATGCAGGTTAGGATGAGAGAACAGTCCCGACCATCGAACCTATCGGGACAATACACGTCTAAGTCGGCACGATTTTCGAGTAGATATCGGCATATGTGAGGTTGTATATATGTAGCGGCAAACTTTCAAAAACTTGTGTGAGCCCTCTTGGGTTAAGCTCTAGTTGAGATTTTACTTACCCAAAGAAGTGGCCTCCCCAACTCATCATGATCTCTCAGCGATGCCTTGCCCTCTCGTAGGAGAGTTATGAGCTCGGATAATCGCCCTTCTTCGACGAGCTGGAAGACTAATGAGTCTCGCGGGCGGATGTGATTTGCTTGGAAAAAAGGGATTGGGGAGAAAAACCCCTTGGAAGAAGTTTGCTGCTGAACAATCGCCGAAAACATCATCCCGTCACGCACTTTTGGTAGAAACGTGAGTCTTGAAGTAGTGTATCCGACATCGCGACGTTGTCTCTTTGGAATTAATCCACCATCTGCGGGATGATGCTGAAGATATCGGCGCTTTGTGCGCACTTTCAGCGTTCCATTTCCAATCTCGTACGTTTCCAGACGCTGCTCGTGTCGAGCAACTTGATTCAGCCAAGGACTTCTCTGAGCTAAAGACAACTCCTTAGCAAGGTACATCCGAATGCAGCCGTGATAGTTGATTTAATGGCCATTATGGGGTTCCCAAATTACTCACCTTGGCCATTGATAGACAGAGTCTGGGCAGAGTCCAATAACCCACTGACACGCCGTAATTCTTTAACACTAACACGATCCTTGGACTGACTCGTTACGGCCCGGATGATAGTCTGCAGGTCTTCGATGACGCTATCAACGGTTTCTTCATTCGACGTGTCTTCACACTGGTTTACCATGCCACATAAACGATTGATGCAATCCAAAATCTTCTCATTTTGAAGCATTATCGCCGGAATCTGGCGTTCGAGAGGTAGCATGGTCTGACTGTATGTGCTAGGCGAAGCATAAGGTAGGGAGCTGCTGCCAGGAGTTTCTTCTTCCGTGGGCCGAGCACTCAGAGGCTTTAGAGTGGTTGCGGGCTCAGTTCTGGCCGCGAGAGACTGGATCGCATCCCAGACAAGAGATAATTTGTGGTTCGTTTCCTGCTGATTGGCTTCTGACTGGGCCCTTGAATCGTTCAAATTTGAAACCACTAATTGCAATCCCTGTTCTAGTCTTGAGCGTATAGATTCACTGGAAGCAGAGGCGTGGTCCAAGGAGGTGGAAATGGAAGAGAGCTGTTGCTGTCGCTGAACATCAGCCCTGGCCAGATCTGTCCGCAGTAATTCCATATGCTGAGTGTTCGGGCCAGATAAGGTCGTCAAGTACAAGTTTAGGCTTGAGGAATAGGCCCCCACTGCCTCCGTCATCCTCTCAAGATCGTTCTCGCTTAAGACAGCCTTGAGACGCTTCCAAAGCTTCCGCGCGCGACTATCGGTTTCAAGGGCTTCAAACTTGGTCAGCTTGGAGGCGAACGCGCCGAGATCATCCGAACACTTCTGGATCTGAATCTGAAATTCTATGGGCGGTAGCTGACCACTTGTGGTCATACGATGAGCTAGCTGCTTGAGTGCCCACTGGAGGATTTTCACATTTGAGACTGTAATGCTAACAGACTCTGGTCCATCTTCGATCCCTGTCAGAACTTTATAGATTAAATTGGCAGATTCAATTGAGAAACTGATGAACGTTATCACGCTCGCAGCTGCCTCCATAGCACCAGTCGTCACGCCGGGGGTTCAGCTTGAGATTATTGTCGTCGTCCGTCGTGAGCGGCTGCCTTGTTCAACTAGGTTGATCTGTGTCAGAATGTCAGGCGATGTACCATCTCCCCTTATATTCTCCGACTGTGTGGTTGCTGAGTGTCTCAGGGAATGGAGAGAATGGTATCAACTATCTCAAAATACGTCTGACGACCGGAAGCCTGATAGAAATTTTATTCGTGCGACACCGCCACCCCCTCCCTCTTGCATGTGAGACAATCTTGAGGCTGTGCTTGGTACAGCCACCGCTTATATGCAGCTCTGCCATTTACGCGGAGCATGTCAAAATAAAGATCTTTTCAGCAGTTTTCCTTCACAATTCACCATGAGCGCTATGATCTCGTATCATGTTTTAATAATCGGTTTGAAATAAACTACTATTCGCTGGCTGCCACGCCTCTCAACTGTATCGGAGAACTACAAGAAGCTCTTGCTTATACCCAAGCTTATTAGTTGCTACTAACAAAACAAAAGAGCAAAAATAACCGAGAAGATCTTTTAAAGCAGTTATTGAATTTATGGAGTGAAGGAGCAAGAAATTAATATGTCTGCCGAGAATCCCAGGATTACGTTACTGCTGCTCATCCCAGCCCAATCACAGAAGAGCGTTATAAACTCTCCCTATAGGATAACCTCATTAAGCCATATGACAAGACGATAGTGTTTCATCGATCTACTATAGTTATTGGAATATCTGAAAGCTCTAATTCGTAAAACCAAGCCCTCTCCAGCTTATGAGACCGTCCGAGCCAAGCATCTATCCGGCCATATCTTAGTGGACTAATTTCGCAGGTGTGTCAATGTCTCCCATCCGTAGAAAAGGAGAGCGCCTGAAGGCCTTTGTTTCTCTGTGAGCTCCTCAGTAGACGGCATAGCGTACCCGAGGCGGTGAGAAAGAGCGTTGAAGCCAATCTCAGTGGCTTTTCATTGTGTAAGTCGATGCCGAAATGAAGAATTGTCTCAACGACAGAGTGACTCACCTGGACCAAGATATGTGCTTAGTGTCTCATTGTTGCATAGCCATTCTGGCTGTAGGGCACCTAAAGTGTACTTGGAATGAAATTCAAGTCCATATCGCAACCGAGTTCCACTATCTTCCTTGAACAAATCCCTTCCCTGAATCCTTGAGGTCTCGGCCACGTGCGACATAGCGGCAACCCCGTAGCCTGTGTGTTCAAAGTCTCGACAAGTCTCCTGACTTAGGCCACTCACATTGAGAATCGACTGGTTGTTCCAGAACTCGATGATATCCTCGTTCGTCTTGAGCCATTTGGCATCTACCGCAGCTGTATGGGGCATATCGCCATCGCTTGCCGTACTTGTTAAATTCTGATACGGAAAGGCAGATTGCGGCAATTTCATACCTTTCTAGATAGATATACGCAGCAGCTCTGTCGAGAAACCTCACTATCGCTTCGTCGTAGCTTTCATGGTCATCCAAAAAGATTGAAATGCCCATAGCAGCTTCCATCATGACTGCAAACACGATCAAAATTTAGTCAGTGAAAAGTCTAGCAGAGTTATCACATTATATTTACCCAACTCCCAGTTCCCATTATACCCAGGCGCTCCTACAATGACTTGTGGGAGATAGATATCTCGCAACATGCCTTCAAATTTGGCAATGTCGGCATCGGCCCAACCTGCATCTGTGTTGAACCTCAAAACTCTGGCATGCCAGACTGTGGTCTTGAAGGTGCTCTCCCACATTGGATTGTCCAGTACAACCGGTATAGCGTGGCTGTCAAGGAGAGACTTTGATCCAATCCCGGAGAGTTCAAGTATCTGAGGAGTTATGAGGGAGCCCGCAGCGAGGAGTACCTCACCGGCATGGTAGACAGTCTCGGAGCCATCCTCAGAGAGAGCGATGACTCCTTGAGCCACAGGCTCTTGGCCTGACTGGTCAAAAATGATCTTCTTGACAACAGTATCCGTAATGACAGTCAAGTTCTGTCTGCTAGCGATATTCGATGAATAATCCCAGTCGCAGAGTTGCTTCTAGTCTTGGTGACAGGCTCAATGCTCCCAGGCATCTGGAAGGCTCCCATGGCTTCCCCTCGCCTTGGATCAGAGGTCATTTGTAGTCCAAGGTTGGCAAATGTTTTCAGCCAATTAGCAGATGTTTCGTTGTACCCGTCGCCATAATGAGCTTGGATCGGGCTATTTTCAACCTGCGGGGGGTCGTGATAAGAGATATTCACAGCATCTTGTATAGATTGCTTTGGGGGATGAACGGTCGTGAACTTTTGGAAACAAGGAGCAAGGGAGTCATAGCCCCAGCCCTCATTTCCGAGGTCAGCCCACGCATCGATACCCTTGCGGTTTGGAAAGACAAACATCATGAAATTTATGCCGGAAGATCCTCCTAGAAGCTTGCCTCTTGGTTGCGCAATGATGCGGTTGTGTCGCTTGGGCTATATTTTTGTTAGCTATGTTGATCCGCGCTTATCTGCTTGTTCATGAGTAAGTTATCTACTTGGGGTACTGTATGGAAATTCCAGTCATTTTTTGGATTTCCATACAACGGTGCCAGCATACCAGGAGCCTTTATCATTGGATCATCGATGCGGTTTGAGCCTGCCTCAATGACTTGAACACTGACTCCAGGGTCCTCGGTCAGGCGAGCGGCAACCGTAAGTCCAGCTATACCGCCCCCATAACAATATAGTCAAAATTTTGGATCATGATTGCGAACCTGATGGGAACTTGCCAGATCTCGGCGAGGAAACAGTGACTTTGTCAAAAATTGATGGGCTTCAAGGTCGTCAGGGAGCCCTATGTTGTCTTTAATGCTTCAAACCATCACTCATACGCAGGTCTCTTTACGAGGTGTAAGCAAAAAGGAGCCTTGGTAGGTATCCACGTATGGATGGTCTAATCATGAATTCATGTTTGGCGCTTTAACCGCGCTAGCATATCGTGCGTATCCCTGAGTGTTGAGTGTTTAGGCATCAGGCAGAGTAACCAGTCTATTGAAGTACATTCAATGGGGGGTTCGAGGCTGGACGCTGAAGAGTTTGAAAGTCCCAATCTAGGGGCTAACTTAGGTGGGGGGAGGCTTAGAGGTCCTTGCTGTTTTCCCGGGATTTCTAAACGACGGATCATGCATGATTGGGTAGTCTGGAACTTTTCGTAGGAGTTGTGATGTGAATGTCGCTGGAGCTATCTCTACCGAGTCTAGCTTTCGCCATTTGTTTGTAGGAGTGTTCTAGTATCTGTGCCGGCGTACCTAGATTCATATGTGCACGGCCAAGTTCTCGCTCTAGTAAGTTGAGGATAGTTTGCTCAGATGTACCGATCCTATTGTCAAATTTTCCTTGAAAATGGTTCGTCAACACGATATCTGTAAACCTGAATACTTCTCGTTCCCTCGAAGCACATCCACATCTCCAGAAAACATGGGTTTAGCCACATTCTTATCAGCAATGACCAAAAGACATCAATTATGCCCGCCTCCAACTTATGGTCCCATGGTTGGTGGGACAGAACATCGGTCGGGATTCTGGGGGATCTTCTGTCAAAGCTTTGTGCTGACATCAGATGGAAACATAGCACTAGCCTTTAAATAGATATTAGTACTCCCGACCCGGAGATAGACTACGAGGCTCCAGTTTAACAGAGAGCCCGGTCCTAGCTCTATGGTTTGCGTGGCCTTGCCAGTATGATCAAGCCAGCTGCATTCTTTTGCCGCTTCGTGTCTCTTCAGCTCCGAGTTCGCTTCGAATCAGGAGTCATTATCATCTCTATTATTATCATCACACGTCAGAGCCCCTACATGCAGCAAATGAGCACCAGTGCTGTTTTACCACTTATGTTTTACGGCAACGCAGACATACCTGACTCAAGAGCGTCCACTATGCGGAATTGCGATGATGACCATCGTGGCGATGACCGTTATAAGGGCATTCAACCCGACCCGAGAGCATCAAAGGAGTGCTCAAACCCAAAGTCCTCGGCCAGGAGGTGGTTCCGTTGGAGACGAGAAGATGGTGGTTCAAAATACTCACATTTTAGCATGATAAGTGGCGCCTCCTACTTTGAAGATGGTTGGAAATATCTGCAGTTCTAAAGGGCTCGGGGAAGAATCATTTTCCGTTCTGGAGAAGTTTATTGGCAGTGCCATTGTAACGTCTGGTATGAAGAACTGGTTGAAGATGTCGAGACAGATAAGTACATTAATCCGCGGTTAAGGGGTGGGGCACCCGGGTTCCCTGATTTCGAGAGCCTAAGCCATGGATTTGCAGAATATACCTAGAGAATACGTGAGAGTGGCGATGATGTTTTCTAGGGCATATCTTCTGTAATATCACTCGCTAGCCGGACATCGAGAGAGGCTTCTTGTATGGTATTCTAGAAATGATCTTTAAGGATGGGCTGACTTGGAGACCATACTGGGATCACACCAACCTTTATCATCGCATTTCAAGGACGGTATCCTCCGATAATCCTTGAATGTCGCATATGGTCTTGGATGGGCTGGCAGGGCATGGTACGACCCGGAATGTGGAAGCTGATAGAATAAACGGCCGTATATCTCGCATCCAAGAAGCAATCCCCATAACAAAGTGGAAGGATGCGGTTGCCTATCGACTTGTAAGTGGCCATGTAAATGTGGCAGCTTGGGACAAGTCGGAACTGAAGTCTGTGTCTTTAGTTCTTGGCTGAACACAGACGCTGGTCGAAATGTGTCTGTAAAGAAGTATCTATGGATCTATTTTATACATATAGCTGAAAGTGCAGCATGGTCTGATAAACAGTCATGTACTACTGTGAGCAGTGAGGAGTTTCGCCACGAATCAGTATGTAAGACTTCCGAGCACGTAATGAACCTGAAAGGTAAGCATTGCCATCGTAAAATGATCTTAAGGTACGCCGTATGCCTCCGGAACCTTTATTTGAAAGTTTGAAAGCTCCTGTAAAGATCCCTATCTATACTACCTTGATGAGATTAAAATGCAAGATTCCATGGCTCTTAAAAATGGACGATAACTAGGATAATATAGCTCACATCGCCCCGGTGCTCAAGCAGAGTTGGAAACATGCCACTGCAGCAAGGTAGTGTGATTTTGATCCAGGGCATGCAACAATTAACCCAAGCCACAGACAAAGCAAGCCATACGATAGTCACAATCCGGAATTCGATGATGATCCTACGCTCTTTCTCGTGACACCCAATACAAACACTGCAGTTAGCCGGAATGAGATTATACCAAGGGTGCGGAGCAAGTCTGGGCATGGATAATGACGCCGCGAAGGAATTTTTCTGGATCCAAAACTTCCGCGGAGGTTTTATCGATGGGGCCATAAGAGTCTGAAACTGACACCCCGCAGCTAGACATTGGAGAATTCAATAGCTGAATATCGCCGCAGCTGGGGCCTGAATTGTGGGAATCTAGATTTGTTATTACGATAAAAGGGCAACTTCGGCTCTCGCACTCCCAAGATGTGGAATGAAAGGTCTGTATATCCTCCGTCGCTCATCGAGCTGTCCTGCGATTAAGACTCGGCCCATTCACCAATATTAAAACATCTATATAAAATGGCTGAGGAGAAGGACATGTGGGCTCAGGCCGACCAAGGCAGTTACAGCCAGCTCACAGGGTATGATTTACCGGTTGAGAATCTCAAGCTCCCTGCCGACTTCATCTGGGGTGCGGCGACAGCGGCCTATCAGGTTGAAGGGGCTGCCACACAGGACGGCAAAGGCAAATCGATCTGGGATGTGTATTCCCATCTCGAGCCTTCGCGCACCAATGGCGCCAATGCGGACATCACCTGCGACCACTACAACCGGGTTGAAGAGGATGTCAAGCTCCTCAAATCTCTAGGCGCAGACACCTACCGGCTTTCCATTGCATGGTCGCGGGTAATTCCCCTGGGTGGCCGTGACGATCCAGTTAATGAAGCCGGCATTGCTTTTTATAACCGGCTCATCGACACTCTCTTGGAGAATGGGATTAAGCCGTCCGTTACTCTCTACCATTGGGATGTGCCCCAGGCCTTATATGATCGATACAAAGCATTTCTGAATACAGAAGAGTTCCGTGCTGATTTTGAACGATACGCTCGCCTATGCTTCTCGCGCTTTGGCGAGCGTGTTAAGTCTTGGGTTACTTTTAACGAGCCGTACATTATCTCCATCTTTGGGCACCTCAACGGGAGCCTGGCCCCTGGCCACTGCGCCGACGTTGGGACGGACACCAAGACAGAGCCATGGCGCGTCGGACATGCGCTCATCCTATCGCATGCTTCAGCCGTGAAGATCTACGCCGAAGAATTTCGCCCGCAGCAGCATGGAGAAATATCCATTGTGCTCAATGGCCACTTCTATGAGCCTTACGATGCAGCCAGCGAAGCCGACATAAATGCCGCACAAGTCAGACTGGAGTTTTATATCGGCTGGTTTGGCGACCCCATCTACCTGGGGAAAGACTACCCTGCCTCGATGAAGGAGTATCTTGGCTCACGCCTCCCCAGCTTTACAGAGGAGGATCTGGCGCTTCTCAAGGAGACTTACAAGATCAACACTTTCTATGGGATGAATCACTACTCCACCAAGTTCGCCCGGCAACTTACTACAACTCCGGCGCAGGACGACTGGACTCGGAATATTGAGGAGTTAGCTATAAACAGCAAAGGTGAAGAGATTGGGCCTGCATCGAGCATGCCATGGCTGAGGATCGCCCCTGAGGGATTCCGGAAACTACTGAATTGGGTCTGGGATCGATATCACGTCCCCATTCTTGTAACTGAGAATGGATGCCCCTGCCCAGGCGAGGAGAATGTTAGCATCGCCCTGGATGACCAGTTCCGCCAGAGATATTTCGGTTTGTACTTGGACTCCATCTCACGTGCGATATACGAGGATAAGGTGAAGGTTCTGGGCTACTATGCTTGGTCGTTGATGGATAACTATGGTAAGTCCAAATCTCTAGACCTGCTCGATAATCATTTTGACGAGAACTGACATTTCTTTCAGAGTGGTCATCAGGCTACGGTCCTCGTTATGGAATCGTTCACGTTGATTTCGATACGCTGAAGAGGACGCCGAAGGGATCGGCATACTACCTTCGAGACACGTTTGAGGATCGTAGGAAGACGGAGCAGGCATAGATCTCACTTTCAAGTACATGTAACCAAAGCTCCAAGAGAATACACCGATGAAATTTATCTTCTATTCAGACTTGCTCTCGAAGGAGTGCATCCGATGCCTTCGAGTCAAGACGAGACAGTACATCTAGGAGGACATTGAAGTCGCGGGTGGCCCTGCTCACAAGCGGAGAAGGTTCTTGGATGATGGCGAGCAAACTTGCACCCACCAATCGTATTTTCTCAGCCTAAAGATACACCAGAATTTCCGGCAAGTAAGTCGACCTGGTGGAATACTATCAAGATCAGAGAGATAAAGAAGAATTTCACGTACACAAGGCTCTCCATTGACCTTCAAGGCCCAGAATGGTACATCCTGTAGAAACCGGGCCATGTCTTGGGCAATCTCGGTCTTTCTGAGCACGGTTAGATCATTCCGCTCACCAAGGACGGAAAAGTAGCCGAGCTTCTCGAGCCCCTCCATCAAATGCATCTTCAAACTGTGGTAGGTTATTTGTAGGTCGGTTATTTGGATAACAAATTTCTTGTTGTTCGTATGATGAGTAGAAGAGTTGTCACCGGCTGAACTCGACACATTCGTCTGCAATAGATGCGATGGCAGGTCATCGATGCTGACGACAAAGCGCATGTAGTAGCTGCTCAATGTATCGTAATCAGTAGGTGATAGGACGTCAGAAGGTTTCCTATTACTGTGTTTAATCATTCTCATTCTCTGCAAGAGCTCGGCTGCTGCTTGCCATAGCCGGGTAGCAGCATTGGTGCCTTGCTCAAGCCTGTCACGCTAACAGTCAGCACAATAAGTGAAGGAACTCTCTCCCTCGCCTTTCTTGAATCTTTATCACGTACTCATCGTTCTCGGCTGATGGATATGCAACTGTCAGGCCATCCTCAAAGGAGTAGTCGCAAAGCGTGATGGGCATTCCACGAAGCACACCCAAAGACTTGTCGCCCACGTACAAATGCCAGAAAATCCTGCGACGCTTGTCCGCTTCCATCGGGGGCAGGGAAGTGTATGAATTCTCATCATAGAGCCTCATCCGCTGTGCGAGGCGCATGGCCTCCCCAAACACCTGCCATGACGCATTCGGCCTCGCACAGGTATGAAGGGAGTTGGAGTGCAGGTATCGGACAGTGATGGAGTCGGCGCATGGACTATCGAGGTCTGCGTCAACGTAGCTGCTCAGACAGTTCCGCGACGCCTCGAGGAATACCTCGCCAATCTTTTTGCCTGTCGGGAACAGCTCCGGGGGCACAAAGAAGGACGTTTTCGCCCACACGGCAGTAATCAGTGTGAACTGCAGCAGTGTGAGAGTGGACCCTGCAGGGGAAGTTCGGAACATCTGGTCGACCAAGCTACGGAACTCAACCTCGTGCACAGAGGTAGATAAGGGAGCCACATATTGGAAGAAGAGATCGGTGCATTCCCGCACCGATGCCTCGAACGAGGGAGAAGCCGGTGAAGCCTGTGCAAGTTCGCTGACAAGGCTGTTACAGCGTTGGGCGACGGTCAGGGGGCTTTGGATGGATAATATTGAGCTGGACGGTGATGCCGCCGGTGATTGGGCGGTTGGTGGCCTCGGAAGATCAAGCGGTCGGTCTGCTGCCCCTGGATTGCCTCGCCGCCGCTTTGTCCGTCCCCTGGGCCCTCGTTTTCCAGGGGGTATATCAAACGTACACACCTGGCCTACGCCGAGGCAGCCCGTGCAGGAATAGTTGGCTGAATCACACTGAGTTTGCCAATTGGGTCAGTCCACCGGTGTGTGGAGGGGGCAGTTGAGTTGGGTTGCGTACTCTTGCTTTTTTCTTCCGGCAGCGATCGCAAGCCCGGAGGGAAGAGTTGTTTCCGGCGGTATGGTCTTGCGTCTGCATGAAATCAAGGCAGGCCCAGGTGAGCGATGCTTTGTTTTGCATGGAGTGAGTGGTGGAGGTTTCTGTAGGTGAATATGTGTCCAACAACCTCCGAGAGATATTTCTCCGAGTTGGTTATGTTGCTCCACTCGCACACGAATGGTCCAATCCAAACCCGCGGAGGTTTCAAAACCTCCGGAACTACTGCTACTTCTTCCCCAGTCCCTGGTCTGTCACCCGACTTTTGGCTCCATTGCGAGGAGCTGGGGAACTCGCCCAACTTCCGCCCATCATCTCCAGCTCCCCGTTGTTTCCCCACATGGGGTCCCAGCAGGCAGGAACCATCACGACTGGCCGGCAATGAAATCGTACCACCAACCTCTTCGAGGTATTTAGTCCTCGACTTCCCTCCTCTCCAACATCACTACGACACCTCAACTTCTACCAAAAAAAAAAAAACATCAAGAACTCTTTTCCAGGCCGCCCCGTTCTGCTGCAATGGACAAACGCTCCAATGTCAAGAAGCTGGCAGACCAGTCAGAAGTCATTCGCCTGTTAGAGGCTGACAAAGTGCCATGGTACAAGAAGCCTAATCTTCGATTACTCTACCTGTGTCTCATTCCTGCTGCCCTTGGTGTTGAGATGACAACGGGTTATGATGGATCAGTTCTCAATGGCCTCCAAGCCGTCGACTCGTGGCAGACCTGTCAGTCTCTTTGTTACTCAACAGAATTTCCCTCAGGGATCAATTCTACTAACTCTTCGGGGCCTAGACTTTGGACACCCAAAAGGCGCCTTTCTTGGTGTGATGAATGCATCTTATAATTTGGGAGGCTTACTGTCACTGCCATTTGTTCCATACGCCAATGACAGGTTCGGTCGAAAACATAGCATCACATTTGGTTCCATCGTCCTGCTCATTGGGGTCATTTTGCAATCTTGTTCTCAGAACGGTTTGGTCTCTCCATTCCATGACGAATTATGGTAACTGGTACTAACCACTCTCTCCTCTACTAGCCGGCATGTTCCTTACATCTCGCCTCGTCCTCGGTACAGGAATCCCATTTGCCGTCTCTGGTGCCTCCCAGCTCCTGGCGGAACTGTCATACCCAAAAGAACGAGCTGTCCTCATCGGCTTATTCAACACCTCCTGGTTCATTGGCTCTATCCTAGCTGCCGGCGTTACCCTCGGCACGTACAACATAAAGAACGACTGGGCTTGGCGCATCCCTTCGATCCTCCAGGGTGCACCGTCGATCCTGCAGCTCATTTTTATCTGGTTCATCCCCGAGTCGCCCAGATGGCTCCTGTCGAAGGACCGTTCCGAGGAAGCCTTTGAGGTCCTGGTCAAGTACCACGGCGAGGGAGACCGCGAATCGACCTTTGTCATTGCTGAATTCGCCGAAATATCTGCACAGCTGAAGATGGAAATAGAAAATTCAAAGGCACGTTGGATCGAACTGCTTCAATCCCCGGGAAACAGAAAGCGGTCTCTGATTGCCGTTTGTGTCGGCATTTTTACGCAGTGGTCCGGCAATGGGCTTGTCTCGTGAGTCGCAAAACATATCGTTCGGACCCCAAAACAGCATTTCTTATTCTTCTTTTAGATACTACCTTGCGAAAGTCCTTGCAACGGTCGGCGTTACAGACAGGAAGACCCAAAACGTCATCAATCTCTCACTCTCAGTAGGTTTTCTCTCAGCTGTGTTCCTTTTATGCTTCAACTGCTAACCAGGTTTCTTCTATGCAGATCTGGCAGTGGATCTCGGCAAGCGTGTGTGCTTTTATCACCACCTACCTCTATCGCCGCACCCAGTTCTTAAGTAGTTTCGTCGGAATGCTGGTCATGTTTTCCATATGGACAGGTGTCAGTGCAAGCTACGCCCAACATACCTCAACCGCCGCGGGCACGGCTGTCGTAGCAATGATTTTCCTCTATAATACAATGTACAGCATCATGCAGCCATTGACGTACGTTTATGTCACCGAGGTCTTCTCCTACGTACACCGAGCCAAGGGAGTGGCGGTCCTGCAATTCTTCACGCGCGGCAGCACGGCATTCAACTCATTCGTCAATCCGATCGGCATCGATTCGCTGCAATGGAGGTTTTATCTAGTCTACGTGGTATGTTGGTGCTTCACATACCCACGCGTCAAAAGCTACTGAATATTCTAACTATGTTGTTAGGTCTGGCTCGCTGTCGAAGGTTTAATCGTATATTTCTTGTACCCTGAAACCAAGGGGCCGACCCTTGAAGAAATTGCATGCAGTTAGACTTCCGAGCCTTTGTTATATCTCTCACTTGTTTACCGCTAACCTATTCCTCGCAGTTTTTGACGGCATTCCTACGAGCATGTCAGGGAAAGCCGGGTATGATGAAGAATGTGAAGCTCAGCATGCAGAGGTGAGCAGGGATGTCAAACATGGCTAATGGATGAGCGACAAATACCCAAAGGTAGGTTCATGTTCAACAAACCTCTTCGATGAGGATATGCGCATTAATTGGCGTGGATAACAAGGGGGAAAACAACCAACATTTATAAGGTCGCCTTGTTTAGATAACCAAAAGCTAGATAGATGCCATGTAGCCTCGTCACGGATCTCCCCGCCGTAAATAATCCAATCAAGGAATCAACGTTGATCTGTCCAAGACGGTGCGAGGAAAGGGTGCTATTTAAGAGACCATAATACTCGCCCTACTCACTCTATTACTTGCCTAGGCATCGTATCTATTCTACCTAGATCAAGGTAGCGGTGGAGCCTTGATCAATATAATAAAATTTAATTATATTTATTTTTATTAGAATAAAATATTTTAATTATAATTAATTATTAATTAAAAAACTAATTTAATTATTTAAAAACTTAATAATTAAATATTTTAAATTAATAATAAATTAATTATTTTATTAAAATTAGAAATATTTTTTTATAAATTATTAAGATTATAAATATAAATAATAAAACTTTTATAATTTCTATTTATTATTTTAAATATATAAATAACTTTTTAAAAATAAAGATTACATTATTTAAAAACTAATTTTAATTATTAATCTAATAATAATAATTATTATAAACTTTATTTAATATATAATAAAAATTATAAAAATATATTTAATAAAGTATTTAAAATAAATAAATATATATATATATATATATTTTAAGATTTTTACTATATATAAAAGATATTCTAAGATTAGACTATATATAATTAGATTTATATAATTTATTTTTAATTAAATTTTAATTTATATTTAATTTTTAATTTTATTTTTTTTTACTTTTTTATTTATATAAACTAAAGTAAAATAATAATATTTTTAAAAACTCTAAAAAAAACTTATTAAATATATAATTTATATTATATAGTATTACTAAGTATATATAAATAGATATTAGATTAATATTAAATCTATATTATTTAATAAAATTTTCTATAATAGTAAATATATATTATATTTATAGATATAAACTTAATTAATAATCTTAAGTAATTAATTTTTCTTTTATTTCTAAATAAATATAATTTAGATTAAATTAAAATAAATTCTAATATATTAATATTAAGCTTAATCTAATTTAACTAATATTTTAATCTAAATTATTCTAAAATATAAAAAGCTTAATTAATAAACTAATTCTTAAAAGCTATTTTTATTCTTATTAATTTAATATAGTATATAATATATTAAAACTATAAGTTATATATTAAACTATAGTAGATCTATATAAAAAAATAATTATTCTTAAGATATAGTATTTATTTAAACTAATTTTAATTCTCTATAAATACCTATAGTAATTATAATAACTATAGATAGTAGATTATATAATAAAATAATAAACTAAGTAGATATAGCTATTAGATTTATATAATTAATAGTAGCTATATTACTATAAGTAGGTTCTTAACTAATTATAAGAATATATTATAAATATAGTTAGTAAATAGCTATATTAGATTATTTTAAATAATAGTTATTATTACTTTAAGAATTTTATTAGAAGTATTAATTAAATTTTAAGAGATTAGAATATTTATATTAAATATTATAACTATTTAAATTATTTAATAATTAATTAATTAAGTAATTAATTAATAATATAATTAATTAATCTGAATTAAGATAAGCTTTAAGTTAGAAAGGAAAAATAGTTATTATTATTAGATAATAAGCTTCTTCTCTTAAGAGCTATAATTATAATTAAACTATTTATATATCTAGCTATATAAATAGCTTCTATTATTAGAGTTTTTAAGATATTAATATCTATATCTAGACTAAAAGTATTTAATTTTAACTTTATTTTATAATATTAAAGATTTAGATATAAACTACTAATTATATTCTTAAAAAAATTATATAATCTAGTTATATATTATCTAATCTTAGAATATATTCTTATTTATAATAAAACTAATAAAAAAAATATATATAATTTAATTATAAATTTTAAGAAAAAATACTTATTATTTATAATTAACTATAATATCTCTCTAAGCTTATTATTATTAATTACTAATTATCTCTTCTTATAATAATAATAGATATTTCTAATATTATTATTCCCTATAGTTAGAATCTAATTATTATAAATAACTAGATTCTTAACTATATATATAATAGTTAAGTTAACTTATACTAAACAGGGTCTAGAGTAGATCAGGGTTAAACTAATTAGAGTTATTCTAAGTAGTATAATTAGATTATCTTAGATTATATAATATAAGTTACTATTAATATATAAATATTATAGAGCTAGTAGTAATAGATATATAGATAATTATATTAATAACTATTTAAAGGAGTATTCTAATTAATAAAATAAATATATATATATAATAGTTATAGAGTATAAGAAGTATACTACTCCTAGTAATCTAACTATATTCTATAATAGGAGTATAATACTTCTATTATTTCTATCTTCTAGATAGTAGGATATATATAATTATATAATCTATTATAAAAGCCTTTATTTATAATATAATATCTTCTTTCTATTAGTTTTATTCTTAAGATTCTATATAATCTTAGTAAGTTCTTTCTCTCTTTATATATAATAGCTATATTATAATATTTATTATATCTAACTATATCTAAAAGCTAGTATATTCTAAGACTTATAAATAGATCCTTCTTACTATTACTATTTAAATATTTAGTCTTCTAACTAATATACTATATACTCTATATTTTAAAGTAAAAAAAAAGTATTTTATTCTTCTAGATAGAAAGTTATTCTAATATAATAAGTATATATAAAATAGTTATTATTATAATAGAGTACTAATTATATTTAATTATATATATTCCTTTATATACTTTATTTATATTCTTCTAATTTTTATTTTAGTAGAAAAATTAATAATATAGTAGAAAAAACTAGTTAAAGAAGAATCTAATATAGATAAGAAGATTCTTCTTTTATATTAATAAATAATTTAACTTTAAAATAATCTATTTACTACCCTAGGGTATATCTAGTATATTTATAAAGTATATAGGTATATTAAGAGTAAGATATAATAGGAAATTTAATATAATCTCTAAGAGCTTAATAAGAAAAAGTAACTATTTTCTAATTAAGCTTTTAACTTTTTTAAAACTTCTAAGTAATATACTTTAAAGGAGATTTAGTTCTTAGAGATTATCCCTAAGATAGATTTAAATTTATTAGGTTTTAGAGAGAATTTTTCTAATTTAGCTTCTTTTTTCTCTTCTAGTAGAACTAGTAAATTAAGTATTAGTATTTCTTTAGATATTTAATTAGTTTCTATATATTATTATTATTAGTATACTCTTTCTATTTAATTAGATAGAATATTTATTTATTTCTAACTTTCTTTTTTAGAATTTTTTCTAATTTAAATTCTTCTTTATAGATTTTAATTAGATAATCTTAATCTAGTATATTTTCTAGTACTTTTTTAAATAATAAAATATAAAAAACTAGATAGATATATATTATATCTAGTAATAATAATTTATAGTTAGTATCTAATTTTTTCTTAAAAATCTTAAATAGTCTAAGTTTTTTATAGTTTAATTTATTACTTAGTTTTATTATTATAATATTTTTTTAAAGTAAATAGATCTTATCTTCCTTCTTTAAAATTAGTTCTTCTAATCTATTTTTATTATAATATTTTTTTATTTTTTATTAAATAAATTTAAGTTTTATTTTTATTTCTATATATAATAAATATAGTATTTCTTTTATAAGTATAGTAGTTAGTATATCTAGTTTATTATATTCTAATTAATTCTAAAACTATAGTTTATAACTATAGTTTATATATATAGATATAAATTAGATAGATTTTTATACTAAACTATTATAAGTAATCTATACTATTAGTAGTAGTTATATCTAATTATCTTATTTATAGTTAATATATATTTATAGATATTATTCTAGAGTTTAATTTAGCTATTTAGTTTAACTATTACTTTATAGATAATAAGCTATTAAAAGCTTATATTTAGTATCTATTTATATTATAAGTAATTATTAAAATTTAGAGATAAATATTATTTCTTTATTTAATATAATTTTATTAGATAATCTATAGTAATTTATTATATATTATAAAAATTAATATATAAGATCTTCTATAAAGCTTATTTTCTTATATAGAATAAAATATCTATATTTTATAAGTTTATTAATAACTATTAGAATACTATTATATCTTACTCTAGTTATAGATTCTTTTAATAATAGTAGTTTAATAATATAATTAAAGAATACTAATTACTAGAGTTATTCTAATATTAAAATTAGTTTAAACTCTCTATAAGGTTTATATTATATAGATTTAATTCTTATATAAGTATTATATTCTAAAACTATAGTCTATATATTCTTTTATAGATCTAGATAGTTATAATATTATTTAATCCTTTTAAATATTTTCTTAACTTCTTAATATTCTAAAAGTAGATATTTATAGATTTCTTTAATAAGTATTATTCTAATATCTTATTATAGTTTTTCTAAGCTAGGAATAATCTCTATCTAGATCTTAGTATATATTATTTTCTTAAGTATAGTTCCTAGGGTTTTCTATACTAGATATTCTTTATTATTAGTTAAGAATAACTATTTATTTATTTTTAGAACTATTTTCTTATATTCTAATTTCTAGCTAAAAGTATTAGTTTTTCTATTTTCTAATTCTTTTTAATATATAATTTTATAATTAAATTAAGATAGATATTTAGTATAGTATATTTATCTTCTATTTAATTATTAGATTATAGTAA